AATAATATTTTTAACCGACAAAAACCATAGAATAACCCCAACAGTAGAAGATATTCCTTCATAATAATTCTTCAAAGACAACAGATAGCAGAGTAAAAACTTTAAAATCGAGCGATAAATGCATAAATAAAATAAAAGTCGAATGAAACTTTTGAAATGAATAAATAATTAGCGTGACAGAGACAGATAATAACAGCTTAAGCGAGTTTTTTAGATGAAACAGTTAAATTTACTGCGTAAGTTTTGGCTGTCGTTCAATGAAAAGCAACATTATGAGCTCAAGTACTAATTAGGACAAGTTAATCATAAGTTGATGCGCCCTTTCAATAACTGTTACTAAAAGTTTCAATTACTTAATATAATTAACAAAAAAATTAAGTAGAAATAATTTTTTGAAGAAAAAAAGATTTTAGTTGTAAAAAGCAAAGTTCTAAGACAAAGATCATATTTTAAGCTTGAAAATGGAAGTTTAAGCTTGAAATAAAACTTTTAAGCTTGGAATGAAAATTGAGGCTTAAAAATGAACTTTTAAGCATAAACTAAAATTTTAGGCTTAAAAAGGAACGTTTGGGCTTAAAAATACAAGCTGAGACATAAAAATAAAATTCTAAGCTCAAAAATGAACGTTTCGGCTTAAAAAGTAAACTTTAACGTTTTAAATAAAATGTTAAACTTAAAATTCAAAATTTAAGCCTAAAAGTACCAGTTTAAGCTTAAAACAACATCTTAAACTCAAAACAAAATTATAGGCTTAAAATTGTAATTATAAGTTTAAAAAGAAAATTTTAGGCTTCAAAAAGAAACTTTTAACACAAAAATAAAGATTTAAGCTTAAAACCACAATTTTAAGCACCAAATGAATGACAAGCCTAAAGTATGCCTAATAATCAAAAACAAAATACCCAAAAAACTCAAAAACCAAAAACCTAACGTGTTATAACATCCTTGCCCTTGCCTTCTACACAATCCGCCTTTTTGCCGCCAAATGTGTTATTCAAAAAACGATAATTTATCTATTTCCGAAAGATTGCCATTTTAATATTCAATTACATCCGTTTCATGTTTTATAACCATATTTTATGGCCGTTCATTTTGAAAAAAACATGAATACCGAAAAAACAATGACACTGTTCGTTTTTGCATTTTAATCGAGACTAACGAAAAGTGGACTTGTGCCGGAAAATGTCATCAAAGTGAATGTTTCCACCTAATTCATGCATGACATCGAATAGAAAAAGAACGGTAATTGAACCTGCTGGATCAGAGCATGGGTTAAGAATAGTTCTCAAAAGGGGCGCAATAAGCACGAGCAGCGCAACACCCAGAGCAGGGCAGGTCAGGGTAAGGCAAGGCAAGGCAGGGCAAGACAAGGAAAGGCAAGGCAAGGCAAGGCAAGGCAAGGGCAGGGTAGGCTAGGCAAGGCAACAACTTCTAAATTTCCAAGCAATGCGATTATACAGTAGTTTTACTGTATATCTTCTCCCAGTGTGCTCTAATACGCCTTTTATTGCACGATGCAGCAAAAACTTAAAAAAAGTGCAGTAAATTTAGCGTCAAAGCCAAAACCAAAAAACGTTTTGCCAGAAAGAGCAAAAAATAAGAAGATTGAAAGCCACGAAAAAAGTTATAAGTATTTTTCTCACGTCGCTTTTCACTGTATATACGTTCGTTTTTGTTGATGTCAACTGCATTCATTATTTGTTTGCAGTATTATTTAAAGGTATCGAGATAAAAACAAATCTATAAGCCTAAAGTTTCATTTTAAAGCTAAACTTTTATTTTCAGACCTAAAATTTCTTTTAAACTCTAAAGTGCACTTTTAAGCCTAAACTTTCTTTTTAAACCCTAAAACGCGATTTTTAAGCCTGAAGTTCATTTTAAACTTAAAAATCTATTTTAAGCCTAAGAATCAGTTATAAGCCTGAATTTCATTTTTAAGCCTAAAAATTTATTTTTAAACTTAAAAGTCATTTTTAAGCCTATAAGTTCATTTTCAAGCCTTAAATTTCACTTATAAGTCTAAAATTTCTTTATTAAACCTAAATTAGTCCTAAATATAATTTTTAACCCCAAATTCTAAATCTAAGCCTAAAATTTTTCTTTTAAGCCTAAGAGTTCTTATTAAACCTAAAATATCAATTTTTGGCTAAAATTTTCTCTTACATCATAAAAATTTTAGAAACAAACAAAATTTGTCAATTTTACCCCAAGTTCCCTCTGGCGGACATATAAGAGACCAGAAACGTTTTCTCCGACGAAAAACACCGTTTACTTTAACGTCGTACCTAATAGAGTATAATCAAGTTTTAAGTTTGTTTTCTAAACAAATTCGCGTTAAAAGTAGGCGAACAGACTTAAAACGAGATACTAAATATACGTAATCACTGTAAATAAAATTTTGAAAAATTTTGATTTTTAAGCCTGGCTTCATAATTAGGTCTAAGACTCGCAAAATAAGCATACAATTTCAAAATACCCTAAATATTTTATTTTTTAAGGCTAAGACTTTATCCTTAAGCCTAAAATTTCGTGTTCAAGACTAAAACTTTATTCTTAAGCCTAAACTCGATGTTATCCTAAAATTTTTTAAGCCTAAAGCTTCATTTACAAATTTAAAATTTTATCATTAGGCTTAAACTTCGTTTTATAAGCCTAAGACTCATTTTTTGACCTAGGACTTCATTTTCAAGCCTAAGATTGCCGCTCAAAGCTCCAACTTTACGATGATGCTGTGGTTAAGCCTAACATACCATAGCAAGCTTAAAAATGTATTTCATAAAACCAAAATCAACAATTATTAACCTAAACTCCCAATTTTAAGCCTAAAACGAACTCAATAAACCACTTTTTCGTTCCCAAACAAACCCTACAATGACAATATCCAAAAATTAATATTTTTGCGTCACAAAATGAGAATACTCGGTGAATCCGTGTACCAACTGTTTATTTGAGGTTTGTTCGAGAATTGTCAAACAAAATTAAAACGAATGGCCGTTCCGTGAACGCATACTCTTATAATTAAAAATTGCACAAGTTTTGGCAACAATAAAAAAATGTCTGTGCTTTTTTCGAGAAAACGTGTATTATTAACAGAATTTATAGGGTTTTTAGGCTTGTAAATTAATTTTAGGCTTAAACGAACCTTGAGCTAAAAAATATAATTATAGACTTCAAAATAGAATTCAAAATTAAAAATCAAAATTTAGGCTTAAAAATAACAGTTGAGGCTTAAAAAAATTTTTGTTTTAAAAATGAAACTTTAAGCTTAAAAATGAAATTTTAGAATTAAAAATGAGATTTAAGCTCAAAGATGATATTTAGGCTTCAAAAATGAAACTGTACGCTTAAAATAAACTCAAGGCTTAAGGATGTAATTGTATAATTAAAAATAAAAATTTAAGCTTAAAATCTATCACTAGGCCTATAAATAAGCAGGGCTTTGGCTTGAGCCCTCGAATCCACAAGGACCGCCTTATTCAAATTTGCTTCAGCCCGGCACCCAAGGTCAGCTCGTAAAGGTAAGAAACGCGCTGTGTATGCCCGGCCTTACGGTCGGGCCTAGCCGGCATGAGAAAAAAAAAATGAAAAACCGGCCTAAACGTTAGGCCCGGCCAGCGGTCCAGACTTGATAAGTAAGCCCGACCCGTTTCTCACCCCTATTATCCCGTTCCTAGTGAACACCCGTTCAAAACTAATAAGTTTCAAAATTTAGTTCAAGTTTTAGGCTAAAAAATAAAATTTCAAGCTTAAAAATAAAAAGTTAAGCCAAAAACATAAATTTTAGTCAGACTTTTGAAACCATAATTGAAACCCTGAGTAAAACAAAACTCGAAAGACGAAACCCAACTTTCTTGAACCTGAAAACATTCAATTACAAGTACGTCCGTTCTATATAAGCACGGTAATTAGTATTCCCGTCGGGGCGGATCCTTTTGCCTATTTAAAACTTTTTGAAATCGTGACTTGAAATGTGAAATGAAAAAAGGCAGGAAATAGTATCAAAAACATTTCAGTAATTCGATTTTCTAATTGTGGAACGTTTGTGGGGGCTAAAATGACCTTCTTTCATTTTTAGGTATAAGGCATGGCAAGAACGTTCATTTCAAAAATTAAAGTGGCAAGAACTTTCTTTACAAACTATGAAATAACAAGAACTTCCTTTACAACTATTAAAATGATAAAAACTTTATTTAAAAAACATAAAATGACAAGAATTTTCTTTACAAAACAAATAATGGCAAGAACTTTCTTTACAAATCAAAAAGTGGCAAAAACTTGCATTACAAAGATTAAACTAGCAAGAATCTTCTTTACAGCCCACATAATTAAAGAAAAACCCTTTTACAAAAAACACTTACTTTACAAATTAAATCGGGCTCAAAAACCGTATTTCCATCGTATAACATGTCATTCGTAGCCTGCTTAACCCTAAAAACCTCAAAAGTCACATAGAATTGAAATAAGAGCGAGAACTTTGTTTACATATCATAAATGACAAGAACATTCTTTACAAATCAAAATTTGCCAATAACTTTCTTTACAAAACTTAAAATGGCAAGAACTTTCTTTATGAAACATATAATAACACCCACTTTCCTTACAAAACAAATGGTGGTAAAAACTTTCTTTACAGCACAAATACAAAGTGGCAAGAACTTTCTTTTAATAAAAAATCCAAACAAGTTGACAACATAATTTATTTCGATAAAATAATGTTTTCATAATTGTATATTTACAAAATGATAACATAAACTGGAATAATAAAAAAGATTGAATCAGTTTTAGTGGGTTTCGTACTAAACTTGACTTCACTTATTAGCTTGACATTAGAAATGAGAAATTTTAATCCAAATATTAGGCTGTTTAAATAATTCTGTGCCCCTTAAAGACAAAAATCTGTTTTTAAAGAGGCACATAACTATTTAAACAATCTAATAAATTTCAATTTGCCATAATTTTAGTCATAACACCTAAATACAACCTCATTTTAATCCCAATTTTCATTTTTTCACTTTCTCAGGCGACTTGATCGAATTCATGATTGCTTTAAGGCTTGATGGCACGTCTGGATAGCGGTCGATTTCCACTTCCTCTTCTTCTTCCATCTCTTCAAAATAATCAATAGTTGACACTTCGTCCTGGTCTCCATTTGACAAATTGAAGCAGCCAATTTTAGGTAACACCACCATGGTTGGCTTCGGCATCTCAACGCTTCTTCGTCGTCGTTTCCTTGTAGTCGCGAAAACTGTTTTTTCGACCGGTTGAAGTGGTTTATCGACCGTTTTTTGAGGTTTTTCGACCGATTGTTGAACTTTATCGACTGATCGTTCAGGTTTACAGACTGATCGCACAAGTATATTGACCGGCTGAATAGTGGGTTGCATTTCCATGATGCCAAACTTGGGCGCTCCTTCGACCAGTCGATTTTCATCTTTATTCTCGTGAAAGTTGCCGTTATCTCCAATTGGCAACTTCCGTGCTCGACCACGAGCACAACGTCTGTTGTATTGACGTACAACATGATTTACCAAGGTCGGTTGCTTTTCATCACTAAAAAGCAATAATAAACTTAAAATTCTATTTTAAGCATAAAGTTTCATTTTTAAGCCTAAACTTTATTTTCAAGCACAAAATTTCATTTTTAAGCTTAAAGCTTCTTTATTAAGCCTAAGCTTTATTTTTAAGCCTAAAAATAAATTTTTAAAAACCTACTTTGCAGATGAAACACAATTCGCCTTAACAACTGGTCGAAACAAAAAGCTCCTTAATCCTTTCACTTCATCTTCAACTTTATGTTCTTCTTGTTGTTTCTTCTCTTCTTTTTGGGCTTTGTTGATGAATTTAACTCGTGGCATACTTGATAAATCTGACCCTGAATCTAAAAATATTGCTTTAAAATCAATTTTAGGCTTAAAAATGAATTTTAGGCTTAAAAACTAAGTTTAGGTTTAAAAATAGAGTTTAAGCTTTAAAATGACACTAGGCTTTAAAATCGTATGAATTCATTCAAATCTCACATTCAACTTCTTTGACCACCTGAATATCATCATCATCATCATCACTATTACCCTTATATTCGTCTTTTTGCCCATCCTTGTTTTCATCTTTGTGCTTGTTATCTCCATATTTGTCCTTGTCTTTGTTCTTGTCGTCACCATAATTATCCTTGACTTTCCTCTTCTTATCGTTATAAATAGCCTTTTTATTGTAAATTCCAGCTTTTTGAAGAAAAACTTTCTTCACAGTGATCTTTCTCTCTGCTTGTGGGTCCATTTGTTCCACTTTGTCTTTTTTTGTGTCCAATTGAGCCAATTTTTGCTTGATAATATTGACTTCTATCACTTCATTCGTATTTTCGTCCGCTTTTTCTAAACAGTTTTTAATAACTTTAAAATTTGCTAAAACCGACAAAAATCAAAAATTTTTTTTCATTTTTTTTAATTTCAAAAAAAAATGTCATATGACTACCAAACATTTTCAAATTTTAAACTCACAAGGAAAGGTCCCCACCGCGCATTGGACTGGTGAAAAAGTGGTACATACAAGTTGTAGAGCATGGTCAAATTAGTCAAAAACCGAAAAATAATTTATGCCTCGTGGGGGTTTTTTAAAAAATTTTATTACGTCGAAGTTTAAAAACCTTAATTGCGCTCGCGCTAGACTCGGAAAAGAAGAGGAGACAGTTCCGTGAATCAATAGCGCAGTGGTTGCGCTCTCGGCTAACGCTCAAAGCACGTCGGTTCGGGTCGCGCCGAGGGCACACCTTTTTGTGCCTGGATTAAAGTTTTTAAAAATAAAAAATTATTTTTTTTGGTCAAATTTTGTTTTGTTTACATCAAAGAATCAATTTCTCTATTTATTAAGCTTGTTTTTAATATAATTTAAATTTTTTTATTATACTTACAATTCTATTTATTTAGCATAATTACCTAAAAGCACAATCAAATAGCTCTGAACTTCTCAATTATTCGATTCCTAAAACTACATACTTATCCACCAGCTCGTAAGGCACTTTGAGATCACCTCAGAACAAAACGTCTCCATTATTACAAACAAAAATAAAATAAAAGTACTATTTAAAGAATAATAGAACGAGCAAATTGTAAAAAAAAACAAAATTAGACCAAAAAATAATTTTTTTTATTTTAAAAATTTTAATCAAAACACAAAAGAGCGTGCCCCCGACGCGACTCGAACCAAAAGGCTTTGAGCGTTAGTCGAGAGCGCAACCACTGCGCTATTGATTCACGGAACTGTCTCCTCTTCTTTTCCGAGTCTAGCGCGAGCGCAATTAAGGTTTTTAAACTTCGACGTAATAAAATTTTTTAAAAAACCCCCACGAGGCATAAATTATTTTTCGGTTTTTGACTAATTTGACCATGCTCTACAACTTGTATGTACCAGTTTTTCACCAGTCCAATGCGCGGTGGGGACCTTTCCTTGTCAGAATGTCTAATTTTTTAAATTAAAGCTACATTACCTAAATCATCATCCTTCTGTGCCTCTTTGTACCCACAACTGTCAGAAGTGCTTGGTTTCCAATTCTCATTCTTATCTTGGTTTAAACTACTGGTTGGACTAATACAAGCCAACTTTTTTTGATTCACTACCTTTATTTTTGGCCGATTGAGAGATATTGTAGTAGGTAAGGCTCGTGGGTCCACAGAGATGAATTCTAAATCTAAAATTAAGAAAAATGCAGAAAAAAAGTTAAAATTAAATTTTTTGCCTAAAATATCGTCTTAAATTACCTAAAAATTGTTTTAATACTTGAAGCTTTGACAAAAAGCAACATTCTATCTATAATAGTATCAAATATGTATCCTTTTTTATGTTGAAATACAAAAAAACTGGCTTCGTTACCTAAAAAGCTCAAAATATTGATAATTCTGCCGCGCGCCAAAAGAGTTGGTCATTTTACTATTAAAACTAATAAAAAAATCGCCCAATTCTTTTTGACGCGGTGTTATAACTCAGGTTCTTGGCTCAGAAAAGCATTTTAAACCCAGTTAAATCCTTCAAAATCAATTTAAAAACCTCCATACCTAAATAACCAACAATATAAAGCAAAAATCTTACCAAATTTGCGTCGTTTCGCATTAAAAATGACACAATTCCGCTCGCTAACATCAGGCTTCAGTTCCGGACAACTCTCTGCCATTATATTGAACACCTCCTCTGGAACATAACTCCTGAAGATCTCCATCGTCTCAATCATACACCATTTGACATTGTTATCCACATTCCGTCGAAGTTCACTACTCAAACGAAAAACTTGTGTTAAAGCGTCGGCTCGAGATTTGTTCGCGTTAACAACGTTCTGAATGGCCGTTCTCAACTTGTCACTATCTGATGGTGAAGTGGCAGTGAGTTCGGTCGCTGGTAACGGGGCTTCAATAGTGAATAATGAGTCTGCGGTTGATGATGAAGAGTTTGCGGTTGATGATGATGAGGATCCGGATGGTAACGGCCTTTTAGTATCCATTAAATACCTAAATTTTAAAAAAAAATAATTTTTAAAAATAGCAAGTAAGCCTAAAAACAATGTTCAAACTAAAATGTTATTTTTAAGCCTAGCAATTTATTTTTAAGCACAAAATGTCATTTTTAGCCTATAATTTACTGTTTAATTCAGTAGTTAACTTTTAAGCCTATAACGTAAGCGATTAGTTGAAACATTCACCATTTTTTCAAAAATGCCACTTTTAAGCCTAAAATACAACTTTTAAGCTTACAACTGTACTTTTAAATCTAAAATTCGTTTTTAACTTAGAATGTTGATAAGTCGCTACTTTTAACTTCTTTTAAGGTTTTAAAACTTATGTATAAACATTAAAATCATTTTTTGTTACCTAAAAGTTGATGCATTAACAAAAAAAATTTTTTTTAATCTTTTTTCTCTGCTCTATTCGGCCCTAATTATAGAAAACGAGTCAGTATTACATAACAGACATCATATAAACATTAACAACATCCCACAAGTTGCACATTGGCCAGAAAAGTTCAATTTGCTCGAAAATTAAATAAAATTTTTAAAAAAATCGCTAAAAATTTAAAACTTAAAGTGACTAAACCTACCCTGTTTAAATGCAAAACCACTTTAACAACCAATACACACACATCAAAGAAACAAAGAAACCCATCGACAAAATGCAACAAAAAAGAAAAGGGCAATTTTATTTTATTTTCCGATAACGAAGTGTCAACAGACTTCAACTATCGATTTTTTGCTGTAAATAACAGCGATTTTTGACGTTTTCTAAAAAATAGGTAAAAGAAACGACATTTTTTACTTATTTATTATTCTTATCAACAACTTTATAAAACTTTTAAATTTTAACAGTAAAAAGATATATATGAGAGGTTACTACAATATACAATTATTTAATTTTACACGTAAAATTCTTCGATTGCTGTTTGGTGATTACGCTGGAATTGAAAGTTTTGAGTTTGTAGTCTTGGTATCTGACCTGAAATGGAAAAATCATAAAAATTAAAGTTCAAAAATTTATTTTTAAGCCTAAAAATTGCTTTTTAAGCCTATCTATCAATTTAAGCTTAATGTTTTACTTTTAAACCCAAAAGTTTATAGCCTAAAATTCATTTTTAAGCCTAAACTCACTTTTAACGCAATTGTGTAATATTATCATAACCAACTTACAGTCAACCAATTGTCATACTCCTTCTTCTTCAATCTTTTAATCGTAGGTGGATTAACAAAAGTCCTATTATACAATACCTCCATCCAACATACGACAGCATTGAAATCAAAACTGTTCAACATCTTATTGCCATTTATAAACACGCTGTTACCCAAATTGGTCGCTATATCTTCCACTCCATATATACATAAAGAGTGGCGAAAGTGTTTACTGCCACATTTCGTACCAACATACTTCCAACTTGACATTCGAGTCAACGTCTGTGAATCACTTTTACCATGACATTTTTGAGTGAAATGACCTGGGATACCTAGGTCTTCATTGGATATTAAGGATGGTATTAGCACTTCGTCCACGGCAAAACTTTTGCCATCGTCGATCATAGATACGAGCTTGGTAATGTTGAGTTCGGTGAAGATATAGTCAATGGCTTCGCGAGATAGTGAGGCTCCATTGGCACCTTTCGCAAATGTCATGCGGATCTTTGTGTAGTTATTAAGTTGATGAAGGCGAGATTCTGAAAATATGGTTTTCATTATAAAGTACTCTCTCTATATAAGCAACCCGAAGGGACCGACATTTTTTGTTTACAATAGGGGGTGCTGTCTTTACAGAGAGACATTTCAGTGCAAATTGACTCGGTGGGCCAAATTTATTGTTTACTATAAAGTGAGTTTCTTATACAGATGGTTCAATATATAGAGAGACCATTGTAATAACATTGTACCTCACTAATGTTGATACAGTACATACAAGAATAGTCTAGTACACGTTTGAAAAATGATAAATAAAAGTCAGCCAATGTAAGGAAAGAGTAGGTCAAAATAGAATAAAATACGTTGGTTAAAATAAAAATGAAATAAAAGTACAGTAAAGAGTAAGAATACAATAGGTAAAGCTGGATAAAGTACGCTAGATCAGAAAGTTAAAGTCGAAATAGGAGTAGCGCTACAATAAGTGCAATTAGAAGAAAAATAATTAAAAGTGGAATTAGGGGTAAGAGTATGGTACGGTAGGGTAGGATAAGAAAGATGTAGGAGTAGGAGTAAGAATAACATAGGTGGGAGAAGGTATAGCTATGGTAAGAACTACAATAAGAGTCGGATTAAGAAAACAGTACGTATAATAAAAGGAAGGGCCAGAGGGTAGGGTAAGGGTGAAGGTAAGGACAGCTTACCATTTTTAAAAATTCCTAAGTTAGGGTAAGTCCAGTTGAGCTTGTAATTCACTCGACCTGGCTCTTTTACTGATTCTATATCATTGGCACCTTTCATCCATTTATAGATCTGAACCATTTCAAAGTTTGTTTTTAAAGGGAATTCGTGATTCTGAAAAATGTTTTCATTTCGAAAAAAAATCATTTTAATGCCTAATATCGTATTTTAGGTATAAAAACCAAGTTTTGCGCTTTAAAGGTTGAAGCTTAGGCTTGTTTTTAAGCTTGACTTACCCTACTGTGTCTTACCATACCCTAATGTACCCTACTCTATTCTACCCTACCCGGCCCTACCTTACCCTACTCTATCCTACCCCAAATGTTAAGCATAAAAAACAAAATTCAAGCATAAAACTACAAGTTTAGATAACTAAACCCCATTTTACCTGTAGAATCTGAACGTATTTCCACTTCCTTCCCTTCTCCCTCAACATTTTGATACAATCCAAATGAGCCCAATCCTGATTATGCCCCCAACTGTCCAACTTCCTCGTCCTATTCAGTACGAAAACATTCGGAAAACAATTTGCCATAGCCTGAATTCGCATCTTGAACATATCCGACGATTTCTGGTCAATTGCATAACAATAATAATTCTGTGGTTGATATCCAGCAGCCAACATTAGTTCAATGTATCGATAGTCGGTGTAGACGGTTCGGACAAATGCTAGAGGATAATTGGCTTCTAGTGAAGTTGTAGGTACTGGTGAGAAGAAGTTTCGAGATTTTATTAATTTGCAGTCCATTGGCAGGTCTGAAATGACATTTTTTAAAAGTTTTATGGTTGCTTGAGTTGAGTATGATAGAATAGGTAAAAATAGATGGCAAGGCAAGACGAAGCAAGGCAAGGCAACGCAAGGCAAGACAGGGCACGGCACGACAAGACATGGCAAAGCACGGCAATGGGATAGAGTAGTGTATATGTAGTAGTGAAGAATCAGATAAGGTAAAACACTATTGTTTATCATAAACAATCTAAATTTACCTTGAAAATCCTTTGGATCCTGATATTTCGTCCTATTTTTGCCCAGCATCTTTACATAGTCACCATGTTTAACATCCATTAACCACTCGCATTTCAATTTATCCATACCTTTTGGTTTAACAAAATACTGTACCTTATCATACTGAGACTTATATGAACCATTTTTGTCATCAATCCAATAAAAATCATCATTTTTAAACTTTTTTCCTTTTTTTATGCCATTTCTAATATAAACTTCGTTATCAAATAAATCTAGTTTAGTTTCATTGTTAAGTGTAACCACATGTACGGCTTTGTTAAAACCGTCAGTAAAATGCGACGAAACATCGAGATCATAAATTGTTACTGCATATGTTAGTAGAGAGATACCTAATGCTAAAGTGAAGGTTTTGACGCAAAGTCGAACATTTTTTCTTGGGCCGACTGACTGTTTGGCTAAATTTTGAAAATGTCATTAGAAGTTATCAACATATTAAGTTTTAGCCTTAGTAATAAAGCGAATTGAAAAATAGAAAATTTATTCAAACCCTGACCAAAAGGTGTGTAGAATTTAATCTTCGCCTAACACTTGCCGTTAGTCGGCCTTGTTTATTAACTTTAAAAAGGCTTGTTGGTTTTTAACCAAGTTTAGCAAATCGATAAACGACAAAACTTTTCTCACGTCCCATTAAATACAATAAACTATGACATTTCAATGTCATATTATATTGGAGTACGGTAGAGTAGGCTAGGATAATTTAGAGTAGGGTAGAGTAAAGTAACTTTGGTCTAGAGACTGCCACCATAAATCGTAACTTTTTACCCTTCCTTGCTCTAGTCTCAGGCTCCATTATTGCCTTAAAGCAGAGTAGGGAAAGACAAGGTAAGATAGGGTAGGGTACAATACGTCAAGGTAGTTTTTTTCAAAGTTTAGAAGTTTAAAAACCATCACATTTACATTCTTTTACAAAAAATTACACTTGTACAATGATCATTAATTTTAATGTAATCATAAAGCTATTAAAAGCTTTTAAACAATCAAAAGTTAATTTAAAAACGTTCAAAATCCTAATGAAAAAACGATTTTCGGAAAATAAAAGGCCTATCCAACTTCATTTTACTCTACCCTACGATTCACACTACCATACGCTATAAGATCTATCAAAAAAACGTGGTACACTTCTAGCCAGCTGTGTTTTAAATTTGAAACATTTTTGTAACTTATTTTCTTAATTATTTGATGTCAAAGTTGCACATTTTATCAAAAAATGCTCTTCAGTTCTTGTCAAAGCCTCACTATGACATTTTATGTCATACATACTCAAATTTTTTCAAATCTTTCAAAACTATCGTGCTTTAAAACACATTTTCCCTTCAAAATCTTCTACAAATCCCTATAAAAGAACTTACAACATTCGATTCGAGTTTGTTTCAACATACATAAAAGTAGCCTATTTAAGCAGTATCAAAATTAACATCCTATTCCAACACTACACCCCAATAGCATTTATTTAAATAGTGTAAAATTCAAAAATGAAAAATAAAGAGGCGATTGATAAGAATTACTAATTTCCCTCACGGTGACATCGATTGATGGGGCGTGATAGACAAACCATAATATAAAAGGTTTAAATAGAATAAATTTGCGGCAAGATATGGTTTTTGGACGTGGAGATAAAATATCATTATTAAACGTCACTTTCAAAGATCAAAAATACTGACCTTTTAAAAACTGTTCTTTCTACTTTTATTCAGACTTAGGCTTGGAAAAAATTTTTAAGCTTACAAGGAAATTAGCCAACCTGCAACTCTCAGATCTAGCTCAAAATTTTTATAAGGATTCTTTGTAGTACTAGTAGCACATATAAAAAATCTTGGCTTGCAGTTTTAAGTTTTAAAATTTATATATTTAAATTTTCCGCCAATTTGGCATTGTGTTGCTGGAACTTTGTTTTATGTTCCAGTAACGATAGGCTTACAAATTTAAAATTGGAGGTTCGTTTGAAGCTTTTCTATCATTATATTAAAGAAAAAAAATTAAAAGTCAAAAAATGACAAAGTTACAAGCTTGCAACACTATGCCAATTTGGCGGGAAATTCAAAACGTCGATTTTCTCAAGACTAGCCGCAATTTAGAATTTTGCATAAGATCTTACAATAAGATGACCTTTCAAAAAAAAATGAACGAAATGATCGTTGCAGGTCGGGTACTTTCCTTGTTAGAAATTAAATTTTACGAAAAAGTGTATATGCAATTGATATTTTGAATTGATCATCCCTCAGTTTTTTCGATATCTCGGTAGTTTTGTGAGCATTTCAATTCTAATCTGTGGAGTTCGAATTGCATGTCCATCAGCTTCATTTTCTAAAATTTATCACTTATACCTTTCAGCATTTTTTTATCTAGAAATCTTTGTAACGCATGAATTCTCATCCAATGCCTAAATCAATTGACCATCCTTATATTTATTTGCCCAATTGATTTTTTTCTATTTACAGTTAGACTAAACTAATAATTACGATTAAACTAAACTACGCCGGATGCACAAAATGTCACAATGACCCACCCTGTTTATCAGTCGTCTTATCAGTGACTTTCTTAATTGCGTAAACGCCTGTGCTAATGTCATAATCGTCGTGTTGTATGTTTTTTGCCAAAACATAATGTCTTTGGACTTCGTATCCGTCGGAAGTGAGTTTGTTGAAATAGACAGGATCTAAGTTTTGATGTTTATCGTCTTGTAGATTCTGAACCTTATCGTTCGGCAGATTCTGACGTTTATCGCCATGTAGATTCGGAATGCTATTATCGTGTAGGTTTTGAAGTTTACAGCCATGTAGATTCTGATAGTTCACGTTATCTAAGTTCCCTGACTTATTGTCAAGTAGATTCTGATGTTTAAAGTCATGTAGATTCAGAATCTTATTGTCAGGCAGGTTCTGATGGTCATACTCATGTATGTTCTGAACGTTATTATGTTGTATATTCTGATGTTCATTGTCATTTCCACCCTGATCTTTATATTCAAAAAGATTCCGATACTTGTAATGATGATTCTTGAAACTACCATCGTTATGATCAGGTAGCCATCTGTTGTGCTTCTCTTTTACCTTCAAAATCTTCCTCAAACTTATAGTAGGTTTGTCAATAAAGTATCGTGGCAGCTTCTGAAAATTTTCAACAAAATTTTCTTTCTCAAGCTGTAGCGGTTGATCTTCATCAAATTGGCGTCTAGGTACTGCGAGAAAAAGCAATGGATATAGGTGGAAATTAGCTAAAAAGTACTTTGGATCCTTGTCAGTCGACTTTTGGGCGTTATTTTGATTATCTTGTTGATTGCATCTACAGTGATGATAGTTTTTGTCGCTGATATAGAATGAAGTACCTAGAAATTTAAAGAAAATAAGAAATACATAACGTTTTTAACAGTTGACTTATAACAAAACTCCTCTTGGTTTAACAATAGTAACCCAAAACTTACATTCAACGAGCAACGTAACCAAAATAAGGCGATAAAACGTCATTTAAAAAAAATTAGAATAAACGTCCAGAAACAAGCAATATAGATCAAACAACGTAATAACAAGAAAAGAATGACCAATGTCAATGCTTCAGCGCAGTTTCTCGAGACCTCTTGGCCATTAAACTGCTAATTCAATCAAGATTCATGAATATTGATTTCACTTTTCGAGATGTCCATTTTGCAACATTTTTATAACTTACAATTTTGTTAAGCTTAAATTTTAATTTTTTTTCCAAATTTTTAAATTTTTTTTGTAATTCTTAAAACAAATTTTCGGGATTAGGCGGCTCAGAATTACTTGAACAACCTAATACAATACTTCAAATAAATTTTTTTAAATTAAACCAAAATTCGCCCAAAAATTATAAAAATTCAAAATTAAAAAAGACATCTTTTGATTTTAAATTTTCAAAATCGAAATAATTTTTTCTCATTATCTGCCATTCCTTTTTTGACATAAAACCCGTTTATTTCAAACAATGTAAATGTAAAATGTGTCTTTTCCCTACAAAATACAACAAAATATTCAGAGACTTTTACAGAACAACTAAAAAAAGTTAACTAATCTCCACTAACAGTACTTTAAAAGTGCAAAAAATAAGAAAATGTAAGATTTAAAAATTTAAAAAAGATAAAAAAAAGGTTGACACCAACAATCTAAAGTAATCTTTGAAAGGAAGTACTGACTTCGACAAGCTATAACTAACTTATAAACTATAAATGCTCTAATTTTTAACTTCGAGGTATGCGAAGTAAGCTAATACAAAATATCGTGAAATGAAAAAAATTTCTTAACTAAAATCACACAAACTAAAAGTTAAAAACTAAAAAGACATCTAAACTGCTCTAAACTCATCTAAATATGTGGAATGGTCTGATTAATTGGGACTGGTGTGTGTCCTGGATGATTTATCAGGTACCAATCGTGAACGTACATTAATATCGCCATTGGTTGTCCCAGAATCAACGATAGCCACACGATAATGTTGCCGGATCGTCCACCTTTGAAGAATTTGTCCGTGAGGATTGACAGGGGGATTTGGGCCAACATTCCGTTGAAAGCCCATAGACGGAACATGTGTAGGGGTACTGATACCTAAAATAATGTCAATGTAATCAAGATGTCATGTTTAGTTCAAATTTAATACGTTAAAACTCCTGTACAACGAATCGCTCAGTGTTTTTAAGTTGTTTGTTATAAAGAAGTTTAGGTATACAACAGTTCGTTATACAGGAGTTCCCCTGTTTCAAGTTGCCGTGCACAGTACTTAATTGACAAAAGCACCTAAAACAACAAAAAATCCAAAAAGAAGTAAAAACCTACAATATATTCGTGGAAGAACGCTGAAATCAAGAAAACCACTATGGCGGCGGTGATTTTCGAATAGCCATTGTTGACGATCGGCCGGAAGACATGTCTTACACACCATCGATGGACTGGCATGTTCCATGTGCGCCAGAAATAGGAAATTGTTTCCGCGTTCCAAAAGTCCCTGGAATTTAAAAAATTTAATTCTTTTTTAAGCCTAAAACTTAGTTTTTAAGTCTAAAATTTGATTTTTATACCTAAAATTATATTATTTAAAATTCCATTTTAAGCCTAAAAACTTACAAGTAAAACTCTCTGTCGCCGAATCTCAAAATTTCTGCCAATAGGTTAAGTCCAGAATGAAAGATGGTGTAAAATCCCAGCAGCCATAGCAAATGATTTGGAATTGCCAGTTTCAATACCCTCTCCAAACAACGCTTAAAGTCCATTTCCGAAAACGGTCCGATACTGTTCTTAACCAACGGCATTACCCATTGTTGACAGAGAGCGACGATGATGAAGGAGAAAGTAATGAACTAAAAAAAGGTAATTTAAATAGCATTCCTTTGTCTTACGTAGACAAAGGAATGCAGTTTGGGTACTTTTCCAAATAATCATGATGAACTTACCTCAACGACTCTTTTCACTAAAAATCGTTTCCTTTGCATTGGAGTTCGTGGAAATCTGAGCTCGTAGCACAATGTTGGAGCTGCCATAAAGTAGTATACATTCGAAATGGTCAAGTTGTTTGGGTAATTGTGGGGATTGTCTTGTTGCTTCTGAAAAGAAAACTTATATTCAAGCCTAAAATTCATTTGTCATATTAGGTATAATACTCTATAACGTTAAGTAATGTACCTCATATTACACAAACATCTATAAAAATATTTTATAATACCTAAAAATTTATAAAAACCTTACAATTTTCCCCTCCCTATAAGCCGTTCGACACCAATAATTGACTTGAGCATAAGAAACCAGCTTCAATCCTTCAATAACAACCAAAGTCAATGTCCAGCAATTGTAAAGTGGATTCGAGTCGATCTTCGTTGATATGATAGCCGGAATGACAAAGTGAGAAATCATAAGAATTGTGTAGAAAACCACAGAGAATCTGTATCCACCGTAGCCTACTGCCATGAACTTCTCGACCAGCAACGACAATATGATGGAGATGTTGGTGCCAAGCATTATGGCAATGTTTGGCCAATGCCACGGTGTTAATGGAGCCCATCCGACCCAGTCCAGGGGGTTGATAAGGATTCCGTATTTTATTAGGTTTTCTAGAGCTACTCGACCATTGGATACGACCTGAAAGAAAATTATGATGAATGGGTTGAGTATTAAACTTATTTTAAGCTCGAAATCAAATTATAACCCTAAAACATTACCTTTGGGTCGAAAACGCCTATCAAACCTAAAATTACCTCAAACAAGCTTAAAATTAAAAAAAACTTACAAGTAAAAGAATGGCAAGGTTAAAGAATCCTTGATAATTTGTCCATCCCGAGCTTGAACTAAATAATGAGTCTTGAGCAACATGGACTGGCTGATCTGGCGCTACTTCAGTGAAACTGAAAAGAAATATAAAGAATATTACCCAAAACCTAAATTTGCTAACCTATAATTAAAGAAAAAATAAGAGTTGTTACCTAAAAACAAAAAATAAGAAAAATTCCAAAACGACTGGCAAGTTTAATATAATATTCACAAAATTAAACCTGAAATCTTACCTTTTTTTTGGTTTTGGAGTGGTTTGAATACCTGACGATGAACTGGAATCGTCTTCTCGAGGTTTCGATGTCCGACGACGACGCGCTCCACTCATTTTGCCTAAAAAACATCGAAAATTTTAAAAAAGTAGGGTACAGCAAAATTACTGTAGCTACAAAAATACGGTAAATTTTAGAAATCTGTAAGTTATTTTAGTTAACGAAAAGAATAATCTACAAGCACACTAAATTTTGAGCCAGTATCAATTTTTTCCAAAAAGTTATGGGTAAAACAATATTGTTCTCAATTTCATTTATCGCGCCAAAAAGAATTGAAGATTTCGTTATGAAAAACAATTGAAAAAAGCCCAATTCTTTTTGAAGCGGTTTTAAAATTGTGTTAATTCATTGATAAAACCAGGTATATAATTAAAATTATCAAAAAAAGGTCCTAAAAACGGTCCAAATTCAACAAAAAAAACAGCGAAAAACGGCCAAAACTCATCTATAACATCACAAAAAGATTAGAATACAACAATATATTGTCGTAAATGCTTTGTTTTGCCTTTAAAACGTTTTTTTATATAAAACTTTATGTAAAGCGACTATTAAAGTTAGCTCTTGATAAGCTCAAGATAGAAAAAAGGCACCAAAACAAGTTCAACATCGAAAAATCCCTTTTATTTTGGCTTTTTGCGAGCCGAAAAACAAAAAAATCGCGAAGAAAGGGTTCGGATCGAATTTTTGATCCAAAAAAGAGTTTTTTACACTCCGTTCCGTTTATTGATAAGACAAATGTCTTCGTTATCAGTAAAACAACGCGCCCGTTCAATCAATAACATTTGTTATTGTTTCGATGGTAGCAGTAAAACCGATTTTTTAGCCATTAGACAAAGGCATGGCGATTTTTGTAGAAGTTTAGGTACGAACGGGGTAAACAAATTATGAGTCAAAAATTTGGAGCAAAATTAGTTTTTTGGCCGGAAATCATACTTGAGATAAATATAGGGTATATGATAGTGCAAGGTAGGGATGGGTTTCCTTATGTAAGTATTTCGGGTCAAATTACAAAATTTTGCAAAAATCATTTTAAAATTTTGAATCACCGAACATCGATCACTAGACTTATTTTTCAACCAACAACAATTTTAGCCAAAACATATATTATTACCAAATATGATAATAATAGCTTCCACTATTACCAAATATTATATTAATAATAGATTCCACCTCGGCGGACATTGATCTTTTGTCAGCTCCCAACGCGGTCACCTTTTGAACTTGGGAATGTTATTTGATCGAAGAATGTTGGTGACTTTTATCAGTGCAATGTTTCATTCACTTAATGCTTCCTGTTATCTCAGCCTGTCAAAGGCATGCTGATAGTATAATATTCTTCTACTTTTGTCATTATGCAGATTACAACTTTAAGCTTGCTTTCGTCAATTTGTCATCAATTACATGTGGAAAGGTATGCCGAGCAGTAGCTGTAATTTGAAAAAAAGTTGATATACTTATCTCATAGTATGTCATCATACAATAATTAGAAAAACAAACTGTATCCAAAACAATCCGGATGTTCATCAATATAGCACAATTTATTAAAGGGAAAAATTATACAACAATGTAACATAATATTACCAACAAAAGGAAAGAATACCAGTGTTCAGTATAAGAGAGGATGTTTTTTTGGCATTTTTTAGTATGTGGCAGTGAAAAAAAGGATTACAATTGGGAAAATAACGATTAAAGAGCCACGGAATATGTGTTTAATCTCAATACGTCAAAGAAATACCAAAGAAAGATGTAAATGAAACTTTATCAGGCGAACATTAATGCACATTATTAGGTTTATTATTATCTTTTGCCATTACTATTTTCTTTTGGGAAACAGCGTTTTTAAGCCCAAAAAGCCTTAAGCCTAAACCCTCCCAAAGTTTACATTTAAAAACATTAACATCCGCTTGACTTTACAAAAGGTCAACAATTTTTTTGTGATTTTCTTGCGATTTATAGTGAGTTGATGAGGAGGAAAAGTGACAAAAAGTTTAACCGATTCGAAATGATACCCTGGACACATAATAATTTACAACGTTTACGAGAAAAAAATATCTGCAACATTCAACAATAACAACGTGCAAAACTTTAGAGGATGATTCTGTTAATATACAAAAAAAGAGAGAAAATTGTGACAAAAAGTTATGCGTGTAATAAAGATTTGATCATTTTTTAGTGCAAAATACATGGAAAAAAGGTCAATTCTTTTTGACGCGGCTTCTTATTCGAATTGCCAGAGGTGGTTTGAAGTACAGTAGCAGCCTTAGAGCTACTGTAACGTCGGTACGGACAAAGAAGAGTACTGCAATATGATGTTACAGAAAGATTGTAGCTTCTGTAGCACATTAGCTGCCATGACCTATGTTACCACTTCTATAACCAATGTTATCGTGGCTCCAGTTCGTTCAAAGCCTTCAGAAGTGTCTTGACGTGCTGTGGTTTCACCAACAGTCCCACCAGCTTCTGATTTCCATTGGTTTGAATTCGAACAGTTTGCATATTCGGCGTGGCTGCATTTTTGTTGGTTTTGGCTTCGGTTAGGGCTTTTTCCAAGATCGGCCAAACCGCGATCACCGAGCCAGACAGTACAAAGTAGGTACGGAACCGACGGCCAACTTCGCAAAATATGTTTTGTTCTTCGGTTTTGCAGGAGCCATTCAGGTAACGGTGGAAACACATGGATCCGAGCTCTGAAGTGAAACAAGTTAAGATAAAGACTGTATTTTAGACATTAAAATGCCACAAAAACAATATTTAGGTAACAAAAACCCGTAAAAGCGTTATTTTAGGTAACAAACATCCATAACAACACTTTTTAAAGCAAAAGACCATTGCCCTAGTTCTATCGCTATCCTTTTCCTAATCACAATATAAACCTACTATCATAATGCTCATTCCAGACCTTCTCAGCTTCAGTCATTGGGACTCTAGTATGTTTCCTCAAGATCTCCGAGATCAAAAATGATTTCGACGATCTTCCAGAGTTCGGCCTGACAATGGTGTATGTCTTCTGACCATTCGAGTTCAACGGGCTTCTTTTTAACGAATGTACAACCAAAATGATCAAGACCTTTCGATGAGCATTTGCTTTTCCCAAATAGAAGCCACAAACATTGTCTTCGTCGTCGGTTTGGGCTTGGAACAATCTGACGGCTTCTTCCCATTTTACTCCACGTTCCGCGCCGATTTTGTGCATTTTGACCAGGAAATTGGAGTTATCGATAACTCCGCGGAATTCACGTTTCTCCATTTCTGTCGCTGTGTCTGTGCCGTGTCCAAGATCTGAAAAAAAAAAAAAGATTCAAAAGTTTATTGTACAAAATAGCCCTGTTTTCCCAAAAATCAAAAAAAAATGCAAAAAAGCGGTTTATGGTAAAACTACTGTAACTTCGTCATTTTTGTAAAAGTTTAAATTTGCTTTTTTGACTACGTTAAAAAGTAGAATAATCTATAATGACACCGAATTTCAAACTTATGCCACGTTTTTAAAAAAAGTTACTATTAAAAATTGCAAGACATCCAAATTTTTAAAAAAGCAGGGTTTACTAAAATTACTGTAAATTCAAAATTTTAGTACCTTTTAAAACTTTGTTTTTGAAATTAGGTAACAAGAAGAATTGTTTTCAATCTCGTGAATTTTCAAGTTCCTAGATTCATTTAGAAAAAAGAACTAAAAGTAGTCAATATAAACTAAAAAGTAGTCCTATTGAAGTCCAAATTTAATAAAGTTGTTATTTTTAACCTCACTATCTAAACAAAAATTAGCTTACCCATGATTCCCTTATCAAAAGTGCCGTTAGCCTTTGCTTGTTTGATCAATTCATTGATGATATCCGTAAAGTATCCAAACAGAGCATTTTGAGCATGAACCGGCAATCCTAACAGTCGATTCAAGAACTTTGACAGACTGACACCTTCCTTCTCAATTGTCAATACTCCAGCTGGGTTGTTTGGGTTCTTCGACAGAACCCCTACTCCCACCAGGTACTCCCGCATATCTTCAAAGAAACTCGCATTCTGGACCTTGTAGTCGGCTGGTGGAGGTAGGAACAACTTATTCCTCGGGTTCGACAGGGTTTTGATCATGATTTGCAGGGCATCTCGGCCGTACCTGTTGTCCAGGTTGAACTGACTCAAGTCTCGAGATTCTGTCGCTCTTCTGTCACCGTGAGTTAATGCCCCTAGGCATTCCAGTCTTTTTGCCACTACTGACGCGAACCTCTTCTCTCCGGCCAGCTCTGAGATCAGGAATAGGTATTCTGGAGCTGTGAGCTGATTCGAACGGTGAGTACGACCAAACTGTTGTACGGCTTTGTCGGCTGACCATGGGAGCTCAAGTGTAATATGAACTCGTCTTCGTTTGTTCTCAACTCTTCTGTCACTTTGGAGCGAGATACCTGAACTGGCGGCTTCTGAGATCACTGCTACCAGCTTCTCGCCTTTCATGAACTTCTCCTTCTCTTCCAGATTCATTAGCTCGACTGGCGCCATGCTGTTTGCGTTCCTTGGTTGATATTCGACTTGACCGTTTGGTTGAACAACAATTCTGCCCTTTCGACCAGTCATTTCAGCTACATGTTCTGGGCCTCCAAGTTCGTCGATGAGTTGATCTAGAGTGTTTGGTGGTAACATGTGTCCTAGGCGTTCTACTGCGGCCAATAGCTCGGTTTTGATCATTAAAAGGGAGGATGGGTCTCGTTGATGGTCGTTCTCGATTACTCTGGTCGATTCCATAAAATCCGCTGCGCTTGTGGCATTTTCCACTCGTCGTTGGCCTATCAGCTCTTTTTCTCGTTTCTTTTGTTCTTCTAGTTCTTTTCGTTTTCGGCGCAGCTTTTGGCGGAGTCTGATCTTTCTTCGTCTTCGCCTTTCTTCCTTCTTTCTTTCTATCTCTTCCAGCTCTTTTCGTTTCTTGATTTCTTCGGCTTCTTGTTGATCTTCTTGGTACTTTTGGTAAGGAGCCCAAGGGTCTTCGGCCGACGAGAAATCGTGTTGGAATGGGTCAACATCGGGTGTGTAACTATCGTCGAGTTGGTCCATTAGAGTGTCGAATAAGCTGTCGTGGCGTTGGCGGGCCAAAGTGTCTTTAGCTGAAATTGCAAAAGTTTAATTTATATTCTATATTATAATAGCTTAAACCACGACTAGCTTAAATTAAACGTCCCCTCACAAAATCAACATGAAAAATCTCAATATTTAGGTACAAAAAACGTATTCTTGGCTCCCAAAAAACCTAAAACTAAATATAAGCCCTCAATCTAAACCAAAACCCTTACCATTATCCACTTTTTCCTCTTCCACTTCACTATCAGTCAAATCTTCGTCATCCAACAGATCATCATCATCAAGTTCCTCTTCGTCCGTGCTGGCTTCGCTTCTTTCCTCTTCTGATTCCGAGTTTTTCTCTTCTTCATCTTCAGTGTTCGAGCTTCGTTCACTTTCATTCGCGGTTCCCATTGAGTTTTCCCTTCGTCGCTTGTAAGAATGAATATTATCCATGACTAGACGGCGTTTTCTTGAGAACGTGCCACTAGTTGGTCCGCCAGCACCGATGGAGAACATGCGGCCCATGTCACCGAGGATGCCCATGCCATCCGAATCGCCTACGGGGAAATGTTTTTCGATCAGGCTTTGAAGTACGGCTTTGGTCGTGCTGACAAAGTCAGTGATTTCACCGGCATCGCCTAGTACACCTAAAGTTTGGGCTTCTCCTGTTGACTGTAGACCTATGACAACACACTTTCCATCTTCCAGGGCCTTTTTCGATATTCCGACACATGCGTTGACTTTGGCACCGATGCAAAGGTACTTGAAGAAGCGTTGATGGGCTGACCAGAACTGTGCCCAGACCGTTTTTTCGTTTCGTTCGTCGCTCTTCAGTACGTCTATGGCAAATTGGAATTGTCTTCGGCATTCCATCCACAACTTGACACTTTCATCGTATAGTTTCACAAAATCATCATCTAGTTGTACCTCTTCTACTGCGAAGCTGACGCCTTTAAAGCTGAGCTGTCTGGCCAAGTACAGGCCTCTGAGCTTCATGTCCATTGCGACCATCTCCATCGCTCCAACACCTCGTTCTTCTACAGCATGAATAAAGTCCGAAAAGGTTGGGAAACATTGTTTCTCTCCCCACAAGCCTAACCTCGTCATGTAAGCCATGTTTCTGGGTTCTGTAGCTCCAGTAGCCGATGCGTATATTACTCTGCCATTCGGTAGGTTCTTCTGTAGCTCCAGTACGTATCTTCCTGTCTTCGTTGGCTTAGATCCGGCAGTTGGTACCAAGTTTTTGGCATGATGACATTCGTCAAAGATAATTGGCCCATCGAAACCTTCGCCGCACCACTGAATAAGTTGCTGAAGTCGCGATGAGATGCGATTCGTTTTGTCCTCGTCGTCTTTGAAGTGGCGTGCTTCACAGATTAAACTCGAATATGTGGCAAAAATGACGCCTTTTTTGATAAACCCGTTCTCAGCGCTGTTAATCCGTGCATATTTGAGTTGATTTAGTTGATACACATCCACGTTGTCGGCTCCGATGTCTCTCAGATCTCGAACCGCATCGTAGTACAAGTCGGATGAGACTGAGAACCAGAGAGCACGTTTCCGGCCTAACAGGTAGTTCTCGAAGATTATCGTCGCGATTGTGCGGCCTTTACCTACTCCAGCACCATCGCCTAAAAATAATTCTGTTAAGCATAAAACTCATTTGAAAAAACCTGAAAACCTGTAAAAATCGCCTCGACTTCATTAAAATCTTCAAATTAAAAAAAATCAAACAATGACCCTACGGCAAGGAAGAACTCTCGTATTTTACAAAAACTCCCAATATCTACCCTAAAATCCAAAAATGATGTAAAACCTACCGATTAGATACCCAACTCTTTCGCCTGAAGGTAATATCCTCTCCTGTGCTTGACATGCGTATAAAGCTGCTTCCAACTGTAATGCCGAAATTTTCCCGCTGTCAATCGTCTCTTCTGGTATTGTCATGTGATATCGTATCTCTGGTGCTGACACTGCTGATAATGAGGCGGTTTCGACGACTGAATCCGGATGTTCACACCCTGAACGCAGTTTGAGGGGTTTGTACTCGATGAAGGTGTCCACTTGAACGTGTTTTTCTTCCTGAACAAAAAATTTCAAAACCTAAGCCTAAACTTCATTTTAAGCTTAAAATCCATGTTTAAACCTAAAATGAATTTGTAAGCCTAATATTAATGTTGAAGCCTAAAATTCCTCTTTAAGCCCAAGGTTTCACTTTTAAGCCTAAAACTCCACTTTCAAGTCTAAAATTTGTTTTTTAAGCCTAAATTATCTTAGAACCTCAACTTCACCCTTTTAGCCTAAAATTCAATTTTCAAGTCCCAAAAATCCCGCTAACCCTAAACCCAACTTACCTCATCTTCCAAGCCAAACGTCGTATCAGGTTTATCGACCGGTCGTTGTGGTGCTTGGTTCTCCGTACTCGTCCCCGGTTTGGCAGGGTCTTTCACCGGCGGATTCAACGGTTTTTGGAATGTTTGCGGTTTTAAAGGAGGTAACGGCGTCGCGACAACCGGCTTCACCAACTGTGCCATTTGTGGTCGGGTTGGTTTTGGCAGTGTGGGGGTTTTGAAGGCGGGTCGAACGATTCGAAGACTGTTTTGAGGCGGTTTGAAGACGTGTTGTTGGTCGTCGAACGGCCTTTGCAACATTCTCTGCCGGTTAATCGGCCGAGATTGTGCTAGCTGGACTTGTGATATGTTTCGACTGTATGGGGGTTGCTGCATCATTGGGCTCTAGAAGGAAAAATTTGAGTTTAAAATATAACTTTTGCCCTTAAAATGTAAATTTAAGCCTAAAAAAATAAATTTTTAGCCTAAAACTTTGAGCTTATGATTAAAAATCGTATCTTTAGGCTTACCTCAACAATTTTCCCGCCAGAAGTGTAATTGTATGTTCGAACCGTCCTAGTACCTCCATTTTGCAATATCACCGTCCTCGCGGTCTTCGGAATGCCATCCTGCTTTATTATCCTTGGCTGGGGGTTGTGAACCGGTATCCTTTGAATAACTTGTGTGCCATTCGGAGTAACCGTTCTAATCTGTCGAAAAGTACGTACTGGTCTTGGGGTCTAAAATATTGACATATAAACTCCATTATACTTTATTTATCCATTAATTGACCAAAAATAAAGCAAAAATGAGAATTTTCGGACAAAAGTAAGGTTCGCTAAAGCTACTGTAACTTTTAAACCAATGTAGTTTTTAAAATTCCGTTTTTAGAACTAAATGCCAAAAAGATCAAACGATAATCATAAAAAATTTTAGTGCTCTAACTAACTTTCCAAAAAAGCTATGACCAATAAAGGTTAACACTTCCAATACCTAAAAATCAAAAAAAATCTAGAAGACATACCACTTTAACACCATCACTAGTAACAATTTGTGGCGGCGTTTCCACGAAAGATTTGTTCACAATTATCCTCCTCGGCTGTGATGGTGTTGGTGCCAAAACAGGCTGTAGTGGAGGCGGTTTAGATGCCACAAGAGGCTGTGGGAGTGGTGGTGTTGATGATACAACAGGTTGTGGGGGTAGTGATACTGTTGATAGAACAGGTTGTAGTGCTGGTTGTGCCACAACTGGCTGTGTAGATGTTGATAATGCTACAACAGACAGTGGAGGTATTGTTGATGCTACTACCGGCTCTGGCTTCGTTTCCTCTTCTGTTTTCGGTGTAACTTGAACTTCAGCAGGTTTAATATCATCATTTTTCACCTGAAAATGATTTATTAGGCTCGTGTGAACGATAGACGTTTTAAAGTAATAATTTTTGATTGTAATAAAGCGTATATTCATCCTGTAACATTGATTCTTGAATTGGTCTATTTCACTTTTAGGTTTTCAGAAAAAAGATTTTACTACAAGATAACCACAAAAATATTGAAAGTAAAAAATTAATTCGATGATTTTTTCCATTTTTCATTTGTTTTATTCATATGCCGCAACCTTTCTCGCTTTTTCAGCTGTTTATTAACCTTGTATTTTTGCAATTTATTATGATAAACCTCCCTTTCCACAAAATCAAATGCTTTCTATCCACTATTACCTAAAAACCAACAAACAACACAAACAAACAAATACCTGGTGTGAAACTGAGGCTGGTAGTGGAGGTTTCTCTTCCGTTTTCACCTCTTCCACCTTTGGTTCGTCTTTGACGGTCTCTGGTTCCGGCTCGAAAAAGTCAAGACCTGCATCTAACAACGCGGTCTGCAGGATGTCATCCATACGCTTCGATTCCCAATTGTGACCTAAAATAGCGAAAAATTTGATTTTTTTGAAAAAGGCTAGATTTAATGGCCTTTAACGGAAAAAACATAATTCTCACAATAAAAACGAAAGATTTACAACATAATCGTTGTTCAAGTAATAATTAAACACGCGGTAACTTATTTTACTCATACCAACAGGAAAAAAAAGAACATGATTGTTACTAAAAACGCCACTAATTAAAAAATTAATTAGTGTTTATGCCTGTTAATTAATGTCCAATCTCGTGAATTGCCACAAAGTATACAATAAAAACTATAAGAACCTTTTCTTCTTTAAATTTATTTTCATTCTTTATATCGTTGAGTGTTTGATGCCTAAAAATTCAATTTATAATTGTTATATAACGTTTCTAAACCTATAACAATATTATTGAAATAAAAAATAACTAAACCTTCTAAAATGTATTAAACAACAAGAAACATATAAATTAAAGTTTAATGAAGCTTCAAACACAGTTTTTAAAAAGACTTTTGCTTGATTCTAAGAAAGAACAGCAATATCATCAAAAATATAACCTAAAACAATATAAATTGTGAAATAAAATAAATTTCTCAACATTAAAAGCACTAAACATTAAAGTATATACAAAGAAATGCAACGACAATCTAAAAAATAATTTTTTGTCATTATTGTTACCTATTTTTTAAAAATAAATTTAGCTTTATTCATTTTTTAGAAATATTAAACAATGTCATCCAAAAAACACCTCTTTAAACATTTTTAAAAAACAGAAAGCGCAAAAAAAATATTAATATAAATCTTAAAGTACCTAAAACGTAAATTTCCAACCCAATATTGTTGAATTTTTCACGGTTTTTGCGAAATTCTCCAGAAAAGTCGGAAAAACGCGGCGAAAAACGGGAAAAATGGAAAATTTTGGGGAAGAAACGCCAAGTTCTGGGGTTCTTTTTCGAGCAGCTGGGGGGTGGGGCTTTAGCTGACGTGAGAACACATGCCCCAGACATCACGCGACCCGATGAGAGACAAAACGACATGAATAGAGACGAAAACACTTGAACAGAGACGAAATTCCCTCTAAAAATGCGCTATTTCGCATTGTTTTCGTGTCAGGACGATTTCGAAATAACTTTAAAATACGTAGAATAGTGCCATAAAAATAAAGAAGATAGTAAAAATTTATATTATAGATAAAATCTTCGTATTACTTCGCAAAAATGGCTTGAAAACTGTGAGATAATACAGAAAAATACAAAAAAAGTTTCTTTTTCCGCCTTTCGTATAAAAAAGAAGCGCAACCTGCACTTTCGGACGCAGCTCGTCTAATAAATAAAATAAAAATTTGTTCGACAAAATTTTGTTTTCTTCACAACATTAGCTGTCCAGAAGAGCTGACCACAATAAAAAAGGTTTGTAAAGTATATTTATTTTAAATCTTTGGTTTAAGCCTAAAATATCTTTTTAAAGTCTAATTTCAACGTTTTTCAGGCACCACATGACCGGTCGATAAATATGGGTACCCCTTTCAAATCCAAGTTCTTCTGTGTTCCAGCCAAACATAAATCAGAAGCCGGAAAGTATTTTGTCTATTGGAAGGCGGATGAAAACGTTTTTGGAATAACAGATCTTGAAGGTCATGTGTATGAACAAACGCTTGATAAACGAACACGACAGACGCTAATGAAGAATTGTGGTGACGAACTGTTGGACATTAAATGGCTGTAAGTTACTTTTGTCTTGTCTGTTTGTGTGATTTTAGGGTCGATTTGTCATGAACGACTAATATATTGTTAATGTTTGGAGTAAACTTTATTTATCCAAGAACTCTGTTAAAATCTTCAGAATTCATGAACTTTTGCACCTAAATCTGAAGATCTACGAAGCTTTGGATTCAAACATAAATTATTTTTTACTCTTTGTACTCTTTTACCTTTTGTAATTACCTTTTTCCGCATGTAAATTGAAATTTAATTCAGAGCTGCTTTTAAGAACAAAGCCTTCAAAATTCATAAGATGGACGATGCCAAAGCAGAGATTGGGTACTTAAGTGGGAAGTTATCGATAGAAAGAAGCAATGCCGATCCTAAGGAGATCGTTTCCAACATAATATTGAAGCTTTTGGAGGATCGGGAGGAACTTGAGGTAAGTTAATCTATTTTTTACTTCAAAATTTTGTTCTTTGGTTCAGAATTGGAGTTGATAGCATAAAACAAGTTTGAATTTAATTTTTTGAACCTATAAACACTGTTTGTTGCATTTTACTCCTAAAATGTTTTACTTTTATGATTGTTAAATTTTGTTGCAGGAATACGTGAATACGATAAAAACCGAATCTGTGGATCCGGTGAAACGATGGATACGAAAGGCAGTTGTAAGTTGGTTTCTTTACTTTTATTCTCTTTTGAACTGTAATGTGGGCTTACGGCTGAAATTTTAAGCTTAATATGAAATTTTTGATTAAAAATCTATTTTTAGGCTTAAAAATGAAATTTAGGCTTAAAAATTGCTCTTCATGAAAAAAAACTACTGTAAAATGACAAGATCACGGGTTCATCTGGTACTTTGTTTTATCATCGCTAAAGTTGTTAAACGATTGATAAAAAGCTGTTTTGTTGACTGACAGCCAAACCGTTTGATAAAAATAACGTAATTGTCCTCTAGATCGAAGAAATATTGATGATCGAGTTAAAAATGACACTTTTCAGACGACAACACAAGATCCGATGAATAAAAACCGTCGGATACGTTTCCTACCTAACAAACCGTCCGTTTCCACGCCGGAGAAACGTGTGAAAACCGAAGAGAACTCACAAGAATAGCCAATGAAGGAATATTAAAAGACGAATTTGGCTTGGTATCAACATGGAATTCGACTAGAATCAACATCTTCCTTGATGTAAAATAACCTATATTAACATCAATTTTTATATCAATTTTAACAAAAACTAACTTTTATATCAAAACGGTGAAAAACCTGCTTTTTCTTATTGTAACTTTCAGAAAATTTTTTATCTTAATTTATTTTGTACATTCTTGCCCTCGGGCCGGTGGCTTTGATCAGAAGGGGGGGGGGGTCGGAAATTGACAAAGGTAGCTATTGCCAATCTTTTCATAATTTTTTCTTGTAAATTAACAGGGGACCATTTTCCTTTTTTGCAAAAAAAAATCTATTTATGACTGTAGCTACCTGCCGTTCAAAAAAAATTGTATTATCAATCCCCGGCCCAGAAAAAAACTTTAACATCCACCCCCTCTTCTGTAGCGGCCGGGTCTGTTCTTGTCTTTGTTATATTTTTCATTGTCCCAACTCACTCTATGTAAATATCATTTTTCAAAACATTTTCGAATCGTATTTTATAACACTACTTTTTTCAACAATAAAATCTGTATTCATCATTCGTATTGTATGAACCAGACAGTTCAAGCCATGTTTAAAAATTTATTTACAGAAAACCTTTATTATGTTATTTATTAATAATATTAACAATATAGTAGAATGAAAAATTGAAAAGTTAGAACTTTAGAAGAGAAAGATATAATAAAAGGCTAAATTTTTAGGCCTGACAATTTGTAAGCAAGAATTTTAGGCTTAAAATGGAGTTTTATCTCTATAATAATATGATACAGCTGACAACCAAATCATGAATGTTAAACATATAGTTTGTGTATCAACCAGTATCGTCCATCAATGTATCCAATTACTTTTTATACTGCAAGAATCTGAGCGTGAACGGCCTATCATCAACATCACCACAACTCTGATCCAAGTAATCGTCCACTTTGAGCATGTCCATGTAATCCTCAACGTCATCTCCCATCCGATACGGTTTCTTATAAGAAGCCGGAGGCATATGCCATTCCTGGTAGAACGAGTTGGGCTTGAAGTAAGTCGTGAACCACGCGTTCCCTGGGTCGGCCCATAGTTCGGCGGTGGGCTTTGTTGGCTTGGCGTTCGAGTACAAGGTGAAGAGGTCGCCGTAGTCGAACTCTGGCATTTGGACAATGTTGGCCACCACAATTTCGGCCGACTTTAAATTCGAGTTCTGGCGAAGGATGGTGAGGTAGTGAGTGGCAGTGTACAAGGTGAGATCGACAAGTGGGTTTTGGGAGAGCTGAACTTAAAATGACAGGTTTTTAGGCTTAAAAATAACATTTTGAGATAAGAAATGAAATATTAACCTTAAAAAAACTTTTGCCTTAAAAACAAAATTTTAGGCTCAAAAATAAAAGTTTAGGCTTGAAGATGCAATTTAGGCCTAAAAATAATGATATTACCTAAAATCTTTCTTGGCACCCCCTAACTCCCGGTCCTGCCTATCTTCACCAAAAAAATCATTTCAATACCATTTTCAATTAGAAAATTTCAAAAACCTTCCAAACACTCACCATTTTACTGTCCACAACCATGAGTAATCTAAACTCGATGTCATTCAAAGTAAACGCATATGGCCATTGATTTTCGAGATTGTTGAACTGACTGTATATCAATCCGTCCAACTTCAACTCAAACTCTTGGAACCGGGGCTTTGCTTCAAAGTAATCCAGCAGAAAGTCCAGGGCTCCAACTCTGTTCAATTCAGCTTGATCTTCAAGTGGTTCTTCATTTGGAGCGTAGTGAACCGCATCTTGAAGCTTCATCAACCTCAACTTGACATTCTCTTTCGGATTGACGTTGTAGCTGAAGTCGGCATCTTGGTCCGCATTCTCATCGCACGGTATTTTGTGTAGCCGACGGTGAACGAATTTCTTCTCATTTTTGTTATCATTAGTTGGTGTGGCTACGATTATATTCAAGGAGGTGCCAAACAGGGTATCGGGTAGTTGTGCGAGGTAAAGTTTAGGTAGATATGCAAATTCGTAACCATATTTGGCCAATATTTCGTGATTTCGGATCGGTGAGCATCTGGCAAGAGGAAAAATCTGATTTGAATGAATTATTTTGCATGTTAGTTGAAAGTAGATCGTGGAAACAGCTGAAATTTAGCCAAAACTTAAGCTAAAACAGCTTAAACTGTATAAAATGTCCTAAATTCAATGAAAATCCAATAAAACTCCTTTAAAATTCATTCAAATACCAAAAAATACTTTAAAATATTTACAAACCGCAAAAACCTAACATCAAAAGCAATATTATATACCTCAACTAAATAATAAATACCCCAACATACCTTCCAAAATAATCTTCATCACCAAATTTAGATCCGCATCAACAACAACAAGCCTTTCCAGCCGTGGTACAATCATTTTTCGATACAAAAACAAGTCCACGGACGAAATTTCATAAAAATCAGTTTTGTGATCAATGTAGATCTTACATTCCTTATAAAACCCACTCTCTTTGCCACACAATCCTTTACGTATCCTCTTCCTTTCCGATTTATTGAGCTTGACATAACTATCTCGATCGAATCGACATGATTTCTTAACGAACTCGGACAATATCACCTTGGCACAACTGGTGTAGAAGAACTTGTGGGCTTCGGCAAGAATAAGGAAGAGTTTCTAAAGGCAAAATTTATTAAATTATTACTTACATGAACGGATGTGACAACATGCTTCATTTTAAAGATAAATAATGCAATAATACATCAAATTTAGGTAATAATGGCCAAGAAATTTAACAAAACCTACACCAAATCTCACATTTTGCTTTTTTTCCAAAAAATAATCAAAAACCTTGATAACATACCCTTTTATGATGCTCAGCCATCTGAGTATCATTTTCGACAACATTAATGTAATTACTGTCCATAATTTGAAACACATTCTCGAAAGCGTGCAACTGGTTCAGGTCCACAATCTCCAACTCCCCTTGAAGCGGTGCGAACGATTCCAGTTTCAGCCGCAATTTATGCATGACAATATATTCCTCTGCACTACATGTATGTACGAGCACAACATTTTGCCTTCATAATTATCAAGCATACCAAGTGCAATTGGTCCCCTCGCGAAAACGATCGGCGCAAAATTGCTTGGCCTTTCGTTTTGTGAGAGAAAATTTGCGTGTAAATAAATAAATTTACAAAAGAAGTAAAGTTTTTGTGAATTGGTGGAGTTCGTCAAGCTTCTGCTTTTTTTATTTTTGGTATGTTATCTTTTCGCAATTTATGTTGAAATCTTAGGCAAAAATTGTTATTTATATAGTTTTATCTGTCGTGAACAGGTATAACTGGCCAAAAATGTTGTTTTTTGGACAGAAAACACTGTGGATTTTCCTGAGCGCTAACATATACATATCATCAAACTTTTACATGTTTTTTAAGCCTTTACAGAAAGCATGATAGTTGTAGTGTATGAAAAACGGGGTTAATGCTTTGTGACCGGCACTCGGTACAAAGTCCATTCACGAAGAAGCAGACGCGTTGTAGTGATAAATTAAAAGGGCGGAGTGGACTTTAATTGTTGTGCTGTTGTTGATACGACGGTTGACGTCGATTCACCGCGGAATATTCGAAAATTTTGAGTTTGCATTGTACATATTACTATTTTCATTAATTAGCATATAACTGATCACCTTCTTTTCATTGTAACTTTTTTAAAAGTAGAGCTGTAGTTTTGAAATTTTGTGTGGTCTTAGGTAATTAATGTAGCTTTTTGAACACAACTTCTTCATCCTGAACATTTACTTTTAGCCCGTTGACGACAGCTAGTTAAAATAACTTAATTTTAGGTTGATTGTCCCATCAAATACTCAAAATGTCGTGTGGTTTGAGAACGTCTTCAGTTAGCCGATTGGTTTCGAGACGTTATGCTTCAGCCGGGCCCAAACGTACTGGTCCAAATGTGGTACTGATCGATGCTGTTCGTACTCCATTCGCGGTTTCACAAACTGTCTACAAGGACTTGATGGCAGTGGATTTGCAAAGAGCTGCGTTCTTGGGTATGTCTTTGACTTTGCTTTGGTTTTTTAGGTATCAAATTGGATCAGCTGGGAAGAACTATAATATAGATTTATTAAAGTCTGGGTATGGATACGATGGCAGATTTGGGCTTATTTCTTATCTTTGTGGCCTGTTTTTTTATGTTTTAGGCTTCAAAATGAATAAAAAGTGGATCTATGTCTAAAATTTTGATGTTTTCATTATGGTTCTTTAATTTTTTTTAATTTTAAGGGCTACACGAACGCACCAAGGTGCCATTAGAGGATGTTGGATACATTTGTGGAGGTACTGTCATTCAAGAAGCTTTGACTTCGAATATTGCTCGTGAAGCTCAATTACTGTCCGGGTTCCCTGATTCTGTAAGTATACTGTCATTTTTTATAGAAAAGGAGGTGTTTTTACAAATTATTGGTTCAAAAATGGCATTTTAAATCATTTTTTGATTAAAAAATAAAATTTTCTAACTATATTTCGAATGAACATGGCATTTTTGTCCATTTCGGACTGAAAGATTACTTTTTTAATGATATTTGAGAAAATTTGAAATCTCAACTAAATCTTGACCAAAAAATCCATCTCAAAGCACAATGCTGGCTTCAGATTCCCTCCCACACCGTAACTCTTGCCTGCATTTCCTCAAACGTCGCCCTATCAACTCTCCAAGCTCAAATCCAATCCGGCAATTACGACGTAGCCATAGCCGGAGGTGTAGAATTCTTATCCGACGCTCCAATCAGATACAACAGAGAGGTGCGAAAAGCCATGTTTGGAATGCAAAAGGCCAAAGCCCTGCCAGATCGACTAAAATTCGGTCAAAAAATCATTGGAGGCATCTTCAGCCCACAATTGCCAGCCGTAGCCGAGTTCACGTCTGGAGAAGTGATGGGTCACAGTGCGGATCGTCTGGCTTCGGCTTTTGGAGTGTCCAGAAAGTAGGTTAATATTATGTTTTTAGAGGGGAAGGTGTGGATAATTCTATGATTTATGAATGAACCAGGGTGTGGATAAATGATCAAGAGAATGAGGAGGGGTGGTAAAAAATTTTTTTTAAATCTTTTTTTTCAGAGAACAAGACGAATTTGCCCTCCGATCCCACACTTTGGCCCAAAAAGCTCAGAAAGAAGGGAAACTGACCGATGTTATCCCCTTCTATGACCCAACCGGAACTGCCAAGAAACCCTCAATCTTCGAAGACAATGGAATCAGAATCACGCCGATCGAGAAGTTGTCTTCGCTGAAACCGGCCTTCATTAAGCCTCACGGCACTGTCACTGCTGGTGGGTTTTATATTTTTTAAGCTTACAGTTGATTTTTAAGCCAAAAGTTTTAGTTTTAGGCTAAAAATATAATTTTTAAGTCTGAAATTCATTTTTAAAAATTTCTTAAGCCTATTTCATTTTTAACCCTAAAATATTATTTTTAAGCTTAAAGCTTTATCTTTCGATCTACAGGGTCATTAGAGAAATTTGAAGGTAAGTAAAAGCTTCGTACTCAAAAACTAGGAGTACTAAAAAGCCGATTTTTTTTATATAGTACCCAATAGTGGGCCATTTTGGAATTTTACTGTTTTGATCGAGTTCGGCGGACGGTCGGCGGAGACGCAAAATTTGTCAGATTTTACCTTCAAAAGCTTCAAATTTGGTCGATTTTGTGTTTTGAAGGTACAGAATAACATACATCTTTATAAAAAATTTATTTTTCTCCGCGTCGGCGGAGACTGCATTTTTACCGGCGAAGGCTTTAACTCGGCTCAAACTCAATATTTTCTCTTCGGACAAAAACTAGCAGAATTGTGACATTAAAACGCATAAACTAGTACTAATTTTGAAAATTTTCCGTTAATTTTAAAAATTCGGCTGACATTCAACTTTTCGGCGGAGACTATTACTCAGCCCAAAATTCATATTTTTTTCTTTAAACAAAAAGATTTAGCTTTACATTGTTTGTTTCTACGCGTAGTTTAAATTTGTTATTATTTGGTTTAAGTTTGACAATTCGGCGAAGGCACATGATTTCGGCGGAGATCATAACTCAGCTTAAAACTCATATTTTCTTCTCAAATAAAAAAAATTGAGTTCTTAGCTTTTTAATCCACTTAACTTTTAAATTTCGTCATTTTTACGCTAATATTGACAATTTGGCGGGAGCAGTGTTATCGGCGGAGGCCATATCTTGGCCCATAATTGACGTGAACATGAAAAGCTATAGGATTAGGAATGTTAACAATTTATAAACATTCATTTTTTATTGGGTGAGGTAATATTAAGTTTGGGGAAAGATATGGCCTCCGCCGATAACACTGCTCTCCGCCAAATTGTTAATATTAGCGTAAAAATGACGAAATTTAAAAGTTAAGTGGATTAAAAAGCTAAGAACTCAATTTTTTTTATTTGAGAAGAAAATATGAGTTTTAAGCTGAGTTATGATCTCCGCCGAAATCATGTGCCTTCGCCGAATTGTCAAACTTAAACCAAATAATAACAAATTTAAACTACGCGTAGAAACAAACAATGTAAAGCTAAATCTTTTTGTTTAAAGAAAAATATGAATTTTGGGCTGAGTAATAGTCTCCGCCGAAAAGTTGAATGTCAGCCGAATTTTTAAAATTAACGGAAAATTTTCAAAATTAGTACTAGTTTATGCGTTTTAATGTCACAATTCTGCTAGTTTTTGTCCGAAGAGAAAATATTGAGTTTGAGCCGAGTTAAAGCCTTCGCCGGTAAAAATGCAGTCTCCGCCGACGCGGAGAAAAATAAATTTTTTATAAAGATGTATGCTATTCTGTACCTTCAAAACACAAAATCGACCAAATTTGAAGCTTTTGAAGGTAAAATCTGACAAATTTTGCGTCTCCGCCGACCGTCTGCCGAACTCGACCAAAACAGTAAAATTCCAAAATGGCCCACTATTGGGTACCATATAAAAAAAGAATCAGCTTTTTAGTACTCCTAGTTTTTGAGTATGAAGTTTTTACTTTCCTTCAAATTTCTCTAATGACCCTGTATTTTCCTACTAATGAACCCTATTCCAGGTAACTCTTCCTTCCTGACCGACGGCGCCTCAGCAGCCCTGATTTCGACCGAGGAATACGCCCTTCGCAAAGGCTACAAACCAAAGGCTTTCCTACGCGAAAACATGTTCGTAGCCCAAGACCCAAAGGATCAACTCCTCCTATCTCCAGCCTACGTCATCCCACGCCTCCTGAAGCGGGTCGGCCTCAAACCTCAAGACATTGACGTGTTCGAAATCCACGAAGCTTTCGCCGGCCAGGTCCTGGCCAACCTCAACGCCATGGACTCGGATCACTTTTGCAAGAACAACATTGGATTAAGCGAGAAGTTGGGCCGCCTCCCCATGGACAAGATCAACTTGTGGGGCGGATCCCTCAGTCTGGGCCATCCCTTCGGCGCCACCGGTATCAGATTGGTCGCACACGCCGCCGCACGTCTAGAAGCCGAGAACGGCCGCTACGCCGTCATCGCGGCCTGTGCATCGGGTGGTGAAGGTGTTGGAGCGCTGGTCGAACGCTACCAACCCTCAAAGTAAATATTTTCGTATCTCCGACAATTAGACAGGTTAAATAAATACAGTGAATTCTAGGAGGCTATTTTCTGATTTTTTTTGTACGATTAATAATGTTTTGATAGTATAATTGATGTTTTGATTAATAGTTCTTGGCTCTGTTAATGATATTAGAAATATAGGCAAACCGGACTCTAAAAAATATTTAGATTGGTTTATAACATTGATTTGTTTTAATAATGGCTTTAAACCTATGATTTTTATCAGAAAATTCAAGGAGCAGTCTATAACAACATAGTTTATTAACTCTAACAACAACAATTTGGCATCAACATGCTAAAGGATTAAATTGAAAACTAACTTAACAGGACGACAACTAACTGATTAACACTAACTTAGTAAAGAATTAATAAAGTTTCATCGTTTTACACAAGAAAAAAAGAAGAAAATTCAAACTTTTTGAACAAAAATGCGAATAAATTACTAAAGCCAACAATAAGACATCAATTTTAACAACACTAACACAACAACAACGCTAATGCAACTACAATACTAATCAAACTCTAAAAAGCTATCCAAACTTACAATGTGAAAAAAGTGTAAACCTTCTAATTACTCGTAGATGATGGTTTCGTATTGGTCAATCAAGTTGATGACACCTCGTTTGAACTCCAAATACTCCTTTTTCTTGTTATTCTGTTCCAATTTTCGCGTCAATTCGGTTACCATCAAGCCTAGACCGGATTGGGGATCACGGGGACCTGAAAGAATAAAAAATTTGTGAACCAAACCTACTTCACTATTAGAGTAGTAGACTAAAAAAATTCAGCAACAGCTTTTGGTAAGAATATACGACCTTCGTCATTGTTTAATGGTTATTTTGGGCCAGTTTTAATGAAAAATTTTGAGAGGGGTTGGGAGTCATGCCCAAAGGAGGGACCGGACCAAGGCGGGTCCAAGGGTAGGGTCAACCCCAAGAGGCCACAAAAAGCTATAAGTTCAAGTCTTGTCTTCGTCAGTCTCGACCCCAAGGGGCCGTAAAAGGTAGTCTATCCGAGTCATGCCTTCATCAATCTCGACCCTAAGGGGTCATAAGATCCGCATACCCCGCGTTCCACGGCCCCAATGAGCCTCAGGGTGACATAATCAGGGCCATAGAGACGGGCACAAAAAAGGGACCAGGTACTACTTCACTTTAGTTTCAAAAAAGTTATGACAAGAATAAGTTCGTCGAACCAAAATGTGTAGTCCTTCGCGAAACTCCGCCCTTTTTTCAAATTTAACACAAACGCCAACCCATTTATTACTTTTAACATTCATTTCTAACCTTCCCAACATTCTTCTTGATACAAATAAACTTACTTTCTGACTTGAAGCTTCGATCAATTTCCTGTTCCGGGCTTTCTTTTAATACCTTGTCCGCAAAACTGATTTTTGGTGTAATTTTGACTCTCGGGGTAGTTTTTTTCCTGGCTACTGTAGGTTTTCTAGTCGGTTTTTCTGGTGTTTCTGTTTTTGGAACTTCTGACGGCTTTGATAAACCATTGGTATCATTATTCGTTCGTACTTCTTGGCCTAAACTATTGCTTCCTCCCGAATTATGGCTAGTCGGCATATTCTTCTCACCCAAACTATTGCCATTTGTCAAAATGTTCCCGATGCCAAAACTCTGCTTGTTTGCCATATTCTGATTCGAATTCTGCTTCATATTATGATTGTCTGCTGAATTCTGGTTATTGGCCAGACTTGTTCCGTGTTCCTTATCCAGCCCTTCAATCCGTTGTTGTTTTGGAGTGCTAAACTCATCAGCAGCTTCCGAAGGTCGCTTTGAAGCCAATGAAGGTGAACTGGTGATTGGATATGTGATTGGAGTGTTCGGCTGATACTCTTTATCATCATACGTTGTTGGGCAAATTGCTTGAGACACACATTCGGACAATGGTGGTAAGAATGCTGGAGTCGGTAAGCCATTGACCAATCCTGGAGTGTGGTAACCATAACTTAAAACTGGGCCGGTGTGTGTTGCGGAGATTGAGAGGCCTGGAATAGAGAACATTTAACGATATTTTTCATTTTTTTTGTAAAAAACCTTTAAAATTAAAAAAAAATTCGAAAAAAAAATTAGCTTATCTTTATCTTATACACATTAAACATAGCTTACCTGGAGCAGAACCAATATTCATTGGTGTGTTATTTTGACTAAACTCCTCTGGCTTCACATCATCCCGAATTGGAGTCATTTGGCACGAAACCCCCGGAACTTCTCGGTACAAATGTCCAAGTGAATCGTGATATGAGGCTTTGTTCCTACTTGGCGTCAAATCATGATAAGAATTCTCAATTTGAAAAGTATTGTAAGTTTCATTTTGACTCCCAAAATCCTTGTTGAAATTTTCCTTTTCCTTTGGAGACTCCTTCATTTCGATTGCCTGTTGTGTGGCTTCGAATAATTGATTTGTGACACTTGTATTAGTGACACTTTCATCCATCGACAATTCCAGCTCTTCTTTAATATTGCCGCTAGTAAAAGCTGACGAAATTGAAGACACAAAGTTTGATAGATATCCACCTTGGTTTGACAAGTAACCTCCCTGAGTTGAAGCTACGGGTTCGGGTTGAACAGGCTTAGATTTGGGTGGTGGTGGGTCTGGCCTGCTATTTTCTGTCGATTTCAACGGTTGTTTTTGGCTGAAATTTAATCTTTTAGTTACGTAATTGACTACCTTTTTAAATTACCGTACTTTAGAAAATAATATTATGCTTTTTGTCAAGCGAATATTAAAAAACAATTGCAAAAAACCTAAAAAGCGACGTTTTTAACCAAAGAAATCAAATTTCTTGTAAAATAGCTGCCATTTTAAATCATAACTTTTTCTAAACAAGAGAAAAACGTGCCAATTCGTAAAAAAAATAGCTCATTCCAATTGTAATCGAACCCAAAAAACGAAATTTTAAAATTCATTAAAATGTAAAAGTTACATTAATTTTACTGTAACCTACTTTTCAAAATTTTTATAATTTTAGCCTTTCAATTCAATTTTCTCATAAAACAGATAAAAAAATAACATTATTTTAATCCTATATAAACCTACGTTTGAATATGATCACCCAGAAACAAAAGCGGCTCATAAAACTTCCAATGTACAGTATCCGCACCTTCTTGTTGAGCTTTCTTATGACAACGAACAAATTGATCCTTCAGATTCTTCATTGCCTTCTTTACGACTTCAACTGAAAAAAGTGAAAACTCAACAATTTCATGACACTAAACATACTGCTGAAGCTTTTGGTTCTTGTCGAAACGGCACTAGATATAAACTCCCAAGCGGCTGCAGCAGCAGATCGATCCAGTTTGTCCTTGTGCCACAAAACTGGATGTTTGTAATATTGCTCAATAATTGCTTTGCGTATTTCATCCGTAACTTCAAGCAACTCTGGATTCACAGTCTTTTCCGTCATTGTTACCTAAAATTATGAGGATTTTATCAGACTTTTGAGCTTTTTTACCTAAAAGAATATAAATTGATAGCTGAAAAAGAAATGTATAACATATAAATAAAAACCATAATTTAAAAAGACCAAATTTAAAATATACGTCAAATAAAAGATTTATAAAACCTGCAAAACGGTGCATAACGACCTAAAATAACATAAAGATGAACAACGTGAGCCTTATAACACTATAAAAAAATTTTGATAAAACTACTTACCAAATAGCTAAACTCTACAAATTGATTGTAAAAGTCAAGATTCTGTGAATATTCGCCTTCAAAAATCGTCAAGATTCTCGTTGAAAAACAAGCATTAACAACGTAATTAGGTCCCGCCACGAAACTCAGGGTACGTCTGGCATTGTCTTCTTTTCGTTTGGAAAGTCCGCCAAAAATTATTTCACAACGCTCATTGGCTTTTTATCCTTATTCATGTGTAAAGTTAACGTGTACGATTCATTCTTGATTTTTTTTCGTATATTGCCAGTCGTTTCTTTAAATTTTTTGAGGTTTTGACTATATTTTCGTATATTCGACTATATCTTCGTGTTTTTCAGATTAATCACCAGTGAAGATGAGCACATCGCAGAAACATAAGGACTTTGTCAGTGAAACCATGGGTGAGAAGCCTGTCACCGATGTAGCTGGAATTGGTGAAACCTATGGCAAAAAATTAATTGAAAAGGTATGTTTGTTTTGTTGTAGTTTTCTGTGGTTTAGGTTGAAAAAGCAACGTCTTTTTTTGGTTATGGCTGTAAATTTTTTTTTAACTTTTAAATTACTTCAATGTATACGAGTTTTCAAGTCTGTAACGTCTTTTATAATAAAGTTGAAGCGAAAATTAGTTTAGGTGTCTATTTTTGTACAAACTTAAAAAATACGCCAAAGTAGTTGCCTTTTTCGATTACAATTTGAAAGTTTTATCTAAAAAGCTAAATGTATTTTCAGGGTTTTGACAAGGCGTACGTGCTGTTGGGTCAATTTCTGCTGCTTAAGAAGGACGAGGATTGCTTTGTGGACTGGCTGAAGACAGAATTCGGGTTTCAGGAACGATATGCCAAGTCTACTCACGCTTGTTTAAGCGAGTGGTGCGAATTTAACTTGTAATTATTATATCGTTATTATTAATTTCAATAAATTATCGTTTTGAATGTTCAATTGATCGTTGTCTTGTAGGTATACCTTGTTATGAGGTATGGATGAAGTTTTAGTTCCTGGTGGGCCGGGAACTAAAAATTGGCTTAAAGTTTAACCTTTTTTTGATGCTGGTATAGTTACATAGGCTCTCCGTAGTAGATTTAAATCAAATAATCAAGTTTTGGTAATAACTTTTATTAAAATTTAACATACGAAATAATAACAAATAAGTTGTGGAGAAAGACCCGGCTTATTACAACAAAACTAGTTGGGTTGGCTAACCATGGCGCTAGTAGACTATAATCAAACGATTTTGAGCTAAAGATAATCTTAATTTTTTCAAATTTTCATTTAAAAACATTTTTTATGTTGTGTTAGATGCTCAGAAGCCCTGAACTACGAACAATCTGTGAAAAAGGGATGTTAATAAAGACAAAACCAATAAAAAAACTTATATGTCTAGTTTTTCATTGCTATTTTTTCATTTTTTGCAGTAGCTTTAAAAAATTGAAGTTTAGGTAATGATAAGAGTGATAACGGTTTCGAAACGGGGAAAAGCCTAAAATGAGCTTAGACCTGACTTGAACTATATTTAAACCTGAAAATAGCTTGAAAAGTAGTAAAAATTGACAAAAACAATGTGAAAATGAAAAGGTTGAAGTTTTAAAAGTGTGAGACATCAAAAGCTTATGGTTAACAACGAAAAACTTTGAAAAAGTAGTGTATCACTTTAATTTAAATACTTTTTTTTTCGTTTTTTACGTTTAAAAAAAATAGTGAAATGAGCTTTTAAATTTAAAAAAAAACACTAAATATAGACCAGAATTTGATCACAAAACATCGAATAACGGCGAGAAATTGATCATAACATTGGTCAAAACTAAAAATTAGGCCAGAAATGGCCTATATCTAAATCATAAAAGCTAACGAATCTAAAATAAGTATTTTTCGATTTTCTGAAAGTGAAAACGGCTATGAGATCAAAGCGCCATCTTGTTATCTATACAACTCCTCAATGATTGAGATCTCCTTCGAGTCTTCCTCGTTTTCATCTCCATATTCCCATTTGTCCTCGTTCTCGTCGCCAAAGTCCCATTCCTCGTCAATGTCCTTGTCGTTCTCGTCCGTATACTCGTAGCAGTAGCTTTTGGCCGTCTTCTTATTGTAGGGTTCATCGTCACAACTGTCGTCCGACTCGTAGCCGGCCTGATTCAACTTGACGTACTTGTCTTCGAACTCTTCTTGCATCAGCACTCGCATTCGTAGGGTGTTTTTGCGTTTGTTGAGCTTGGATTTGATGAGCTTTATGTGTTTCTGGAGGGCGGTTCTGGTCATTTTCTGGGTTTTGATGACGACTTGAGGGAACTTGACATTGGTACACTTTAGGAGGTTTGATTTGTGATTCTGAAACGAAAAAAAGGTTAAAAAATTTACAAAAATTTTGAAAAAGTAGGGTTCGGTTGAACTATGGTACTATTAAAATTACGGTATATTTTTAAAATTTATTTTTCAGAATACGTAGCATAAAGAATTACCTTCAATCTCACAAAGTTTCAAATTTCTAACGCTATTTCAAAAAAAGTTACAACTAAAATAATATACACAACAACGCGGATCAAAACGAATTGGGCGCTTTTCCACTGAATCGCAGTGAAAAATCGTCCATTCTTTTTGACGCGGTCTGTAAAAATATTTTTTTTGGAAACACAGTCCATATTTTTCAACTTTTCATGTTAAAAATGACGTTCTTATGAATAACATACCTTTTTGGCAATTTTCGGAGAGATTATGTTGCTTTTGGGTTTCGGTTCTTCTGGTTTATGTGTGGTGGATTTGGAGGTGGTTGCAATGTCACGCGTCATTCTCTTTGGCTGACAATCAGATGAACCCACACCCAAGTTCTCTGAAAATATGAGTAAATAAGAAATACTGTCTAATGCATTGTTAGCTAATGATGATGAAGAAAATAAATGAAATTATTGTAAAAACACGGGTCATAAAATAGGTAAAAATGTTTTGGGCCGAAAGAATAAAATGAAGAAAAAATAAAAAATATCGCGCTAAATAGTAAAATTCATAAAAGTCAGTCACTTCCTTAGGCCTAAAATCATTTTTAAACCTAAAACGTGTTTTTAAACCTTAAGATCGATGGTCATACCTAAAATTTAATTGTTAAGCCCAAAAATTTATTTTAAACCTAAACTTAAATTCTAAGCCTAAAATTTTATTTTTAAGCCTAACATGTATTTTTAAGCCTTTAAGCCTAAAATTCGTTATTAAAACTTAAATTTTATTCCCATACCTAAAATATTATTCTAAGCCTAAAATTTTATCTTCAAGCCTAAAATATTAACTTTAGGCCTAAAGTTTTATTTTTAGATTTAAACAGCCCTAACATTAATTTTTACACTTTTACCCTAACCAACCCTTGAATTTTTCACTTTTACCCCGCCCAACCTTTAAATTTTACGCCTTTACCCCTCCAAAGTAACTTTTTTTACCCCGCTCGTCTCAAAACTCTGCCAAAGTTATAAAATTATCAAAAAATGCAAAAAAAGTTAAAATTGAAGAAAATTGATATCGATTGCGATGCCTTATGGCGGTGAGATGGGTTCGAAATTCGCTTGATTTCACTGTTTTTCCGCTGTTTTGGAAACATTTTTGCGCAACAGTCTGCGCGCGAAAAGCCCGCGTCGAGCATACTATAACATTATTACCAGACGAGACACTCTTTCTAATTATTTTTGTCTCGTTTTTTTTTTATTTTCGGTTGAAGAAGGTGAGAATTGGCGAAAAAACCGGGCGTTGACGAAAAAAAACCGCAAAATGACATAAAAATTTATACTGTAGGGTAAAAAATCCTATGGTTAAAAATCAATTTTAGGTATAAAATTCTAAATTTACTCTTATATGATTGTGGGCTTACAAATTCCAGACTTAGAGGTGAATTGTAATCTTAAAAATCAAACTTTAGGCTTCAAATTTTCAATTTTAGGCTTAGGATTTAATTTTAAGCTAAAAAATTAAGTTTAGGTACGAGAAGGCCACTTTAGGCTTAAAAAAAAACTTTAGGTTTAAAAATGAACTTTAGGCTTAAAAGCTCAAATTTAGGCTTAAAAATCAAGTTTATGCTTAAGAACGCAATGATAGGATTTAAAATATAAATTTAGACTCAAAAATTAAACTTTAGGCTTAAAAGTTAGTTTTAGGCCTCCAAATCAAAATTTAGGCTTATAAATGAACTTTAGGCTTAAGAAAGCAATTAAATGCTTAAAAACGTAACTTTAGGCTAAAAATGAAATTTAATGCTTAAAAGTTAGTTTTAGGCTTCTATATCAAAATTTAGGCTTAAAAAAGTTGCGACATAATAATCAAAAATCAAAATTCCTGTTGAAAACCATGACATAAACAAAAAACGAATCCAAAAATAAAGGTCACAACGTTCACGTTACATTAGAAAACGATCAATTAGATAAAAGAAAATGATACAAAAGAATGTTTGTCCACGGTTATTATCGGAAACAAATCAAACACATAAGTTTGAGGCGTTATTCTTGGGCCTACCCTTAGGACATTTCGGTGAGGTTAGGCCTAACTTCAACCTGCAACAGATTTCGTTCAAAATTTTTTATTGAAAGGTCACGTAAATGTAAGATGTTATGCAAAATTCTGAGTTGCGGTTTGCGGCCAGTCTTGAGAAAATCGAGATCGAAAAATCGCGTTTTGAATTTCGCGCCAAATTGGCATTGTGTTTCAAGCTTATAACTTTGCCATTTTTTGACTTGTAATTATTTTTCTTTAATATGCTAGTAAAAAACCTTTAAATGAACCTACATTTTTAAATTTGTAAGTTTAGCTTGGCTGGAAAGTCGAAAAAAGTGCTTGAAACACAATGCCAAATTTGCCAAATTGGCGGGACATTTAAATATTTAAAATTTAAAACTTAAAAGCGCAAACTAAAATTTTTTATAGGTACTATTGGTACTACAAAGGATCCGTATAAAAATTTTGAGCTGATTCTGAGATTTGCAGGTTGGGTACTTTCCCTGTAAGCCTAAAGCTCATTTTTAGGCCTAAAGTTTCATTTTTAAGACTAAAAATTCATTTTTCAGCATAAAATTTCATCTTTCAGCATAAAAGTTCATTTTTATGCCTAAAATTTCATTCTTAAGCCTAAAATTCATTTTTAAGCCTAAAATTCATTTTTAAGCCTAAAATTCATTTTTAAGCCTAAAATTCATTTGTAAGCCTAAACATTCATTTTTAAGCCTACAATTTATTTTTGAACATAAAAATGGAGTGCAGGTATTTTTAGACATGAGGACCCATATTTCAGGCCCGGCCCATTCCTCATGGCTAGGTATTTCCACCTCCATTGCCAATTTTCCCACAATTTTTGCATTTTTTGAAAAATTTTCAAAAAATGAAAAAAACGTGAAATCCGCTAATAAAACAATAGGGAATAAACCTCTGACAACGTTGGAGTCGGTTCGGATATCTATCTGCAGTAGACGGGAAAAGAGTAAACCGCCGTCTGAAGCGGGATGTTTTCATATTTCCGATGGGAATCTTCCATGCAATCAGCAAAAAAAACATAAAATTGAAAAAAATGCTGATAATTAAAATATTGTTTGGCTAGCCAAAACATTTTGTCATAATGGCAAAACGCTAAAATTGGTGTTTCAATCCAATAGCTTTGCTCAAGAAGAATAAGAAGGGTCTAATAGGGCAACCTATGTAAATTCCTCACTGCTAACAAATATCTCGCTAGCCAAGACCGTTCAGCAGTTTCAAAGATGGTTTTGTTTTGATAACTTTGCACGATGTTCCATCCTATATAGGTCTTTTACTAAGCCCGAAGAATGTTTGATACAAATGCTTTTTTAAGTTTAAGGATTGTAAACTAGGACCCGAAGCCTTGGTTTGAGCCTGGGTCTTCGAACCCACAGTTGCCGGCCCGGCTCCTTTTAAGCTTGTTTCGTGTCGGCCTTTGGTGAGCCCCCTACAGGTCTAACCATGAGAAGACGACAGTACTGGGATAAGTCGCTTTGTCAAAGTTCGCTGCGCTAAACTTTTCTAAAATTTGGCTACAATTTAGGCTTGGCTTAACTCTACTTTACATTTTCTTGCAAAAAACTTAAGATCTTGCCTTTATCTCTGTTTTGTAACCTAAATTTGCTTTAAAAATTAAATGTGCCTGCTTTGTAATTCTAATATTTTAGGCTTGTCTTTTAAATACGACATTTCTTACTGGCTTAAAACCTCTTTGTTTCTGTCTTTGAACGGCTATAAGTAGAGGTGTAGAAGTTTGAGCATTCAGTAGCAGCAACTTGCGGTACATACACGTTTTAGTACTATCAACAAGCATTAAGTACATATTTCAGTATCAGCAATTTTTAGCAGCTAGGCTTTTCAATACCAGCAACTTGCAATGGCAACATGTAACAATACTGGCAACATTTAGTAGATACACATTTTAGCACTTAAAATCTCTTTTTAGGTAACATTTTTTTAGCAAACGCTATGCTAAATGTACAACCCGTATTTCCCTAAACTTTTTGACCTTTTTTTCTCAAATCCAATGACCAATTTGTATATTGTTTGCCACAAATATAACCAACGTACACTATCCAATAGCCTAAACCCGTTTTTCTTCGCAATTTCATCAACCTCGCCAAAGTCTTTCACATAATAACCCAGCAACTTTAAGTCTTCACCAACCAAAAGTTCATCAACCTCACACTATCACCGACTCCTCCTTCAACTGCTTCTGCAACCTCAAAATTCAAAAATTCATCAACCTTCAAAGCAACGGTCCCAATCGAACATGACCCGCAAAACGGAACAGAAGGCGTGTGTGAAGGCAAAGAGAGAGCAAAGTGGGAGAATGTGCATAGACACACACCAGACTCCCTTTTTAATTCCTACCCCGTCTGTCTGGCGTCTCTTTTCTTCCCCAATGTAGAGGCGTGGTAAGTTGCGGTCTCTGCCAAAATTTCTAGCTCTTTTCTCTGCCCTCTCTCTCAATTGCGCGGTCTTTTTCGCGGCGAAAACGTGTCTTCGGGCCCGGTTTTTTCGCTGTTTTTTATACTTTGTGTGTCTGGCTATGAGTGAGAGAAAACTCATCGCCCGTATTCATGAAGATTAGAACTTCAATATGGATTGGCAGATAAATCAACAATTAAGCAGAGGCAGTAGATTTCAAATTGTCAATGAGGCATGAAAAGTTAAAATATTTTAAAAAATGGAAGTTGAGATTCAAAAAGAGTACAGAATGTAAAGTAAGGGTAACCTATCGACAGGCACGTCGCTACGCATTTCTAGGAAGGGTGAAGAATAGAGAGGAATTTAGAGATACAGGGAGGAGAGGTACGAACAAAACGCAAGAGTAGAGAGTACGGGTAGAACTGGTATAGGATAAAGCTAGGACTGGCTAAGTAAGACCAAGTAAGATTGAAAGAAAGGCTAAGACTAGGGCTAACGCTAGGACAATGCTAATGTAGAATTAACGCTATGGTTAGGGTAGGAGAGGTGTAAGGCCAGAGTAAGGCTAAAGTAGACTAAGCCAAGAAACTTACACTAACCCCACCCTAGCTTTACCCTACCCTAACACTGCTTTAGCATTACCTTAGCCTACCCTAGCTTTACCCAGACGTTTATATTAGAAATCCTCGCTTTAGCAAACACCTTATGCCTCATCTATTATTTTTTTTAAAACAAGGCTCTTCTATACAGTAAAAATACAATTTAATACCCATTACCTCTTGGTGGTACACAGAAATCCAAGAAATACAATACGAATTATCGAAACACCAAAAAACGTTAAATTTGTATCAAGATGTACACGTACTTTGATGCCAAATAACTTGAAAACTAAATTACAAAAAGTTTTGAAAGTGACTGTAAATATACCCAAAGATGGGCCAAGTTGTCACTACTACAATTAATATTCCTTTACTTATTAAAAAGATCCCAACACATAGAAAAAAAACCTAAACGCAACCAAGAAATCTCGATTTTCGACGGAACACTTGACACAAGGAATACGCGATTCAACGAAAAAACCCTTGCGATTATTGACTAATTTGGCTACTCATGTGTAGAGTAGATAAACGCAAGTAGAATACAGATACATGTATATTATATATATATTTACATGAATATACATATATCTTCTACTAAATACTATGTTAAAGTACATAACACACATAGACATACCACGCAAAGTACAGCGAGAGTGCATAAGATAAGACCACATTAATGTTTAGTACATGTAATCCTCCATATAGACGCCAATAAATAGCAAAAAGCAAAGAAATATAGAGAAGATCAAATACTGGCCATTGATTAAAAACAAAACAAATTTTTACTAGAGTAGTAATAAAATACATAATGAAGATACCAAGACCCTTAATATAGTCGTAGTAGTAAAGGCTACTGTTCCTTTTAAATTTTTATACTAATAAACAGCAGGTAAAATGAAAGAAAACATTTTAGCCTTCTACAACAGACTAATATCCTTCAACAGAAATTGCTTTGCATAATATTAGTATTAGCCGAAAAGAAAAATGTTTGCAACACAATGCGAAAATCCGTCGGAAACCAAAGTTTAAGCTCTAATATTAGGTAGTGTAAAAAGTTTTCCGCCTTTTAAAAATTTTTAAAAAATTATTGGATTGATAATTCTATGTGTAATATATGGTGAATAAAAGTCTATGGCACAAACTACTAATTAACAAAAAAATATTCAAATCTGTCAAAAAAAAATTCTTGTAAATTTTTAAAGTTTTTCAAAAAGCGCAGAACTTTTTACACTACCTAATATAACAGGATATCAAAGTGAAAAAGCTTCACTCGACATAGAATCTAAAATAACATATTTCAAATATAAAAACTTTTTTTAAATCCACCTATCAGATATAATCTCATTAATCTACTCGGCAAAAAAAACTGAAAATTACAATTTTATATGGCCACTGTAACAAAATTGGCTGTTAAATAGAAAAAACAAAAAGTAACCTAGATAGAAAAGAATATTTTCAACATTTTAAAAATAAAAGCAGGTCGATTATGTTTTGGCAACTTTGAAAGAAATCAATTCTCCTGCAAATCGTTCCACACGCCTATCTTAACCTTCTTTTAAGGCCGTGACAACCTTTAAAAGCTGATTCTATAAACTTTTTGACCAAAAATAAATATCATATTTACAAATCAAGTCCAAATTCGTGTCAATTTTCTGTTTATTGACAAGTGTACAGTATTTACAGCCTCAGGTTTGAGAATTTTAATTGCTGGCGCTGGATTTCTTGCTGACTTTGCTGACCTTGCTCTCCTTGTTGCTCACATCGCCTTGTTTGCTTTCGTTGTTGCTCACCTTGCTTTGTTTGCTTTCCTTGCTGCTACTCCTCTTGCTCTCCTTGCTTCTCTTACTTTCCTTCTTACTCTCCTTCTTGCTCCTCTTACTTTCCTTTTTACTCTTCTTCCCTTCCTTACTGCTCTTCTTACTCTTCTTATCTTCCTTGCCGCTCTTCTTGTCCTCTTTGCTGTCCTGACTGTTCTCTTTGGTGCTTTTCTTGCTGTTTTTCGAGGTTTTCTTGCTCTTGGACTTGCTTTTTGGGTCGTTAATCTTGGGAGTGACATGTTTTAGGAAGCCTTGCTTGCTACCATCGTGCTTCTTGACTTCACGGATCCTGCACCGCTTCTGAAGCGCCAAAAAGTACTCTTTCAGTGGGTCTGGTGGGTTTTCGTTGTGGTCGAACAGTACCAAAAGCCTAAAAGATCACTTTGTTTGGCAGAGTAGGGTAAAGTAAGACAGGTTAAGACAAAATAAGTTATGGTAGGGTACATTAAAGCTATATTGCTTCTAAAAAGTAAAAACCCCACTTCGGGACATCAAATTGGATAAAATCCTCCAGCAAATCCATCGTTCTACCGTTGATTTTGTGCCATGCCTTCAAATTGCTCTCTTCGCCACGCAATTTGAACAACTCGAGAATAGGCATGTCACCGGCATTCAGCTTGGACTGGATCCGAACATTGTACAATGTTTTGGCCAGCTTTCCCGGAGACAAAGCTATTGCGCGATTCGCTTCTGATTTTCGCCACTGAAAATATCCGTTGAAACTTAATTTTTAGGCTTGAAATTTAGTCCTTAAGCCTAAAATAGTAGTTTAGGCCTAAAAGTTCATTTTAAACCTAAAGTGTCATTTCTAGGCCTACAATCCCCTTTATAAGCCTAAAACTAATTTTTAAATCTAACATTCATTTTTAAGTCTAAATTTCATTTTTAACCTAAAATTTCGTTTTTAAGCCTATAATTCATTTTTAGGCCTAAAATGTCATTTAGAAGCCTAAAATTTCCTTTTTTAGCCTAAATTTAATTTTGAAACATAAGATTTCATTTTTAAGCCTAAAATTCAAATCCAAAAGCAAAATTACCCTACCCATTTTCTCATGCACTCGTGCATAACCAATGCATGAATCCAAACTTGTCTTGCCCTTTTAATCACATCGTTCACTTTTCTGGCCATCGCTCGCGAAGGTAGGCGCTGAATAATATCGAAAAGCTCAATGTAATCACGGTGAAAGCGGCGTGGCACGTCTCGTTTGAAGACTTCGGTCGAGAATGAGCAAATGTAAACCCGTGGCACTTCCGGAGTCAATATGACTTTGCTCAGCATCCACATCAACGCGCCTCGTACTCGAGTCAAATGCTGTTGGTCTACCGTATCGGCCTTGTTGAGTACTATTCTTATCTAAAATATTTAATTACATTTCAATATTCGTATTGATACTGGCTCAAAATTTTGTGATATAGATAATAGACGGTCAAAAAGTTCATAGAAGATGTTTAAATTCATCAAAAAGTTAAAACTGTGCATTACTTATTTCTCGCGTCATAAAGAATTGACTATTTTACTATATAATCTGATAACAAATAGCTCAATTATTTTTGACGCGGCTTACACACTCTTCTACAAACTTTTCGACACACAAAACCTAAAAATACAACCAAACAATGTCATATCTTACCTTTTCTTCGTTTCCCTTCATGTTCTGCATGATGAACTTGAACTCATCACTAATGTCGAGCTTGGAAATGTCAAAAACAAGGATAATCAAGTCCACTTTGTCAGCTATAAACCGTACCACGGCTGAGTAGTCATAACTACGGTCTTTGGTTTGTTTGTCACCTGATAATATGCCTGGTGTGTCAATAATGCTCATGTGCTTCAGAAGGGTCGAGTTGACGGCGGCTCCTCGAACTCGAGTTGCGAAAGTTGCTCCGAATGAACTGAGGGACTGAAATGGCTTGGTTAATACAATTTAAGGGTTAAAAGTGAAACATTAGGTTAAGAAATTAAAGGATGGGCTTAAAGGTAAACCTTCAGGCATAAAAATTGAATTCTAGGCTTAAAACTTTAAAATCTATGCTTTAAGTAAACTGTTAAGCCTACCAATCAAATATAGGCTTAATAATAAACTTTCATACCTAAACATAAGCCTTTAGGCTAAAAAAGTATTTTTGGCTTACTTGAAATGGTTTCGAAGGATCAGCCATTAGCGTAGCACCCATAACTTCATGATCGTTTTCACCGTAATGTACTACTGTAAAGGTGTCCGTCGTCGGGTCTGGTCCGATTTTAGCCCCAGGGTAGTTTTTTCCTATCAGATATTTGACCATCGTCGTTTTTCCCACAGAATACTAAAATGTAAAATTTTTCCGAAAAAATACAGTAACCCTTCCTTTGCTCCAAAGAAACCTTAGCGCGGTTTATTTTACTCTCAATAACTCTAACCATAACATACTCTATTTTTCGTTATTATAAAGTAACATAGCCTACCCTACCTGTCCCTGCTCTACCCTACCCGACTCAACTCTACATATTCTGTCCTACCCTACCATATTCTACGGTACCCTACTCTACCTCAATCTATACTACCATATTCTACAAAACCCTACGTTACCTTTAACATACCTGACCCAAAAGCAGTATCATGGGGACACTGTGGAACTCGCCTTTCGTCAACGGCGGATTGTGAAATTGGTCAAAAATATGGCGTCTTTCGGCCGGTACCACTTTTTCATTGTACAACATGGGAAGTACTTCCAAAATGTTACTTCGACAAATCGCGACATCCGACTGAAAATAGCAAAATTTGTATCAATAGCTTGGTAGTACGGTCACTTACCCCGACTCTTCCAGTCTTTTTCTTTCTACCCATTTGGAAGGAAACCGACCACCTTCCACTAATTTACAACATAAATAAATGACATTCCTTCTTCAGCTAACTTTGATTTCACAAAAATTTACATTTTTGAACTTCGAAAGCATTTTTAAACACCATTAGCGTCTTTTTTGGAAAAGCTAGTTTTCTGGGTGAATATTATCCTTTTTGCCATGAACAATATCAAGCACAAAGAATTTAAGTTGTAAATCAAGAAAAAACCTTCCTCCTTGAAGGTAAGACATTGTACTACATACTAGCAACCAATGAACCACTTGATTCAACTAAAAAACTCGATATTACTATGCCTTTCATCCATCGATACCTAAAATTAAAAGAAAAATATAAAACAGACTTACTCAATCACAAATATTGAAAAAATTTGTATTCTGATCTCACACAGAATAATGTAAGACGAATTAAGATGTGTTTGACTTCCAATTCACCATGCTCGGCCGACAACTTCGATCACACCGCTTCAATGTTAACGATCTTTATGTTTAGCTGCTAAGACTGCTGTTTGAAACGTCTAAAATACTGAAAACAAAATAAAAAACTTACCGCGACAAAAAATCACTGTTTGAGTTCAGGCTTGCCATCAACTTTAGGTATTACTTTTGTTTTTACAAAAATGCCTGATCACCTACTACAATATCGGCAAACCTGAGTCTATATCTCAAAAAGTATATAACACATTACCTTCATGTTGGCATCAAATTAATCAAAATTTTATGCTTAATCCAGAAAAATAGAAACCAGAATTCTTTTACTAGCTTTTTGTAGGACTTTACCAAGGATTTTTGAGTTTTTCAGTACCAAACTTTGAAAAATTGATAAATTTTTAAATCCTATTTATTTATGTACAATATAAAACATGGAAAAATTAAATTAAATTTATGATCTAACAGTTCTATTGACCAAATACCTAAATTTTCTTCTTCGACGACGTAGATGACCGCTTCTAGGTATCCATGTGAAGCCTGTATTTGAAGAAGTTTTTTTGGGTTTTGGCTTTTGAATAGGTTTGTTGTCTTTTGGAGACCTGTAATCAATGTTTTCTTAAATTTTTTAAGCCTAAATTAATTTTTAGCTTAATATTCATGGCTAAGACTAAAAATTATTTGTAAGCCTAACCTTCATCGTTAAGCCTAATATTTATTTTTAAGCTTAAAATTCTCTCTTTAAGCCTAAAACTTACAAATTCAAATTCGTATCTCCATCCCTTATTTTACTACCATTGGTATTCCCGTTGCCAGTAGCTTTGTCATTATTATCATAGCCATTATTTTGTTCTCCATATTGGTTATCACCATAGACATTAACTTGGTAGTTACCATCAGTAATTGAATCAATAACTTGGTACGCACGTTCACCATTATTACCGTTATCATTATACCCATCTACATCTATTTCTTCGTCTTCTGGTTTTGGTGTAGCATAGAGTAGGATGAATCTGAAAGAAGGGGTGATAAGCCTAATACTTAATCCTAAAGTTACAGTTGTAAGCCTAAAATTTTATTTATAAGCCTGAAATTTTATTTTTAACTAAGCTTACAAGGTTGTAGTACTTCTGAACTTACTTCGAATCCCGCTTAATTTTGCAAAACTGATCATCATAAAAGTTGGATTTACTGACATAATCACCATTGCCTACTACAACTTCATAATTTTGACCAAAATGATCCTCAACTTTTTGGCCAATATACTGTGCAATCTTATTGGTATTACAAGCACTAAATTCTTCTTGTTGCTCATCTTGTAGTAGACGATAAGTCTCGTCCATGATCTTTTCCAGCTCTTGATTACAACAAGTCAACAAGTCTTTGTTCACGTAACATGAATCCAATGGGAATTCACGTTGAAGACGCTGAGCCCATAGGAGGTCGTCTGCTGATAGGGTACTTTCGTCTACTGGTCCTAATGGGACTTCTGGTTCGGCGGCTAACTCTACAGGCGGATCGGGAGGTGGTGGAGCAGCTGCTGCTTCTCCTGCTCCTCCAGCGGCGCCTGTTCCAGCTCCTCCTACGGCACCTGCTCCTCCTCCAGCGCCTCCGCCGGCTCCTGCCCCAGCTCCTCCACCAGCACCTCCTCCAGCACCTCCTCCAGCTCCTCCACCGGCTCCAGCTCCTCCTCCTCCACCAGCTCCACCGCCTGCACCAGCTCCACCGCCTGCACCAGCTCCACCGCCTGCACCAGCTCCGCCACCAGCTCCTCCTCCTCCACCGGCTCCTCCGCCAGCACCTCCTCCAGCACCAGCTCCCCCGCCAGCACCCCCTCCAGCACCACCCCCACCGCCAGCTCCACCACCCCCGCCACCACCGCCAGCTCCAGCGCCCCCTCCACCCCCGCCTCCGCCGCCGTAATAATGGTTGTTATAGTATGAGCTGTACTGTGAGTAGTAGCTTTGAGCAGCGGCAGCAGACGACGCTGAGAACGCAGACGCAGGGAAAAACGCAGCGAATGGTCCGAAACATCGCTTGCGACGTGGTGAAGGACCTAAATTTTATATTTTTAGTCTTCTTAATTTGTGGCTATACTAATAATTTTGTTTTTCATAGAGGAATTTCCTTTTTTATATACGATCTCATAACAAATATTATTGTGATGACCGTTTTAACACCGATGAAGCTTTTGGTCTCAACACGACTATAATTTTATTGGCATTTCGTCTTGAATTACGGTAGTTAAGTTTTTTCTTATTTGGAAGAAAGATCAGGAAACACGTCCTGGTTTTGTGATTCAAAGAGCTTTACTATTAGCGTGTAGTGACTATTTGAGATTGGAGTAAAAAATTATAACGATATATTCGGACGAAAACTTTATCTGATTTTTGAACCGGCCTCTCAAGGAAACTCACAGAATCAATCAAGCGTGCTCGATAGTGTTCGAAAAAAGATCTTCAGAGCTTTGTTTTACAATCTACCATTCTTTCTTTTGTAAGAGAATAAATAATGTAAAACAAAATCTTCTGATTGGTAGTGCTGTTGACTTGACACCGTGGGAAGGTTTTAACTCTTTTAGTCTAATTTTTAAAAGTAAATAAAAAAGTTTCTAAAGGAAGTTAGTGTAAGGCAGTATTAGACCTGATGGGGCCTGGCCCAGTTTGTTTCTCTCAAGTTTACGTACTATGATTGTTTGATACTAGAAGGGATTGACTTACTTTTCTTTTTATCTCTTTGAAAATATTCGATTCTTCTTCCAACAACAGTGCCATGATCGCTTGTATTACGTTCCACAGGGCCATAATGTCTTGCATTCGTAGTTATGCGGTGGCTTTTTTGCACTTAAAAAAGAATATTGATTATGGTAACGGAACTTTTAACATTACAAAGAGTGGACAAAAGTAACATAGGAGACATTTTGGTAAAAATTGCAACTTAACATAACTTAACACTTCATAATGAGATATTGTCCTACTGCTAAACTTAAAAAAACTTTTCAACCCTTTCCTGAATTACCTGGCCTAGAATCATCGCCATAGCATTGTGCCCATATTGTCCAGACATGCAGCGCAACTCCAAGCAACACCAAGACCAGTTTCATCGCGCCGATCCAATTGAACTTTTCAACGTCGACGCATGCGAACGAATGTTAAATCTAGCGCGAATGTAAATTTGTTTAAATAAACTTGAAATCAGCGATAATCCGATGACACCACTTAAAGACAACGTGAGCAACCGGTTGCGTAAACATTATTTACAACTACTACGGCTTTTAATTGTCCGGTTGTTATGAGTAATATCCTGTGGTGGGGGAAAAGGCAAGGCAAAGTGAGGTTAAAGGAACTGTGTTTTTAAATAGAAATTTTAAAAAATTAAGTAAAGATAGTAGTTTGAAAGTAAAAAATAATTATAAAAGGTCGTCTTTATTAATGTCAGCTTATTATGAGGTAAAGAAGATGATGATGACGATGAATCTGATGATGATGATGATGACGATGATGATACGATGATGATAATAATGATGATGATGATAAAGAAGAAGATGATGATGATTATTATTAGATGATTATCAGTGTATCATTACTATCACTAAAACTGTACACTTATTAGTGCTTTTTTAGTCAGTTCTCTTTCAGCTTATACGTATTAAAATACTTATGTCAAGACCAGTTTTCTCTATGAACATTAGCCATTTCTGCTGAAGCTAAGTCTTCTGATCGTGATTTTATTACGTTGTCGGCGTCGTGGCTTTCTGGGTCGAGGTTGGTTTGTGAATGAAGTGTTCAGTGGCTTCTTTATCTTGATTGGCTTGTTGTGTCTGAAACAAATTTTCATACTTTTTCATTTTCTTTTTGACAACAGTAGTGATAATGGCATGTGTATCAACAATAGTTCTTCAGAGCTCTGGAGTCGGTGTGAAAATTTACAAAAAGGTGAAGCCGGACCTAACGCCACAACTATAAAACGTCTAATTTTAGTACTAAAGACCTCCGGAGCTAAATCCGAAACCGGTAATTTTAAAATTGGGAACTCTGCTACCGATAACCTACTTCTTTCCATCGATATCCCCTTCTCCATCATCTTCATTAGTAGTTGGTAGCTTTCCTCCAACATTACCGGCTCCTTCACCATAGTTACCATTCTCACCATAACCAGTGGATGGTTCACCATAATTACTAGGCTCACCATATCCGGGTTGATAATTGTCTGTTAGTTCATTATTTCCATAATATCCATTTTGGCCATCACCGCCTAGTCCATTCTCTGCAGTTATGTCTATTTCTTCGTCTTCTTCTTTTGGGGTTGCATATAACAATATAAACCTAAAATTGAAATTTAAGCCTAAAGTTTATTTTAAAGCCTAAAATTTATTTTCTTAAACTTAAAATTTATATTTAAGCCTAAAATTCATTTTTAAGCCTAAAATTTATTTTTTAACCTAAAATTCATTTCTAAGCCCAATTCTATTTCTAGCGATAACTTACTTTCCATCCCTCGATATCTTACAGTATTGGTCCATGAAAAAGTTGGATTTACTGACATAATCCCCATTACCTACAACAACTTCATAGGGTTGGCCGAAGTGATCCTCGGCCCTTTTGCCAATATAATGTGCAATCTTATTGATATTACAAGCATTATACTCTTCTTGTTCAGCTTGCAACATACGATATGCTTCGTCCATAACATCTTCAAGTTCATGGTTACAACAGGTCAGGAGGTCATTGTTGACGAAACATGAATCAAGTGGGAATTCACGTTGAAGTCGTTCGATCCAGAGCTGATCGGACGTTAAGAATGCTGGTCCTGTAGTTGGGACACTACCTGGGACACCGGGTGAAGCAGCTGGTGATGCTGCACCTGGTGCTTGGCCTGCAGCTGCTCCGCCGGTAGCTCCTCCTCCTTCACCAGCTCCGGTTCCAGCGCCATCACCTCCGCCTCCCAGGCCTCCTCCACCACCTCCTCCGCCTCCTGTAAAAATAAAGGATTAATAATGAATTTTAGGCTTGAAAATTAATTTTAGGCTTAAGAATTAATTTTAGGCTTAAGGATGAATTTTAGGCTTAAAAACTTTCCCTAAAATAAACAAAAGTTCTTCATACCTCCCCCAGCACCCATGCCAGTGCCAGTGCCACTTGAAGATCCGCTGGAACTTCCACTCGATGAGCCACTTGATCCAGAACTACCTTGTCCTGCAGCTCCGGAACTTCCGGATCCTCCACTGCCACCTGAAGCACCGCCACCACCCGCAGCACCGCCACCACCACCTGCACCACCACCACCACCTCCTCCTCCACCCCCTCCTCCACCACCGCCGCCACCTCCTCCTCCACCACCACCTGCGCCACCGCCTCCGCCAGCACCACCTCCTCCTGCGCCGCCACCTCCTCCGCCTGCTCCACCGCCACCGCCTCCTCCACCACCACCGCCTGGAGATATAGTCGTATGATTGGGTTGTTTTGTCGACATGCTCGGGTCATAGTAGTAGTAGTAGTCGTCTGGGGCAGTGGCTGCTTGTAGCTGCTGGGCTATCGCGTTAAATTGTGGTGGCGCGGCCACTGCTGCCGCTGCCGCGTTGGCCGCGTTAGCTGCCTCAGGACCATAAACCTGTTGAGGGGCTGGTGCTGCTGGAGCATAAGATGGTGCTGCTGGAGGATACGACGGTGGTGATGGTGGATAAGATGGTGGTGCTGGTGGATACGATGGTGGCGCTGGAGGGTACGATGGTGGATTGTATTGCGTAGGAGCGGGCGGAGAAAGGCCAGGAATGGTAGGTAATGGGGGTAGATTTAAAGGAGGTATTATGGCGGCAAATATGCCAAAACATCGCTTTTGGCGGACAAATGTACCTGAAAATATGGTTTATGTAGAAGAGGTAAGAAAGGAGAACATAGGGTATTGTAAAACTGGGTGTGGAACCTAAAAAATACAAGATTTAGATAAAGTGCTGTAGGGCAGTGAAGGGTACCTTAGACAAATGTAGAATAGGAAAGGGTACGGTAAGTTATGACAATGTGGAAGTAAAGTGTAATCGGCAGTATGAGGGCGGAGAGGGAAAGCGTAGGACTAGGACTCTAGACTAAATGTGGGCTAGGGCTCTGGGCTGGGGCTCTGGGTTAGGGCTCTGGATTAGGGCTGTGGGCTACGGATCTGTGCTAGAATTCTGATCTAGGGCTCGGGGCAAAAGTAAGGTCTAGAACTGTGGGCTAGGGCTTTGGATAAGGTCGAGGGCTAAGACTTACCGTTAATGTTATCTTCAAAATCAAGGTTCATTTCCATTATATTACGATCCAAAAACTGGGAACATATAGTAGAAATGAAAATAAAAAATAAAAGTAGTATAATATAAAACTTCATTTTGAATTCAAACCTAAAAAACTTTAGGCTTAAGACTGGATAAGCTTTAAAAAAGTTAGCTTTAGGGCTAGAATTGTTAACCTATGTAAAGTCTGATCTTTAATTCCACAACTCTTCAACCGGACATAACCTTGAATGACCAGCACATTGCGTAAACAACATATCTCTATGGTAAGAACAATTAGCAGTTGCTAATCGCCCGGTTGTTTTGAATAATATTCGAATTGATCACAGTGAACTTTAGTTCTTTATAGAGTTGAATTTATTATGTCATAGCTACAAACTCATATTTCAAAATTTTGGGTATAACTTTATTATTAAATCTTTTTTTTATAATTTTTGAATAATATGGTTTATTTATTTTTGATTTTAAGCTTAAAGTTTGCTTTTAAGCATAACATTTTATTCACAAAACATATCTAATTACATTTTTAGTCTATAATTTATTGTAAACATATTCATGTTTATTTTTCGATCCAAAAATTATAAAAATAAATTTTGCTTTTAAGCCTAAAATTCATTTATAAGCCTAAACTTTATTTTTATTTTCAAAATTTTATTTTATTTTCAGGTTTTTATTTTTAAGCCTGTTATTTCACTTTTAGGCACAAACTTTTATTTTTAACTTAATTTTAAATTGTAATGTTGTGTTGAATATAATAGTTAACAAAGAAAGTACCCGACCTGCGCCGATCTGATATGATTAACGTCAAATTTTTTATGTAGAGAAATCATGTAAATATATGTAAATTCTGCAGCAAAGTACTAAATTGCAATTTCCAGGAAATCCCGAAATCAAAAACTAAAATTTAAAATTTACGGTTTGAATTTCCCGGCAACTTGGCATTGTGTTTCAAGCTTATAACATTGCCATTTTTTGACGTTTAATTATTTTTTTTGATATGCTAGTAGTTTGAATAGACCTACATTTTAAAAACTGTAAAAGCAGCTTGTCTGTCTCTTGTAAATTTGTTTCGAAATACGAACTTATTAAACCCCGTTATAGCATGACTATATAAGTTTATTAAAATTAATATTGCAGCAATTAAAATATGGCAGTAATATTCAGTATTAACGTTACTTTCAAATATGTACAAACATTGATTTTCAAAAAAACCTAATTCTGTGACATTTTAAATGTGTCTAAAATGTTTATTTCGGATTCGACGTCTTCTGATTCTGAAGCGACGTCTTCGATGGATGTGACCTTTTCGTGGTACCCATGTGAATGGTACATCATGGCTTTCTGGTACATTTGCATCGCCACTAAATCCATCACCACCGTAGCCTCCCGAGCTTGGTTTGCTATTGTAATCTGACGAACTTTGTCCACCGTAACCTGCATCTGAAGACCCTTGGTTACCGTAGTCTCGCCCGGGAGAGGAGGTTTGTGTACCGTAACCGGCGTCTGAAGGCCCTTGATTATCGTAGTCTGCTCCATCTGAACCACCGTAACCAGTGTCAGAAGAGCCTCCTTGACTACCATAGCTACCACCGCCTTGGCCACCAGAACTACCGTAACCTCGGCCTCCTCCAGACCCTCCAGCTCCTCCAGAACCACCACCATTAGTTCCAAAACCACCTGCACCGTTAGTACCAAAACTACCACCACCAATATTACCAAAACCATTACCACCTCTACCATTAGCACCAAAGCCATTACCACCTCCGCCGTTTCCTCCATTACCGTTCCCAAAGCCACCCCCATTATTGCCATTGTTATTATCACCTTCATCTCCGTCATTGTTGTTGACCCCAGCATTTTCATTAAAACCATACTTTCCAATTCCGCCCGGCGAGCTTTCATGAGGTGTCGCGTAGAGGGTGATGAACCTAAAACAATATTATACTAAAATTCTAAAAAGTTTGTTATTTTAGGATTTCGGGTAATGTTTAAGCTAGTACACTACAAGATTTTGATTTAGCAAGTAATAGATGTGCCTAAAATTTAATGTTAAAAAAATTAAGCTTCAGGCTTACAAGTAAAGTGCCCGACCTGCCCCGCTCTGATTGAATTCAAACTTTTTATATAGAAACATCATGTCAATATAAGATGTGATCCAAGGTCAGACGGGTTTACTACTCTCCCTTCGCCAGCTTTGTTTTAAAGAAGAAGACGAAGAAAATTGGCACACTTAGCTTACCTATATTCAACTTTTTTTAATTTTTTGCCTCCTCAACCGACTGGTGTTTTGAAAAACCCTTCCCATACCCATCACCGTGTTCCCGCGAGAAATCCACCTCTAATCCCCTCACCTTTCCCTCACCCCTTCCTCTTAAAATCAAATTTTTTTCTTTTTTCTGTCCTAAAAAATGTAAACTACTTACTTTCCATCCCTTTCAATCCGACAATATTTGTCTTCATGAAAGTGTGACTTGCTGATGTAATCCCCATTCCCAACGATTGCTTCGTACGGATGTCCAAAGTGTTCTTCCACCTTATTCGCTAGGTAGTTTGCCATTTTGTTTGTATTACAGGTGCTAAAGTCTTCTTGTAGATCATCTTTCAGTTGATTATAGTTATCATCCATGACTTTCTCCAGCTCATCGTTACAGCACATTAACATCTCATCGTTGGCGTAGCAACTGCTCAAGGGAAACCGTTTTTCCAGTTCTTGATTCCAAATGGCATCGGCGCAGGATTGGGGCGGAGCGGACGGGGCTGGAGCGGCTGGTGGGAAGGTTTGGGCTGGTGATTCGGCTGGGGCTGGAGTTTCCGGGGCTGGGGCTGCTGGGGCTTCAGCGGGGAATGATGGTGCTGGAGCTTCTGGGGCTGCAGCTGCTGGCGCAGCCGCTGATGGTGGTGGTGGCGGGGGCGGTGGTGGAGGAGGCGGTGGAGGTGGAGGGGGTGGTGGAGCAAAAGCCGGTGGCGGCGGGGGAGGAGGGGGTGGTGGAACGAATTGTGGAGCTGGGGGTGGTGGAACAAACTGTTGCACCTGAGGTGGTGGTACAAATTCTGCTTGAGGTGCGAACTGTTGTTGTTGTTGAGCAAAAGATGGTTGTATATTCACAGCTGGTGAAGAAGCCGGGAATGAGTTGCCAGATGAAGATGGTGAATAAGAAGAGTATGACTGAGAATAGGATGGAGAGTAGGATGGAGAATATGCTGGGTAAGATGGGGCTGGCGCGTAGGCAAGGTAAGATGAAGCGTATGCTGGTGCATAGGCTGGGTATGATGAAGCAGCAGCAGGAGCTACTGGTGCAGCGACGAATGGTGGGAAACAGCGTTTTACTCGAGGTGATACTAAAATTTAGGTTTGAATGGGAGATTTTAGGCTTAGAAATGTAATCTTAAGCTTATAATTTTAAGGTTAAAAATAAAACATCTTCCGCTTTATACCTTCTAAAAATAACTTACTTCTAGTCTGATTTGTAGTTATAAACTGTCTTGTCCCTCTGGCGACTATCCTTCCAGTGAAATTGGCAGGTTCACTGATGTATTCACATCTTACCCGTTCTGTCTGACTCAACACTATATTTATAGGTATGTTAAATAGCAATAATAACCACAAGATGATCATTCTCAAAAACAATTTTTTATGTTGTATGTACTAGATTTTTATGATAGTAAGCACGATAATGAAAAAATAACCATCTCGCGAGGAAAGTACACAGCCTATCCCGCTCAGAATAAACTCCAAATTTCAATATGAGTTCTTTTCACCACCAGTAGTATCCATAAAAAATTTTAATTTGAGCTTTCGAGTTTTAAATTTTAAACATTTAAGTTTCCCGCCAATTTGACAAATTTGGCATTGTGTTTCAAAAACTTTTCTCGACTTTTCAAACAAGCTACGTTTAAAAATAGACGTCAATTTAACGGTTTTCTACTAGTATATTAAAGAAAAATGCTTAAAAGCCTAAAATGACAACGTTACAAGCTTGAAACATAATGCCAATTGGGCGAAAAATTCAAAACATAAGTTATTTACCTCGATTTTCTCAAGATTGACAAGAAAGCGCAATTTAGTACTTTTTTAAAGGTTTTACATTTAAAGCATTTGTATATTATGTAAACCCAAAACTCATATTACCTATGCTATATAATAGCTTAAAAAATGGCCATTACCTATCCTTAAGCTTACCAAATGACCATTTTTTTATAATAACTTTATCTAAAAACTTTACCTATTAATTTTCCTTACATAGCTAGACAATTATATTAACCAAAATATTCTCCCTCAAAACAAATTTTATTACTCACAATAACATCAAAGATCCCAAACCATTACTAACTACAATATCTTAACGTAGCTCATCAAAAAACACTTCCGAATTATCCGAAACCCATTACCTAATAAAAACTACAAAGTATGATAACAACAACCCCGCCCCATGCATATCATAAATCACGGTGCGCTTAAGATAACACGACTGACCGTGCGTTTAACTCAACTAACAACAACGCCATAAAATCGACCGTTAATAAGGTACATCCCATTTATAAACGGCTTTTCGCTGTATGTTTTGTCGTTGCGCATCCCATTAAAACGGTTCAAAATTAGCGTAGCGGAAGTACGGTACACCATCGTTTATTGGCTTTGGCGATTTGGGTATACTGGTTTTGTAGAAATGAGGAAGTGGCGTCATGTTTTCGTCAACAACATAAGCAGTGTTGTCACTGTTTGCGACATCGCCCCCCCCGGCAATGTGATTAGTCTCAGAGGATCTTTGGTTGGCGGGTACTGTAGGTAGAGCTGGGACATTATGTGAGAGAGGGGACAGTAGGGTAGTGTAAATTGAGAGTAGGGCATAGCGTGAGGAAGTGGTGAGTTGTAAGGTATATTATGATATTATAAAGGAAATGTAGGGTGGGACAGGATAGGGTAAGTTACGGTAGGGTCGGGTGGGGTAGTAGAAGCCGAAGCTATAACACCGCCCGGTTTTAACTAGGCTATTATGTGAAACACTAAAATCCATTGAAATCGGTCAAAAAGTTCGTAGAATACTCCCCAACAGCCTAAAACCAATCCAATTTGAAAAAGTTAAACAATAATTTATTTGAATAAACATGGTTAATATCATGAACAAATGTAAGGGTTAAACATATTACACATATAGCTGAGATTTATCGTTATTGCAAACATATTGAACTGATAGTAGCTTTGAAATGACAAAACAGTTATTTTTTAAATCGTAGTTTTGAAACAGAATCCCCAAAAATTTAATTATTTTATAAAAAATGCTAGTACCTCCTCTAAAACAATATTTTCCCAATCCCAACGTTCCTATCAGCTCAAATGTTCACAAACCAGTAATAAAAGAATGTAAAGATGTTAGTAGTATAGATTTTGAACCAAATTTCGTCCATTTCACTCGGTTTTTGATCGTTTTTCATCGGTTTCCTCAGTATTCTCGGTAGGTTTCTTACGTTTGCGAACCAATTCGGAAATGTCGTTGATAACCTCGCCTTGCTTCTGTTCGACTTGCTCAAAAGCGGTTGTTCCGAGCAATCGTTTCCTCAGCTCTTCCTTGATCTTCTCGTCCAACTTCTCTTGTTCCGACGCTTCCTTGATCTTGGCTTTGATCTCACGGCTCACGTCCTCGAGGTCGGCAATCTCTTTGTCGACTTCCTTCTTGTTCTCGTCGGTTTTAGTGGTTTCCAAGTGCTCTTAAATTAGTAAATCAAATGAACTAGCAATAATGGACCTCGTATTTTACAAAAAATTTAAAAATCCTATAAAAATTGAAAAATTAGAGTACAGTAAAATTACTGTAACTTCCAAATATTTTTTAATTTCAAAAGTTTCTTTTTTGAGATGCTTAACAAACAAAATAAGGTAAAAGATATCAAAATTTCATTAATCTAACTTCACTTCTAAAACTGTCATAACAAAATCCAATTGAAGCCCTATACCTACTACATCTTGAAAAACCAAAAAACAACATTAAAATCCAACTTTAAAAAAAAAGTATTCATCAAAACCATGCTTCTCCTCACAAAAAATAAAAACACTCACCAATTCTCTTGTTTATCACATCAAAAGCATGTTGATAATGCTCAGTAGCCTTTGGAAACTCTTCCTTCAGATTCAAAACTCGAGCAATCTCGTGATGACATTCAGCCAGTTCTCGATCCACCTCATCCAGAACTTCTTTTTTAATTTCCAAGGCTTTCGACAGTTCGTCTAGAGCTACATCAAACTGTTCGTCGATGATCATCAACTGGCCCACCCCAAAGACGGCGTCAGCCAGCTTCCTCGACCATTCCTTCTTCTCGGTCGCTGATTCCAACTCACGTTGAGCGATTTTCTTGGCCAACTCGAAGAAGTCCCATGAAGAGCGGATCATGTCAGTTAGAGCGTCGTCTGGGGTTTCGCCGTTCTCATTCTTCACTGACACGGTGTCTTCTTCGTCCATCTTTTCGAGTTTGTCGTCTTCTTTATCTTCTTTAGTCTCTTCTGACTTTTCTTCAGGTGTCGTAGTCTCTTCTGGCTTCTCCTCCGAAGTCTTGGGGTCTTCTGGCTGTTCTTCTGAATCCTTGGACGCATTTTCAGCTTCAGAAGATGGCTTATCCCCAGTTGAATCAACTTTATTCTCTTCTTCATCCTTCTTGGCTTCTTTTGCCTCATCCTTCTGCTCTTCATCGTCTTCCTCGTCATCAGTGCTGTCAGCTTCATCGTCAACTTTAGGATTCACAACCAACGCCATTTCACTAGCACATTCCAGTTGAGCACGAGCGTACGCCAAGTAGACGTCGTACATTTCCTTTCCGAATTCGCCAAAAACGGTAACACTAAAAGGGAAGAAAGTTAAAGTACACCAAAAAATAAACAAAGCTATTTTAAAAATTTTTAAGCTAAATCTCAAACTTCAAACATAAAAACTCTATATAATACTTAATTCTAGGTTGATAAACCTAAACTATCCTTCCCGAGCACAACATATAGTTCCCAAAGCCAAAATTAATTGTCATTTCTAAGTTCAAACCAGTTGAAAGTTCTCCAAACTGCTTTTCACTCACCAAGTCCTTTCACAAGCTCTATGCATCAATAAAAAGGAATATTAACTTACCCAAGTTGAGCAGCATCGGACAAACGATCAATGGCCAATTCGTAGTTTCCAGCAATCAACAACTTTCTCCCTTCAGCCAATCCAGTCTTCACCTTGTTTTGGTTGCTGAAACAGAAAAATTAACAGTAAAGCATAAAACTTTTTGCATCAAATTATTATAACAGTTATAATAATATACATTGTTTTGTTTCTCTCTAAAGTACATATTTTCTTAAACTCAAAGTTAAAAATCTGTTTTAAATACTTTCACAACACTTGAAGTGCCAAAAAATCTTAAACTTCAATCTGTTACGTTCGAAATTTTGTGAGATACCTAAAAACACAAAATACATAAAGAATATAAAACTTACTTTTCAGCTTTCTCGTCCACCGACACTTCTGGAGCAACATTTTCGACTTCAGCCATTTCGTAACGTTCGAATTACCGAGGAATGACTAAAAAACAACATTCTTCAGCTCCTTTAACTATACGCCAAAATTTATGGCGCCATCAATTTATCGTTGTGGGATCTAACAATGACATTAATGTTATTGCAATGATGAATTTTTTATGCTAGTATAACAATGTAAATATAGCTAGAGTAAAATATGAGTTTTAAAGTTATTGTAAATTATGACACATGAAAATTAACAAAAGATATAAAAATTAATGTTAAAAATAAAAAAAGGAACTTTAATATTTTTAAAATTTAAAATTCAAAAAAGTCAAAGATGCTGTTTTACAATTTTTAGATGCTAAAATTGCGCTCCATACCTTTGTCAATAAATATTCGTTTTATTATTTTCTTTCGTATAACATTGCGCTTCGCGCCCAGGCTTTTAATAATTTATTTTTTCTATAATGTCTCTTTTCTGGATGAAAATAACATTGTATTGAATACTAACAAACGGAAATGTAAGTTTTTGATTAAAAAATGCCTTTAGAATCTATTTTTAAACTTGAATCGATTTAATTTTGTCAAACTCGCGAGCTCTGGCTCGATAAACATTAAGGATGGTTTTTGAGAAAGAATTCTACTTTTTTGAGAAAAACTTTAAATTTTGAGGTGCTTGTGGGTAACGTAAAGTCAATATTGATAATTTATTCAATTTTAATTACTTTATATTTCTAACAATTTTAAAATTTAGCCAAAATTTGAAGTTATGGCCAAGTAAAGACAGTTTTTTGCGTTTTAAAGTCTAAAACATCATTTAAGGCTTAAAAACATGTTTAACTGCCCGAAATTCATCGAATCGAAGCATGTCAGGGTTTTTTGATTAATAAAGCGATTAAAACTCGAACGGCCTCACATCTAGTTGTAAACAACTAGGTTTATCATCGTTCTAGTCTAGCATATTGTTTTTGGAAATGAAGAAAAATTCATATAAATTTGTGATTTGAATTGGTTTTTATTTTGTTGGTGATAATCAAATTCGTGTAGTTTGTGCAAATTTTGTTAGATTTAAGGTTTGTTTTGCTAGTAAATGAGTAAAATATTGTTTTAGTGTATGGTCAAGAGTGGTAATACTGATCGTATCATAACTTTTTTGATAAGGTAGTTAGAAGTATGAAAGTCAGAGAGATTGTACACTATTTCTATTGCCATCAGTTCTAAAAAGGGAAATTTGAAATTTTGAAAAATAACAAAGTTACAGTGATTTTACCGTACTGCACTTTTCTTAAAATTTTTTGCTAATTTTTCCATCTCTTATAACTTTTGTCATAATGTAGTTAGAGATCTGAAAACTTGCATGATTGTGAACTACTTATATTTTCTACTATCTTGAAAAATAAAGTTATGTATCTTTTAAAATGGCAAAGTTACAGTACTTCTAATGTACCTAACTTATTTTCATTTTTAAACAAAATTGTTTTTGAAATAATTTTTAAATTTCAGGAGGTAACAACTAGATGTGCCCAACGAAATGTCAAATGTAAATAAAAAGTCGACCGAAATTGTCAATTTGAATGTGGGGGGACAGAAGTTTGCGACTAGTCGATCAACATTAAGCTGGGTTCCGGACACTTTCTTCTCGTCGTTACTGAGTGGTCGAATTTCTTCTACTGAGGATGAGACTGGAGCTGTAGGTTTGGATACTTATATATTTAGTTTCGATATTACCAAAAATGGTACATTTTTAAACTTTTTTTTTAGTTTTTCATCGACCGCGATCCAGACCTATTTCGTCGCATCTTACATTATTTACGGACTCAACAAATAGATTTAAGGTAAATTATATTATTCTTACGTTTTCCGGTTTTAGGTTTAGTGCATGTTAACTATCAATTACAGAGAAGAGCGGATACTATCTTTTTTGATTAGTATTCACAGTATAAGCTTTAGGAAAGAGGTGGAGCTTGGCTTTTTTAAAGCTAACATTCAACTCATTTTGATAGACATTGTATTATCATTACCCTTTTTAGTGATGTCAACTTGTCAATGTTTATTCACGAAGCAGAATTCTACGGAATCACACCACTGGTCAAGCGGTTACGGTTATGCGAAGAAATGAACGAAAGTCCGTGTGGAGATGTGTTGTTCATGGGGATTCTAAATCCACCAGAAGAGCCGGCTGTATCTAGTATGAGCTTAAATCAAGTCATTTTACCGGTATCTTCAAACCAATCTTATGTTAGAGAACGAAGACTATCTTCCACTGCTTCTAGTGTAAGTCGAGGGATTTTTTACTTGTTTTAGGTAATTTTGGTAATTAGATTGGGTTGTTATCTGTACGAACAACATGTTTTAATATTGTATGTTAACTTTTTTTTGTTTTACTTTGTTAGGGTGCTTGAAAAATGGGAAAACTATGAGATTTATCATGGTATTGTAGTAGGTCATAAGGTGAAGTTAGTGTTTTTTGCTGTAACGTTTTTACAAATGAAGATATAACTTTGAAATTTGGCTTAAATGTAGATTATTCTATTTCCAACATTTCTCAAAATAGAAAAGTTTGGAATTATCAAAAGTCAAAAAGTTACAGTACTTTTAAACTAACCATAGCCAAAAACTTGATTTTTTCTCAAAAAAGTAATTTAACGTTGTTATACTTGATTTTTTAAGGCAAATGTATTTAACGACACATCAAGGAACTCTTCTGCTTCTTTTTCATCGGGTTATATCACATCATCGATGAATTCCTCATTAAAATTTCGAGTCAATGATCAAGGACAATCGGTGAGTTATTTATGGTCAATAGGAGATTAGAAGGACAGAATTTATGGTATTATTGGTTTGGAAATTTTAGTCTTTGTAGTTTTGGACTAGGACAATATAATTAAAAAAAATTTAATTTCGAAAAAAATGAAAATTTAAAAATTTTTATTTCTGTTTGAAAATTTTAATGAATTCAGGGCTCAAATCTACATTCCAATCAAGAACCAACCACCGATTTGACCACAAGACAAGTCCGAAAAGACCTCAGGCGATTAGTGTTAAGGGAGAACGAGCTGGACAAAGATGACATAAATCGAAATTCGATGAGAGTTCGCCTAATCAGAGCCTATCAAAATGCAGTGGCAGTGGCGTATAGCCATTTTGGATGTGTTTATAAGTAGGTTTGGAATTGTTTTGGTTATTTGAAAAATTTTTAAAAAATTTTTAGTTTTGGTCTTCGAACTTTACTTTAAACCTGAACTTTTATTTTTAACCACCCTAAGATTCATTTTTTAAGTTTAAAATGTCATTTTCAAACAAAAATTTCATTTTTAGGCTTGAAATTTGCGTTAGAAGCCTGAAATTAATTTTTAAGCCTAAAAGTCAAAAAATAATTTGCTTTTTTCAGAATGAAAGAGAGTTATGGTTGGAAGCTCTGCTTCACATCTGCCATCATGGATTCACCGATCAAACAAATGGCATATCTATCCAAATTCCCATCACAACAATCCGAAAAATGGCTGGCCTTAGGCCTAACCTCGAATGTAATTCATCTGTACGTAATCGAAGAAGGTGGCGATTCACAAGTTCATCGTACTGTCAGAGTGTTCTCGTTGAATGCCATCATTGACAAACTGTTCTTCATCGGATCACAACTAGTGGCATTGTCATGGACAGGCAAAGTGGGCGTGTGGAATTCAATGTCACACAACTGGCAGGTTCAGGGTGAGTGAAGAGTTAGGGTTAAAAAGGCAATTTAGAAATTAAAAATGGTTTTGTATTCTTAATAATGAAATTTTAGGCTTATAAGTAATAGTTTAAGCCTAAACTTCGTTTTTGGGCGTAAGAATGAATTTTAGGCTGAAAACGTAGTTCTGGACTTAAAAATGTAGTTTTAGGCTTACAAATGACTTTTCAGGCTTAAATTGTGATTTTAGGCTTACAACTGTCTTTTTATGCCTAAAATTATGATTTTAGGTTTAAAACGAAATTTAAGCTTAAAAATGGGATTATAGGCTTAACAACGAAATTTTAGGCTTATAAATGAAACTTTAGGCTTAAAATGGACTTATGGGTTTAAAAATCAAATTTTGGGCATATAAAAATATAAAATACGTTTTTGGGATTTTAAATTCATTTTTAGTTTTAAAATATCAAAAGTATTCTAAATGGGCTTAAAAGAAGTCCCTCTAGGACACACCTTCTTTAAGAGTTCTTCAGTCTAATCTTAACCACCTTTTTTGCAGATGTAATGCAGATCTCCTCCTACGACACGGCCGGCTTCATTCTCTTGTTGGGCTGCACCAATGGCTCTATATATTATATTGATATGCAAAAGTTTCCCCTAAGAATGAAGGACAATGATCTGCTGATAACCGAACTCTACCGTGACCCCAACTCGGACACCATCACTGCCATTTCCGTATACCTAACCCCTAAAACCAGTATGTGTGGGAATTGGATTGAAATCGCATACGGCACAGCCACCGGCAATGTCCGAGTAATCGTACAGCATCCGGAGACCGTTGGCCATGGACCACAGCTCTTCCAAACACATTCAGTTCATACGGCACGGATTAGTCGAGTGGCGTTAACTACGAACTACTTGATTAGTGGTGGGTTTTTGGATATATCATTGATTTGTGGTGGGGAAGATATGATTCGTTTTGGCTTTTAAGTAAAGAAAGTAGTTTTTTAGGTAATTAAAGGCATTTTTTTTTATTTTAGGTAACAAAAATTATTTTTTTTTACTTTAGGTATTAAAAAATTGATTTTTAGCTTTGAAAACACTTTTCTTTTGGTTTTTGGGTAACAAAACTCATTTTTTTAATTTTAGGTATTAAAAAATTGATTTTTATTTCTAAAAATAGTCTTTTTAAAAAACTTTGTTACCTAAAAATTTGATATTTTTGGTATAAATTGGTACTGGCGAGTTTAACAACTTTTTGTATCAAATATTGAAGTTTGAGACTTAGAAGTGACATTTTTAATCATAACTCTATATTACAGTATGCTACGACAACAATCACGTCCGCTCATGGTCCGTGACGCGCTTCCGCGGCATGATCAACACACAGCCGGGCGGCCAAGCCCTAGCCTCCTTTAAAATCATGACTCTCGACTCCTCCCCCGACGACTCACCCCTACCCGAAGGCTGCAACACCGGCCCCTACGGTGAACAAGATGGCGAACAGATCTTTGTCCAACGAGTCGTGCCAGACGCTAATACCTTGTTCGTATTGTTGGCATCGACTGGTGAGCGATTGTGCACTATCAAAACGGTCGATTCACAACCGGTTACAGCGTTCTTTGTTCATGAATGTGACGGATCGAATAGGATGGGAGCGCGGCCGAGAAGATACTTGTTTGCTGGAACGGCTAATGGGGATGTACAGGTAGGGTTTGATTAATTGGGGTATTTTAGGAGAAATAATGCCGTCTTTGGGACACAAAGGCTAGCAAAAAATATTTATGGTACAATTCATTTAAGCCTAAAATTCATTTCTAACCCAATTCATTTTTAAGCCTTAAATTCGTTTTTAAGCCTAGCATTCGATTGAAGACAAAAATTTTGATTATCAAGTTTAAAGATGCGTTTTTAAACCTAAAATGTTGTTTTAAGCCTAAACTTATATTTTTAATTTAAAAAAAAATTTTATGCCTAAAATTTAATTTTTTAGGCTTAAAATTGTTCTCTTTCAGATTTTCGACCTGACCACGGCAATCGACCAGTACCAAACCAAAACCAACCTCATCTCCCAACAACTCGCCCAACTCAACTCCCAAACCGTTCAGGTTGGAACGGAAAAGTCGACCAGCTCCAGTTCGTCGGGTGTCATAACTGGAACACAAGCTCCAACTTTGTCGCCAAGTCTCCTGAATCAGTGGAATGTGGTCAAAGGGTTTCAGACGTTACAGGTATGCTTTTATATAAAGATTTTTGAGCTTGGTGTGGGAGGTTTTACATTGATATAATTAGTTTTTGGGTTGTTAACGTCATTTTTTACCTTAATATGGCCATTACCTACCTTAAAATAGAATTTAAACGATTTTAAAAACCAATTTTTCAGGGCCCAACCCCAGAAGAGCTCCTGAAGCTGATTGAAGCCAGCGACCTAGCCGTCTCCAGCCTCAATTCCAACTCGGTCTAGCCCTTCAAAACGGCCAAATCAGCCCAGCTGAACCTTATTTATTAACCCTAAGTCTATAACATTCAGTAATTGAATTAGTCATAATTTTCTAGCAATATAAATTATTTTTTATCTTTATGTTGTAGTAGGTACCTATGGTCAGAGCGATAATTTTCATTACCGGTCATTTTTTGATGTCAATATGGATAGATATTGATGTTCGAGTGCTCATAAGCGCATTTTTTAAATAAAAGACCTAGTTTTGAAGTGGGCGGGGTAAAAAATTTAAAAATTATGGGGAGGAGCAAAAAAATTTTAAGGGTGGATTTTTTGAGTTTTTATCGAATATTAACTATTCAAATTACCGTTATGTTATTTTAAGCGGGGGTAGATAAAAAATTTTACTACCTAAATTTAAAAAAAAAAAAGATTTATTAAAAAAGCATAACAATATGAGATCAAGCAACAATACCTACAAGAAACAATAAAGCAGTTGAAATGAATATAGAAACACGTAAATTGGTACCCGAATTACAATTATTGCCATAACAACAGCACACTTGCTCATTGCGGCCGAACTGGGTGTAATTGCGACAAAACTCCATTCCGCGACGGGTCTGAAAGTTTTGGGCTTACAAGGGAACGTTACAAACTGCCCATTCGCTTTTTAAAAATGAATGGTACCATGTGAAAGAGCGTAAAAAGTTGACTAGAAATCTATTTTCAAAAACTGCCAAATTCGTCTTACAAGCCCGCTAGCGAGCTTTAAAAATCATTATTAAAAGGGCCTTTTATGTTCATATGCTTTATTTTCAATTTTTGTATGTTCAAAAAAATTTTTTTTTAATTGTTTTATGTTTTAATAGATATAAGAAACACTTATCAACAAAAAAATTTTTGTTCTGTTAATGAAAATTAATTTAAATTTAAAAAAAAATAAATCTTACTACCCTAAAAGAGAATCGAACCGGACCCGCAAGATCGCACAATCACGGCGCCTTTGACCACTTGGAGAATCGAACACACTTCATTCCTTTCTTCAAAAGAATTCAAAAGAAAGCGGACGTAGAAAAATCATTTTAATAAGGAAAATTTTAAAGGCTCGCTAGCGGGCTTGTAAGACGAATTTGGCAGTTTTTGAAAATAGATTTCTAGTCAACTTTTTACGCTCTTTCACATGGTACCATTCATTTTTAAAAAGCGAATGTGCAGTTTTTAACATTCCCTTGTTAGTTTGTGAGCTAAACATGTTTTTATCTGAAATACAGCCTAATGCATTTTTGTTACCTAAATTAATAATTTCATACATAAGAAGAGAATTTTATACCTAAAATATAAAACTTTGTTACCTAAAATACTGCCTTGTTACCTAAATACTGCTTTGTTACCTAAAATACCATTTTTATTACCTTAAAAACCTACCAACCCACCTAAAACAACATCACACCCTTACCCCAAAACACTCGTCGATGTGACACCCGCGGCTCACGGTGTAGCTGTCGTAGTTCACGAACTTGGTGCAGGTTATGGCCGAGACTGGGCATTCAAAGCTTGCCGAGCCGATTTCAATGTTGTCTAGTCGTTCCGTGCCTTGATAACATTTTAATCCATCTATTAGTGGTGATAACAAGAGAAAGTAGACCAAAAAATACCATACTTTCACTATTCTACATTTCATCTTGTCTGAAATAGTACATAATAGAAAATCTGGTCAAATTTTATAGATTTATCTTTAATAGGTCATGCGGTATAAGAAAGCCTGCAAACGGTTAAAAAGTTTATAGAATTCTTTTAGGTACTCAGCCAAAAAGTTTCTAAAACAACCTTTATTCCATCCAAAAGTCCATAGCGGTGCCTTTATATTTGGCCTAAAAGTCCGTAGAGTCGATTTTGGGTAGCCATAAAGTTGATAAATAGCCTTTATACGGTCGAAATGTTCATGGAAGTACTTTTGTTTGGCCTAGAATTTTATACAATCGCCTTTACTATTTCAAAAAGTTTACAGAAATGACAGTTATATACGATATTATTTCATACCCCAGCTTTTCCACAAACGTTTGACCATATAAGGGCATTTTTGTAAGCTATGGGACCGAATAAGAGCATTTCCATGAACTTTTCAACCAAATAAAAGCGATTTTATCAAGTTTACGGCCAGCTGAAAACGATTCTGTAACATGAACTAGAACATTTCTATAAACTTGGAAACCACGTAAGGTAATTCCATGAACATTTCGATTGAATAAAGACGATTTTACAAAACTTCTGACCAAAAAACAACATTTACATAAACTTTTTTACGAATTCAAAGCGATTCTATTCACTTTTTGACCAAATAAAAATCATTCTATAAACTTTTTGACCAATCAAAGGCTATTCCACAAATTTTCCAATCAAAACCTTATGATTATCTAAAGTTAGACCATGCAAACGATTATATAAGACTAAAACTGATGGCTATATGAAATTTATACAAGTTCATGACTAAACTAGTACAACACTGCCATACGTGAATTCGAAAAAGTTGGTTTTAAAATCGAGAAAAGGTCGGGAAAACAGAGTCGAAATATGAGGTGTTTAAACACTTTTATTATGTGTTTTTCCTTTCACATAAACACAAAAGGAAAAAGTGAAAATTAGCAAAAAAAGAGCTCGACAAGGGCAGGGTTAGTGAATGGAGGCAAATTACCGCGGTTGTTTGGAACTACTCATTCAAGGTGTGAACACATTAGCTAAAATCTGAATTTGCGACAAATTTAATTTTTAAGCGTAAATTCGAATTGGTACACCAAAGGACGTCACTAGGCTAAAGGAAGAGGGTAAATGGAGTGGATCCCAGCGCGAATCAAAAGAAAATTTCAAAGGTACCACCTGCCTGTATTGGAAAATTAGAAAACTAAAATTTGTTTTACCTTCCACCCCCTTCTCCTTCAGGAAGAACCTGTAGTGACTTTCATGGGTGGGCGCGTATTAGGTGCCGACATAAAGAACCCGCCATACTTTTTCTGTAATTTCCTGTAAAAAAAGGCGGGTTCTTTATGTCGGCAATGAATAAATACAATGTAAACTTTAAGTTTTAAACCTAAAATTTTATTTTTAATCCTTAATTTTATTTATAAGCCTAAAATTTCATGTTCAAGCCTAAAAATTCATTTTTAAACCTAAAATTCCACTTTGAGCCTGAAATTTCATTTTTAACTTCAAAATTTTATTTTTTAGCCTAAACTTTCATTTTAAGTTTAAAATTTCATGTTTAAGTCTAAAACTCACTCTTTTGCGTACAATTTAATGTTTAAGCCTAACATATTAGTTTAAAGTTTAAATAATCGTTTTTAAGCATAAACTTCCGTTTTTAAGCCAAAACATTAATTTTAAACCCAAACTTTAATTTTTAAGCCTAAGAATGTGCCTTCAGCTTAAAAAGTCTAAACCGATATTACAAATTAAAAAAAAATAAAACTTTTTTTTTAAAATTGACCTCATTATTGACTCACAAATAAACAACATAAATAGAACGACAATTTGTGATTAATCAGCTCGTAGAACTATAATAAATAAATAAAGGGAGCAAACTGATTATCACTCGGAATTTGTTATCTAAACTTGAAAAAGGTTTGTTTTTCATTTGTCTTTCTAACCTTGAATTCATATCAAAAATTGCAATTCTACAAAAATGTTAACCAAAAGAAAGTGATTCTGCGTACTTTTTGACCCGTTAAAATTCCTTCCATGAAGTTTTTGACCTTTTGTTGACAATTATATACACTTTTTAACCAATTTGAACCTAATTCAGGTTTTTTTTATCAATTTTTACACCAAATTAAACTTATAAAACGCACTTTTCGAACAAAAAAACTGTCATTATACAAACTTTCTGACCAGTAAAGATGCTCGATATGCAAAAATCATCCACCACTCACAACTATTATACTTACAATTATCAATCCACATAATTTCCTTGCCTAACATTGATCATTTTGGCCACAAACTCCTTGAAAATCTCCATTCCTTCTGGACTTGTGAATAATTTCTGGCCAACCGGGAAATTATTGTAGATGACTTCAGGTGAATGATCTTGTACCGGACCTTCTAGTTCACCTGGTACTTCTAGGTCTGGGAAGAGCTTTCTGAAATTGTCTTACATAACAAGGCGAAGCCGGTCAACGCAAAAACTTATGCCAAAATTTGCAAATATCGCAAAAAAAGAAAGTGTAGGCTAGGTATAAAAACTTACACTAACTGCGCCTTCAAATCCTTGGTCGGTGCCAATTTACTGACCAAATCCATCCAACAAGCCAACTCCATAGCTATCAAACTTGAATTATAATCTGAAAAAGTCTCTGCCAATTCTTTTAGTACTGCTTTGATATCTTTTGGCATTATGAAAAGTGGGTAGAAGTCGGTAATTTTGTAGCCAATCTGAAAATGGTTTTTTTAGGCTTAAAAATGATTTATTAAACTTAAAAATGAATTTTAGGCTTAAAACTGATTTTTTAGACTAAAAAATGAAATTTAGGCTTGGAAATGAATGTTTCGGCTTAAAAAGTAAACCTTGGGCATAAAAAATCATTTTTAGGCTTAAAACTAAAAGCTCAAGCCTAAAAATAAAATTTTAAAAACAAAAATCAAAATTTAGGCTTAAAAAACCTTTAGCTTAGCCCCCTAACGCTAAATTCAAAAAACTAACACAAAAATAAATTAAATCATACCGATTTCAATTTTTGTTCATGAGTAATACTGGTGTTCTCAATCGCTTCTGGATAAAAGCAGTCTGATCCGAAGCCTTGTCGTTCCGTCAATGGAATCACCGTGAAGAACTTATCATAGAGAAACGAGTAGAGTTTGTTTCGAAACGAATAAAACTCCAAATCTTGATCTTGATTACATTTCAGTAGGGTCAGTTGCCTAAAATATTGAAAATCTTCTTTTTGTTATATTTTTTTTTAAAAAATAGGTAACAACTTCAAATTCTCTGCCATATTAGGCTATACTCTCCTTCAAAATTGCCTTAAACCAAAACTTCAAAATGTTTTAAAACCCCAATAGTTACAGTAACCGTTTTCATAACCATAGCACTTACCTACCCTGGATTCAAAAAAGTGATCAGCCCAGGGCGGGTGACATCATATATAGTGTCGGGTGGGTAGAAATCAAGTAGATGATCATTATTCGATTCTTCGTTTAACAGCCGGTTGGTCCAAGACTTTTCGACCGCCGCTCGTCGTGAAAAGATTAAAAGTTGATTTAGCAGTGATGTTGTTATAGTATGTTGTTGAGTTAAGAGAGGTAGGCATCCTATTATTAGTGACACTGAAAATAGCAAGGTTAGTCCAAATTTCAAAGTTTTCAAAATTTTAAAAACTACAAAAAAAATTAAATCTAAAAACCCTCATTTCCAATGAAAAAACGTCATTTTAACGCCAAAAACGTACATTTATTATTCATATGTTTGGCGGGAAGTAACATTCTGGCTAACGACTGTTTACTTAAAGGTGAAGATTTAGCTGGCGATAATATATCTTCTTGTATTGAAGCATAGAAGACGTTGATTCGCGGCTCTTCTGATGTCAAAACCTAAAAAATCTTAATCTCGTATTTTACAAAAAAAACTACGTTTTAGGTCCAAAATTTAATTTTTAGGCCTAAAGTGTCAGTTTTATGTCGATAGTTTCATTTAAAACCTAAAATTTTATTTTCAAAACTAAAACTTCATTTTTAAGCCTAAATTTCATTTTCAAACTTAAAATTTTATTTTTAAGCCTAAAATTTCATTTTAGCCGAAAATTCATTTTTATGCCCAAATTTAATTTTAATGTCTAAAAGTTCAATTTTAAGCGTAAGATGCAGTTTTCAGTCCAAGAAGACGTTTTTAACTTAACCTTTGCCATCAGGGACGTCGTTTGGGGGAGTTGTAGGGGGTGGTACCCCCCTCCCACAGAAGCGATCCGAAAAAAAATTCCACAGGTAAGGTACCTGTACGCAAAAAAACAAAAAAAAAATTTTTTTTAAATCGGTCCACAGCTACCTGTAGACGAAAAATGTTTTTTCGGCCTCCCCCTCCCCCAGAGAAAATCCGTAGCGACGTCCCTGTTTGCCATATAAAATTTACTACGCTACATATTTTTTCTAAAAGAAAAAGTATGTCCACCCCCAGGGCCGGGCGCGAGGGGGGGGACGTGGGGGGGTACCCCCCCCAGAAAAAAATTTTCGAAAAAATTTGAACGTGGTCCCCCCTGTGGATTTTTTGGAAAAAAAATTTTCGCAAAAAATCGACACAGATTTTTTTTGGACCCCTGCCCCCAGACCAAAAGTCCCCGCCCGGCCCTGTCCATCCCCATTCGCCCACCCCCTCACCTTTAGCAACGTCACTAATGCCTAAAGTTTTAAAACCAAACATAATTTTTAAGCCTAAAACTAAAAAAAAAACATAAAATTAATTTTCGACCCTCTAAATTCAAAATTCAATATAATCACGTTGGGGGCCGAAACGCGGAACACAAATGTGCAAAAAGCGTACTAAATAGCATCAAGTGTGTGTCGATTTGATTTTGGGAAGGCAAAAGTTCGCGGGGGTTCCGTCTTCAAGCCCACCAAATTGGATTTGTGACAAATCCTCAAATGGCTTTATGACATTTGCCATTCGCCAGCCGTTGACCTTTTGTTCTAAACGTTTCGGCATTGTGTTTGAGTTGTTAACCTTTTACATTGTTGCGCTATTACCTAGTACTAAAGGTTTTGAGCTAGGTTACAGTATTTTAACTGTATTACTGTATTTTTATATGATATTACTGTATAAAGACTATATTTTTGCTTGAGCTACATTACTTTATTTCATATGATTATATATGTTTCGAGTTCATTGTTGGCCAGTAGTTATGTTACTGGTTTGTGTATGTGCTACATCATCGGATAGAAAAGTCAGGCATCCCAGGAATCAACGTAAGCCTATTTTTAAGTTAGAACAGGACCAAAAGCTCCGTATTTCCAAAACCAACTCAATGTGCTCCACATCGCATGAGGAGTGGACTTGAAAGGGCCGGACCCAATTTTTTTGGCCATGTCATTTTCCATGTGTTTCCTCACCTTAAAAATAAATTTTGATGGGTCCCTGCCTTAGTTTCACCTCTAGTGTCCTGGCAATTACAAATTTTCTTCTCCCGCACCCGTGCGGAGCCTAGTAAGCACCCTTTCAAGTCTAGTATAAAGAGAACATCTAATTTTTTACAACTACACTAATGTCTTTTCAAAACCTTCATTCCTATGATTTCAGATATGCACACAAGACCTAGTGATTTCGTATTACGATGCCCTCCTCCACCAAAAACCAGACACAAAGTGAGTTTAAAAAGCTAAAATGGCTACAAAAAGAAGCTGAAAACCTAAAACATCTTATAAAACGAACCGATGAAAGGCTACACCCAGTCAAAGTTAAACAGATTAGACCACAGAAGCAGAAATAAAGCCTAAGCCGAGCTAAAAGTTCGATTAAAGCTATATTTAGAAGGGGCTCACTAGGCCAGCTCCGGCCCCAGGCTACAGCAAGTTCAAAAGCGGACAACCCTTCAAACATGGGCCCGAGCCAAAACCTAGTCAAAAAAAAATCCAGCCCTTTACAGGTCTATTTGAAATTCAATTCATAGCTTTTTTTTTATCTATCAGCCCTTTTTACCTGGAAACTTTAAAGCTTGTTTGAAAAAAAATGTATTAGAAAACTCTATCCTACCTTCAGATCCAAGTCAGTGTAGCATTCTACTTCAACAACAAGATCCTGCTACAAATCGACGCTGACAAAATAATCGAATCCCATAGAATCCGAGAGCAAACCGACAAAATTCAATGGAAAACCCTCGGAAATCAGAGTTCTGCCATAATTTCTTGGAAAAACGACACAGTACGATTTGAGTACGAAGAGAAACGACATTGGTATGCAGTTCGAATTAAACCTAACAATATGTACGAACTTCGAGGAGCCTGGAAGTGTAGGCTAACAACTTTTGTCAAGGATAATCGACAAAAAAGCAATTGGTCCAAGTTTGAGAGCCGGAAGTTTTATGGTGCTAGTAAGAACAAAATTTCCGTTTTTCAGGTGAGGTCTTTTTAAGATTTTATCAAAAAATTGTTTTTAAATTACTTGGGTTACATTGAGGTAGATAGTGTCGACGAAAAAAAAGCGAAAAAAAATTCAATCCCACCATAACCTACATTAATATCGGTTCTTTTTACATACCCATCGTTTTTAGTATGCAAAAAGAGATGAAAACAAACAAAACAATACCTTAAAGACAAAAAGAATGGAAGAAAATACTAAAAAAGCTAGCCATCAAGTTCAAACTCCAGATTCATCAAAAATCAGTGAAGAAGACTTTGTGTAAGTGTAATATAAATTAATTTCTTGCCATTTCCTGCTCTATAAAAAAAGTGTTTGCCCTTCTAAACCTTTGACTTAACATTGTCATAAAAATTCACCTAGAACTTTTTAGTTTCTCCAAGCCAAACGAAGACTTTGCAGTCTTTCACAGAATCCAAAGGTTCCGTGAGGTTGCATACATCCGTAACTCAGATATAACGGAAGAAAAATACGATGATCCAACACAAACGGGCAAAATACAATACTATGACACTACTACACCAAGAAACTTTTCTTCTGTTCATGCATTACCAGCAAAATCCGGCTCAATCTTATATTATCCATGGCCTTTTTGGGTCTTTATTGTGTGTTTGTTAGAATATTTAAAGTGTTTATAATTCTTTATTGATTATAATTTTTTAAAATTATTTTTATTAAATTCTATTTAATTTTAATAAAAATTCATCATATTTTAATTAAAAAACCAAAAAAGCAAACAAAAATAATGGGTATGGTAAACCTCATGTAACCTCAAGAATTTTTTTAAATTAAAATAATTTTTTAAAAGTTTAGTTGACAAAATAAATAACCTACATATACTAAAAATTTAAAATCTATAGCTGCACAGTGCAAAAAGTTCTATTAAAAACAAAGAAAAATATTTTTAATAAGTGTGGTACGTTGAGTTCACTGTAACTTCAACATTTTTCAAGTTTTAAAATCTCCTTTTTACAATAGTCGACGTACAAAACACTCTTCAATCTCCCAAATTTCCAAATCTCTAACTAAACTTTAAAAAAAGTTACATCAACTTTTCCTAATATTATCCTACCTTTTGTCGACTAGCCATTTTGATATTGCTCTCAATCAAAGAAACCTTTGGGAATCCAGAATTTAGAAACTTGTGTGCCAATTTAGGTTCATGCGAGTTAAAAATAGCAATATGCGCTTGAGATTGCTTTACAATCAACTCTTCTAACATCTGATTAGACCATCCTACCACTTTTTCTAAAAACAAAAAATTTAATAATGTAACTCACCTTTCCTTACATTATTAAAAAATTTTAATGCCCAGGTTGTAAAAATTACCTTGTAATTCTTCGGATTTAATACCCAGTCCAACTTTTCTCAAATGTCGTTGCCAAAATGCTTTCACTGATCGGGTTATCATATAAGATTTGTGCTTGAAAAGATGAAAAATTAAAAATCTAGAAAAATAGTGTTATTAATATCAAAAAGATTAAAACTTATTTTATCTACTTTTTGGTTAAAAAACACATTTTTCGCTCGAAAACAAACGAATTTTTAGATAAAATAATACGGGCGCAGTTTGTCACAGTGCAGGCTGCAGTTTTATTTTATACGATGCAACTACTTTTGGCAAAAAACGGTTTTTTCTCGATTTTTGGAAGAAACGAAGTGAAATTAGCATAAAACTATCGTCAAAAAAAATTTTTCGTAAAATTTTCAAAAAAAACTTTATATTGTCACTTGTTCATCAACTCTGTTAGCGGTCGGCTGTTTAACGACGCTTCGAAGAAAATGTCAAGGATTCGCACCTCGAGCAGCGAAGAACGTGCATTTGTAGAAACCAGAGCCCCGGCTTCAAGTTTTTTCATTACCAGAAGCCCTTACGGGCAACATTTTGAGGAAGGCGAGCTGGATAAGTCTTTGTATAAGATCAAAATACCAGATGACAAGCATGATGCAGATGGAGTTAGGCACAATGTAGAATATGAAGACATCTCGGATGCTATCGATTATGATGGTGGAATTCAGTACAGTGTGGATGATGACGATGGTATTTTGCATGATGAGAGCTTTGGATTCGGAAGCATGCGAAATGAGCATCGTAGCTGTAGAAAGGACCAATATGACCATCAGAAGACTAGAATTCAGCCCGATAAGCACCAGAAGTTTAGAAGCCAACACGATGTGCATCAGAAATCTAAAAGCCAGCACGATGAGCATCAGAAACCCAGAAGCCAGCACGATGAGAAGAAGGAATTTGGAAGCCAGCACGGTGACAACCACGACTCCAGAAACCTGCAAAATGAGAATCAGGGGCTAAGAAGCCAGCACGATGAGCCTCATGATTTCGGAATCCAAAATGAATTCCGCTACGAAGCCCGTGCGACTTGTGGGGCTTCGTTTGACGCCAGAAGCCTGTCTGAAGACTTGTCCATGCTTAGTATTACGACACCGTACCCATGCGACGATGGAAGAGGCATCGGATGGGATTCGGAAATGCACGATATTTCAGATGCCGTCTTTGAAGTGTTTGGAACGCCAGAATCTACGGATTTTACGGATTCTGATGATTTTTTCAGTGATAGTTACGAATGTGATGCTAAGTTGGGTGAGGATGGTACTCACAAGGTCGATGATGCTACGAACAACAACAACAATAGTATTAAACAAGTCAAAACTGGCACTCGGCAGCCTCTGAATGGTACAAACCCTAACCAAGATGGCTCCAATGACTACAATATTACCAGTAGAACCTCCCATCTTCACGACTTGGCGAAAAATGTAGAATCAGATACTAGCGTGATTACAAATGACGCCACTGAAGAATCAGGATCTGTCTTTAGTACTTCAACTTCAGAATCCGAACAAGAAAAGAAAGAAGCGATGGCTTTGTAGATTAGAAGCGACTTCAAGATGGTGGGATTCTGGAGCATATTGTAGACGTTGGGATTTTGGAACACAGTCTAGTCTTTGGGATTCTAGAGCGAGTACAAATGGTGCTTGAGGACGTCATCTGCTTATATCTATATATTTCGCATCATCAATTTCGTTTTTAAATAAATTTTTTATATTATAATTGAATTTTCATTAACTTTTATTCATAAAACTTTAAATTGACTATGGCAAACCAGTAAAAATTAGTTAACAGTCTTTACAACAAGTTGTCGAAGGCTTAATATACTTTTTATTCTTCATTTGCTTTTCAAGACATGCTAACATACCGCGGTTGCAAAGATGGTCTCCGAGCTGAAAAGGTTTTTCAATTTGGTCAAAACGTTTTTGGAATTTTCAATTTCACAAGTTCAACTTAACTTTGGTCCAAAAGTTAATGGAATTTAGAGTTTTGGGTCGAAAGTTCTTGGAATTCCAAGTTTGGTGCAAAAGTTTATAGAATTTTGAGTCAAAATTATTCGAATTTGAAGTTTGATTTAAAAATTGCTAGAATTTTAAAGTTTGGTCCAAAATTTCTTAGAAGTTTAAGTTTAGTCCAAAAATTTATGGAATTTCCAATATGGTCCAAAACTTTATAGAATTTTACATTTTGGTTTAAAAGTTTATGGAATTTTAAACTTGGTTCAAAAGTTCATGGAATTTTGAATTTTGGTCCAAAAATTCTTGCAATTTCGAATTCTGGTTCAAAAATTAATAAAATTTTAAGTTTGTTCCGAAAGATCTCGGAATTTGTGTTCTGGTCAAAAAGTTAATGGATTTTTAAAATTGTGTCCATTAAAATCCACCAAACTTCAATATCTACCATTCCTAAGTCCATACAATCCCCTTACCTCACTTTGTTGAATGTAATCAATAACCTTCTTCATGGTCTCATTCCTCATCCCTTGTGCCACATTCTTACTCGTATATAGGGTTTTGATGGTGGTATCAAAGAAATGAAGACATTGTTTATGAGCTTTGTCATCTTTACGTTTAGCATCAACATATAGTGCTATGCGAATCAAAAACACATAGACAATGACCTTTGCGAACATATTATTATATAAAACTAATTTTGAAAATGTAATCGACAGTGTTTAGACATGATAATTAGGCATGGTAATGGTCGTTTTAACGGGGTGGATTCGGAGGAAAAGTGTTAACATTGTTTGATTTTACAAAATGATATACAGTATTCATACATGGTGTGGTTGAAGGTGACGCCCAGGGCCCGGCGTTGGGAGAACCTCCCCCCCCAGAAAAAAATTTTCGAAAAAAGTTGAACTGAGACCCGGGAAGGTGGTAAACAAAGGTGCATTTAACCACAACCGATACGAAAAAAAATCACAAGTGGGTGGGGGAAGGGAAGGGTAGAAAAACAAATAATTTCACATATGGAAGCCCCCATCAAAAAAATTTGACCCCTAGCTTAATTTCAAAGAAAAATTATCTCGACCCTACAGTACCAGGTGCACCATTTAGAGACAGCACACACAATATGCATATTTCCATTTATTTCAGCTAATTTGTTTCGAACAAAATATGAACCTGTTTCACCAGATGATATATAACACAAGTGCCTTTTTTATAACAACAATATAAGTGATATGTTAAAGATAGTTACAACTCATTAAAGCTACATAAAGTTATATAATAGTAAAATCATGAAGACATGGTGATATTGAAAGAACGGGGTGGATCTTGGGCTTAAAAACTAATTTTAGGCTTAAACATAAAATTTTAGGCTTAAAAATAAAATTTAGGCTTCCAAATGAAATTTAGCCTTAAAAATGAAATCTTATACTTAAAAATCAATTTTAGGCTTAAAAATAAAATTTTAGGCTTAAAAACTAATTTTAGGCTTAAACATAAAAATTTAGGCTGAAAAAAAATTTTAGGTTTAAAAATGACATCTTAGGCTTAAAAATGAATCCTTAGGCTTAAAAATAAATTTTTGGGTTTAAAAATAAAATTTTAAGCCTAAAAATATAATAAACCTAAAATAATCTTGTAAATTTCAAAATCCATCCCTTCTAATAAAAAAACAATACCAACGTCACCATTAATACTCAAACCCCAAAAGACTAACAATATAATAAATACATTAATATAAATATATAAAAAAGCTCGTTAATAATAAAACTTTTACCCATAATCAATATAATTTGGTCAGCTACCGCTTCTTCGTTTTCACTACACGATCAGATAACATAAAATGCAAGTTGGGCAGTCGGCCCAAAAATGTCTTGGCTTCGGATGAAAGGCTTTCCACTGATAGGTAGGAGATTGCCCCGTTTATACCATTGTTATTGCCGTTTTGGGTTTTGGTACTGAAAAACATTTTGGTACTATGGGATTTAAGGCAGTGTCTTGGTGAAGAAGTGCTTAGAAAAGCATTTTCATCATCCAAAAAAGGCTTATAATCCCCTATTATTAGCCTAAAACCCCTTTATATTGGCATGCAATCGCTTTAATTGACAAAAAACGCATTTTTCCACAAACTTTTAGACCGCAAACAGTACTACCTAAAACTCAAAACAAAATAGAAGAAAATCCTACCTTTCCGTACTCGAATCCAATCCCCATGCCGCCAGATCATCGTCCAACAACGACTTTCCGTTATGTTTGACTGGAGAGTTTTGAAAGAAATCACAGTTCAGATTGGAGACCGCATCACTTGTCGCTGAAAATGACATAAATTGATAACCGAAAACTTCGTAACATCGTGATAACATCAATACACATTATACCAACACTTGGAAAAAGCAACAGACATTAATATATGCCATTATTTAAAGGGACAGCAAGGAGAGTTTAAATAATTTTTTTGCAAGTTCAATAAATGTGGGTTGTTAATATTACTGTAACTTTTAAAATACTGCAGGTAAAAAATTTCTTTCTAGAGCATAGTTAACCAATATAATAGTTTATACCTACTCAAAATTTCATGCATCTAACTAACTTTTAAAAAAAAGTTATGACAAAAATTAACAAAGGCCCACTTTCCTCAACTATAACAACATAAAACCACAAAAAAAAGCTTTACAAACACACAAATTTCACTTCAACACCTCAGAATACATTCACATATCCACACAACACTACCTATAGACGCTACACCTATCTCTACTCCAACAACACCAACTACACCGATCTTACACTGCCTTAAAGGATTGCTCAATCCAGCTCGATTCCAATCAAAATCAGCCGGTTCCACTTGAAGCGAATTTAAATCTATCACGCCCATGTTAACTAGAGGATTTTCGCACAATGTGCGATTAGAAACGTCCAAATCTGAATTAAACTTATTATTACTCGAAACAGCGCCATCTTCCGTGCTCTTGACGTCGGTCAAGTTTGGCTCAAAAACGTCGATTGAGTCGAGGAAAAAGGAAGAAACTTTTGAGTTGGGCCATCGAAACTTCAATGCGTTTGTTTCTTCTATCACGTATAACAGTTTCCATAATGATACTGATCTGAAAATGGGTAAAAACTTTTAAGAAAGTACAAAGATGAATAATATTGATAACGACTACAAAAAACAGCTATAACAATTTATATACAACAGATAAAAATCTGACGACTTGGGTAAATGTAGCCCATTTACTTGCCACCTAATACAATTGACAAACTTTCAAAATTCCAAAAGTTATAGTAATTTTACCGTATCTTATCAAAACACGCTTTTTAAGACCTAAAATATTTAAAACGTTCATAAAAAACCACAAAATCACTAAAACCACGCAAATCCATGAATAACTCACGCCGATTCTTCGTTTTCAACATTAACATCTAATAAAGAAGCTAAATCTGACGTTTCATATTCTTCATTACCACCAATTCCTTCCGTTACCCAAAAGTTTTCATCTTTCATAATCTGCTCTAACGTCGGAAAATAAGCCTAAAAACAAAATAATCTAATAAAAATAAACTTACAGCATCAATAGACGACTGTTTTGAAAGCTGTGGAGATTTATCCACTTCATCTACATCAGCGCTTTCAAAATCTCCAAATTCATCGTCGTCAAAGTCGTCTGGAAGTATTTAGGTGAGTTTTTACATTAAAAAGTAAGACAATTAAGTTTAGGAAATACAAAAAAGAAGTTCAAGCCATAAACCTGACCTTTAAAAACGTTACCTTCATCAACAACAACTCCATTGCTTGTTTCGGGCTCTACCACCTCTTTGCTTTGTGGTTCATCAATGATTTCAGTCGAATCCTGCCTCTGAATTTCTTCATTTTCCTTCATAACCATCAAAACCACCACTTTTCACAGAATCCAGCTCGATATCTTGTCTAAAAATGAATTCACTGTCTTTCTCAGCTCCGCCAAACTTAATATTATACCAAACTTTGAAGCTAAAAACAACAAAAAGAGTAGAGCTTACCCGTTCAATAGTATAACAAATAAACACTCTTTCCTCAAGACGAAAATATAATGTCTTACTCAAATTACGTGCGCTCAAATTCACTTGTTAACCAGCTCTCAAGCGTCGCTCCCGTAGCAACACATACGTGTGACGTTATGCCACAAACTTTTAGCAAGCTGAATATTTCGGAGCGGGACTAAAATAAATAAAGGAAAAATTGGATAGTTATATTTAAATTGCGCTTTTTAAGGGTTTTAGGCTTAGATTTTGTGAAAACTATGTTGTAGTAGGTTCTAGATGATCTTATGGACTCAATTGTGATTGGCAGGTTTATATTTGACAGGTTTGTTATAGTTAAATTATGTTTTAAAAAAGACTGAAGATCAAATTTTAGTCTCGCGGATAATCTATAAATTGTATTTGTCGAACTTACAGTTTCATAAGTGTGATATGGTATTTTAACTGTTTGAGAACATAATAGAGTTGTCATTTTTATGGTGTTTGTTTACATTTGATTTAAAGTTTGAAGATTATATTAAACTTAACATCAAACGCTGATCAATGACATTCTTTTTGTTATAACTTTTTTAAAAATATAGGTTGAAACTTAAACATTTTGAAGAATGTATACTATTAGTTTTTTTCAACGTAACTTAAAAGGAATTTTTGAAGAAGTTTATCTAAAATTTTTATGTTATAATAGTTTTATCGCACACTTATCAATCGCTGCTTCGTTCGTTTACAAAATTTTAATAAAGTTTAAGTTTTAGAGATTGAACATGACTGAAGCACCTTCAGACACAGCTAATCATCAACGTTTGGATGAGATGTTGCTTCATCTTACTCCGAATGGTGCTGTGGTACCATATTCAGCGTGCATAGACAAGGATGGGCATTTTTGGGTGGCTTCAAAGGGTGGATTATTTAAATTTGATGGAAATTCACATTCATTAATTGTTGAGCGTAAGAACACGTTTCCTAAGAAGATGATGCCGTATTGTCAAGTTCATACATATCAGGATAAGGTAGCTTTATTACCTAAAATATCTCAATTTGTGTTTTAAATTTAGGTGATTCACATTCAAACCGGGGAAGGAGATTTGACTGAATATAGAGTGCTATCTCTTGATGGGCAAGTTGAAGTTGAGCAGATTTTTGATGGCAAAATCCAGGGTTTTGTCATCAGTGAACAAGGTGACATGTACATGACGAAGCAGCCTGTAGCTGGTGAAGATTATGTTATTTACAAGACTAGTTTTGATTGCCCGATTGGATGGACGGAGTTATCGACTGCTTATGATTATTGTTTCCAAGCGCTGTGCTTGTACGATGAAAATACGTTGGTAGCGGCTACTACTACTGTTCCTTTGAATATTTGTTCAAAGTAAGTGTTTAAGTTACATTTTTCTAATAGTTTTAGGTATTTTATGGTTTGAAGGGAAAGAAAATGTCTGCCTTTTGGCTCTCATATTGCTTTTAAAGGAGAAGTCAATTAAAAAATCAAGTTTTTAGGCAAACTCTGAAGATAATTGATGCTAATACAGGAAAGATCAAGAATTCTTTTAGTGAAGCTGGTAAAGAGGATGGACAGATCTTCTTTCCAAGGGCTATCAAAAGGTAAGAGCAGGGCTAATCGAAGGTGAGGGTAGACCTATTAAAATGTGAGGGTAGGATAGGAGGGTGTGGTAGTGTTATTTTGCAGATATGTTGTCTTTTTAAGTCAACATTTTTTAAGCCTAAAATTAATTTTTAAGCCTAAAATTTGATCTTTAAGCTTAAAATTGATTTTTATGCCTAACATTTCATTTTTAAGCCTAAACAACGTTTTAAGCTCAAAATTTCATTTACAAGCCTAAATCTTCATTTTTTATTTTCTAAGTTTTATTTCCAGATACCACGACTCCATCGTAGTAATGGACAAAACCGGTCGATTCCAAAGCTTCGACCTAGAAGGCAACTTTACTGGCATAAGCGCTCAAATCGACGCTTATTTGAGTAACAGTTTCATCGTGCAGAACGATGAAGCCATCATCGTGTGCTCAGGAATCGTCCAAAAGGCCGATGGCGAGACAGTATGTGATGATTGGTTGGAGAAGATCAAATTAGACGGATCAAAGTGGCAAAAAGACGAAGTTACAACTGCTTAATTTACTTTACAATTCTGGGAATTTATAATGTGATCACATGTGATATTATACTCTATTTCCATGTTAAACGATATAATTTTAAAGGTTCACTTATGTACATATATACGATAATAAATAGAGCTTCTAGCGAGTTTTGTAAAGTTTAGTTGTGCCTAAAGTACTACGAAATTTCATCTTTAAGCCTAAACTTTCGTTGTTTAGCCTAAAGTTTTAGTCTAAGCTAAGCCAAAAATTTTATTTTTAAGTCGAAAATTCATTTTTAACTCCAATTTTTAATTCTTAAGCCTAAAGTTAAAACATAAAGGTTACTTTTCGCCTAAAACTTCATTTAGCCTAAAATTTTATTTTTAAACCTAAAAAACCACTTTAAGCCTAAGATTTCGTTTCTAAGCCTAAATTTGATTTCTAACTTAAACTTTTAACTTTTAGGCTTAAAACTCCATTTTTAACCCTAAATTTTAATAATTAAGCCTAGAATTCAAAAAGCTATTAAGATCTTTATTGAAAACCCGTTGACTACAACAATATATACTATCTCTAACAAAGATGTTGTTTTGCTTTTATGTTCCAAATATACTGGGACATGACGACCAATTTTGGTAGGCACGACATTGAAGATAGTCGATGTTGAATTCATACAAATCGACGCCATTTGGAGCTGCTTTGGTAAACCATTTTGGGGTGTATACTAAAAATAATTTGTTTAATTCAAGCTTTCATTTCATTTTTAAGCCTGAACTTAATTTTTAAGCCTAAAATACATTATTATTGATTAAAATTTTTTTTTAGCCTAAACTTTATTTTTAGGCCTAAATTTCATTTTTAAGCCTAAAATTTCATTTTCAAGCCTAAATTTCATTTTCAAGTCTAAATTTCATTTTTAACCTAAGTTTTCATTTTTTAAGTCTAGAATTTTATTTTTTAGCCTAAAATTTCATTTTTAACCTAAGTTTTCATTTTTTAAGTCTAGAATTTTATTTTTTAGCCTAAAATTTCATTTTTAAGCCTAAGTTTTATTTTTAGGCCTAAATTTTATTTTTAAGCCTAAATTTTATTTTTAAGCCTGTTTCATTTTCAAGCCTAAATTTCATTTTTTAACCTGTTTTCATTTTTTAAGTCTAGAATTTTATTTATTAGCCTAAAATTTTATTTTTAAGCCTAAAATTTCATTTGTAGTCTCAAACCTTCATTTTTAAGTCTAAACTTCATTTTTAAGCTTATGATTCAATTTTTTATGCCTAAACTCATTCAAACCCCCTACCTTTTCCTAGTTTTTCGTGTTCAGCCCGTCGTTTCCTTTGCTGATTTTCCAACTCAGATTTAATGTGATTGGCACGTTTCCATTCGCCGTTCTCCATTTCTCTTTGATCGGGTCGTAGTCTGCTATCAGTTGGTGCTACACCTTCTTCAGGCTCATTCAATTCAATTGCAAATTGAGTGAAGTTATGCATTTTGTCACTGTCTTGTCTATAAATATGATTTTAGGGTAAGGATGCTCATTTTTAGGCTTTAAAGTTTCATTTTTAGGCCTTAATTTTCATCTTTAAGCCTAAATTTGTTTTTTAAGCCTAAAGTTTCATTTTTAAGCCTAAAATTTCATTTTTAAGCCTACAATTTCATTTTTAAGTCAACAAAGAATTCCTAAGCCTAAAATTCTATTTTTAAGTCTAAACATTCTATTTTTAAGCCTAAATTTCCGTTTTTAAGTGTAAAAATGTAAGCCTTACGGATAAGGAAACCGTTGCCAAACCAAGCTCTCGGCTTCAATTTCTCCATCCGGCTCCAGTTTCTGAAGGAGTAGATTCATATTCCAAAAACCATCCATTTTATATTGTACGTGACCTTTGGCATCTGTTATTGTACCAGTAACCTTAGAAGGCAAGGTTTTACCAGAAGGCGAGTTTTCATGAAAGTTTAAGGCACATCTGGCTTCATTTGTACTCGTATGTATTGTTATTTGACCAGAACATTCGGTAGTCATCTTTCCTGACACAGGGTTGGTTATTATTCGAGAGAAGGGGAGCTGAAAATGGTTTTTAATGTTAGCCTTAGTCCAGAGCCCTAGTTCAGAGCTCTAGTTCACAGCTCTAGCTCAAAGCCCTAGCCCATTTCCTACCTTATCAAAGCTAAAAACTGTGCCACAATCCTTGAATTGAATGATTGTTTTTCCTTTTTGATGAACATGGAAAGCTCTTCCTTTGACGTCAGTTGAAAAGGTATAGGCTTGCTTTAGTATCCATGACTTCCCTTTCGAAAACATGGCACTTGTCGGTGGATGGTGCGATACCTACAACAATATTTTTTTTCAAATTTATCATGTTGGAAGCAAAAAATTTTTGAAAAAATATAAAATTTCAAAAAATTCAAAAAAAAATTCAAAAAATAAAAAAAAATAAAAAAAAATTTAAAAAAAATTTTTAAAATTTTAAAAAATTAAAAAAGTTTCAAAAATATATTTGACATTGACCCACCTGCTCAGAAATGCTATAAAACCCTCTATCATCTCTTCGGTCAAACTCAAAGGTCTCTCCTAATAAAGGATTGAAAGGCTTAGTGTTTCTAACGGCCAATGATGAATAATTTGAAACGACAAAAGCTGCTACATAGGCTACTCGTTTACACATATCTCTAGTTTCAGCCGCTGCCTTATCTAATAAGTATGAGTACTCCAGGTCTTCGGTTAGACGTTGTAGTGCTGACAATGGCTCGTTGAAGTCGACCTATAACAGTATTGATTGAGGTTTTTAAAGAAAGTTCTTGTCTTTTTTGACTTGTAAAGAAAGTTCTTGCCATTTTGTGTTTTGTAAAGAAAGTTCTTGCCATTTTTTGTTTTGTAAAGAAAGTTTCTGCCATTTTTTGTTTTGTAAAGAAAGTTCTTGCCATTTTTTGATTTGTAAACAAAGTTTTTTCTATCTTTCATATTTAAATGAAAAATAAAGTCTCTTACCGGCATTGACAGTTTAGAAACATCTTTCCCAATACATTTCTTCATCAAAATAAAGTAATTCATGGATGTTGTTGGTCGAAATGGCACTTTTGTTCGACGTTTTTTGGTCTGAAAAGCATTATCATTTATCAAAGACAATCCACATACAATAAGACAGTAAATACGGTTTTGTTATGGCATTACAGGTATTTATGGTCGTGGCAAAACATATGAAATAAAACAATAGTAAACACTTACAGTTTGAGGTAATTTAGGTAGCTGTTCTTCTATCAAAGCCCATTGACTAGTCGAGGTACTGCAGTGCATTTTGAGTCTAAAAATACTTCAATTACTTAAAGTCCTGTATAACGAACGTCTCGGTAAAGAAAATACTTGATAACAACCAAATTTAAAATTCTCGATCGAGTTGTTATACAGGAGTTGCAAGTTGTATACTTTCCTAATGAATAAACCCCTCAAAACCAATAAACAAGAACAAGTTGAAAGCTAAACTTGAAAAAAGCCAAGAACAATGCGAAACGTCTGCTTTTAATCGAAGATTCGCAGGCAAACACATCGAAACTTGGCCTTCAAGCACAGCATTGCCGAGCCTTTTTTCATACGCTCGCTTTTTGGTTTAGGCCGCGAGCAAGAAAATACACTATTTTGAGAGTATTTTATTCGAAAAAAGTCCTCATTTCGTAACGTCATGAAGAGGGGTTCGAACCGCACTCACTCCATGTTTTAGTCATAAACTCAGTAGGGGTCTCGGGTAAGATTAGTAGAGGCATCGGTTGAGAGAAGCTATATTGCCAAATTTGAAAGTCATAAAAAGAGAAGTTAGAGCGATGAAAACAATTTTGATATCAAAATAAAAGTTTTGTTTTTACAATTGACTTCCAACGTAAGAAATACAAAAGCTAGGATTGTACGGTAGGGTAACGTAGAGTACAAAAGAAGCTATGGTTGGGCAAAATGAAATAAATTTAAATTTTATGTTCTATATTAAAAAAAACCCTCCCCCAAAAAAAAATTTTGAAAAAAAAGTTGAACGTAGTCCCCCTGTGGACATTTCGAAAAAATGTTTCGTAAAAAATCGCCACAGGGAGCTAGTTATCAGTGCCGGGTTTTTCGACCCCCGTCCCCAGACCAAAAGTCCACGCCCGGCCCCTGTCTGTATAGAATCGCTAGAAGATTTTAAATTTGCTCGTTATGAAGACGTTTCGTAATACAGAGATTTTAAATGCACTGTGTAGTGTTAGCCGGGGATTTCAAAAGTTGTATGTTATACGAGGATTTCGTTATATAGGAGGTCCTTCTACAGAGGTTCCACCGTATAATAATACAAACATTCAAGGTATTACTTAACAATAATGTAAGACTTTAAAAGAGGTTATGACATAATAAATGTAGAGTCGAAAAATTGAAAAAAAACCCAAAAATATAAAGTACAGTAAAAGCATTGTGACTTTTTGGCCTTTTTATATTTAAAAGTTTGTTTTATGTTTTCAGATGACAAAGTAAATAAGCTACAATTACACAAAATTTCAAGTTATTATCTAAAGTTTTAAAAAAGTTATGCCAAAAAACTATTTAAAAGCTAAAAAGTGAAAAAAAATAAAGTACGGTAAGGATACTGTTTCTTTTTTGTCTTCTTAAATCTAACATTTCTTTTCATATTTTAAAATAACCAAATAAATAACCTACAACAACCCAAACTCTCAAGTTATTGGGTGCCGACATAAAGAACCCGCCATTTTTTGCAAGAAATTACAGCAAAAATATGGCGGGTTCTTTATGTCGGCACCTAATATTACCTAAACTCCAAACAAAGCTATGCCAACTTAAAAATCTAAAAGTTTATTTAAAAATTTCAATGTTACATTATTGTACAACAATTTTTCCTTCTGTGCGTAAATGATTTAGCCTAGCACAAGTGTGTTTTCCTTTAGCTACAATTGAGCCATCTTGTTTGTAGAAGACAACTTCAGCAAACACCATGTTTCGACCGCTTCGAAGGATCGTGGCTTCTATTGAGAGTTTGTCACCAACAAAGGCTGGAGATAAGTAACTGAAAAGTAACTTCTAAACATAAGTTTTGACTTGAAAATACAGTAAAACTCATGTATAATATAATATACGTTTCTACAATTTAGGCTTAAAAATCAAAATATAAGCCTAAAAAATACAAATTTAGGCTTATATCAATATCAGTTACATATAATCACATGTTAACCCACCTGCAAGAAAGCTCCACAGATACTAATGGAGTATCTCTGACAGTCTGTATCATTGCCATCGCTGTGCATAAATCGACCAAAGAAGCCGTTTGTCCTCCATATAACGTGCCTTTTCCATTTATTTCTTCTTCATCTACTGTCAATTCCATTTTGACTACTTTGTTCGTAGCTGATATTGGTATGAGTTTCTCCGCAAATCGACCATAATTTTTGTTGTTAGCCAAAGTTTGTAGGTTGGATTTGAGAAGGTCTAGCCAGTTGGTGGGGTCTAACATTGTCTGAAAATAGTATATTATGTGGTAAGGAGTAGAAGTGGATTATCATAGAGTTAGGATAGGTTTAACATAAGGTAAAAGTTAAGTAGGGTTAAAAAAGGTAAGAAGCAGGGTAAAGAAAGGTAGAGCAAAATAGTACAAAGTAGGATTAACAAGAGTTAGGTCACAATAGAGGAGAGTAGAAAGGGTACGGTAGGGTAGTATAAAGTAAGGGAGGGTAGAAAAAGGTAAGAGAAGATTAAAATAAAGTTAAAATAGGCTTATGGTATAATTAAAAAAGCCTTCTTAAGTGTTAGTAGAGGTTAGAGTAGGCTTAACATTGGATTAGCGTACACTTAACATAGGGATAGGGTAAAGTAGAGTAGAGTAGGATAAAAAGGTAGGATAAAGTAGGATAAGGTAGAGGAGGTTATAACAGGATAGGGTAGGCTTAACATAGAGTTATGGCAAAGTAGGGTATGATAAACAAGATAGTGTAAGACATGACAAAGTCGGAGTGGGTATAATAGTGGACGTAACATAAAGTTAAGGTAAACTTAATAGGGTTAGGATAAGCTTAACACACGGCTATCAAAACTCGGGCTAAGAACAATTAAAAATACAGTAAGCAAAGTCAAAAATCGCTAAAATAAACAGTAACTCATTTTTTTAATACTTATAACAAGCTTCTACAATCAAATCACTTTGTTAGCAAAAGAAACAACAAAATATTTTCAAAATCTTCCTAAATCTTTGCGACAAAGTCTGTCTAATATGCAGTAACAATATCTATGAACACTAAAAACAATTTTGTTCTTTATCCTTTTTCCTACAAAAGAAAACTACTTTAAAATAAGCCTAATTTAAACTTTGTTTTACGTTACAAAAGCCCAAAGAACCACGTCAAACATACGTTATGTTATAAGAATGTTGTTTGAGGTGAACCGACGGCAAAGGAGATATTATCTCAACTTCAAGGTCCTTCACATACCTCTCGATCTATAATTAGGTCTATTGTGCAGTTCAAAACTTGTAAAAATGTCTTTAAAATTGGGCTTGGTTTCCTTATAAGGGTGTGTTACTACCCCCTATATTATAACACTAGCTTTAATAAAAATATTGTACATATTTATTGACAAAGGATATTGTGCATGGTATACAAACAAAAGTAATGTCAAGTAAAGTTAATAATCAGAACAACTGCATCTGTGTTGTCGAGTGCAGCCAACTGGACAGAATTGATGCTGATGTTGGACGTCTTTGTGTTCATGTGAGCATCGATAATATTGTGTGGAGTTTAACTCGCAGTTTGGTTGGCCTAAAACATAAAATTTAAGTAAAAATTGAAAAAACTATAAAGTACAACTACTACGATCTAGTTAAGGCCGGGCAGAGCAGAGCAAAGACAAATCAAAGGCAGGGAAAAGGCAGGGCAAAGGCAGGGCAAAGGCAGGGCAAAGGCAGGGCAAAGGCAGGGCAAAGGCAGGGCAAAGGCAGGGCAAAGGCAAGGCAAAGGCAAGGCAAGGCAAAGGCAGGGCAAAGTCACGGCAAAGGCAGGGCAAAGGCAGGGCAAAGGCAGGGCAAAGGCAGGGCAAAGGCAGGGCAAAGGCAGGGCAAAGGCAGGGCAAAGGCAGGGCAAAGGCAGGGCAAAGGCAGGGCAAAGGCAGGGCAAAGGCAGGGCAAAGGCAGGGCAAAGGCAGGGCAAAGGCAGGGCAAAGGCAGGGCAAAGGCAGGGCAAAGGCAGGGCAAAGGCAGGGCAAAGGCAGGGCAAAGGCAGGGCAAAGGCAGGGCAAAGGCAGGGCAAAGGCAGGGCAAATGCGACAGATGCAACTTCGAAAGAGTTGGGGTCAGATCATGCTGGCCAGTTGAAAACCTGGTCTAACTAAAATATTAATGAAGGCCCGAAAGGCCCGAAGTAAAACACAACAAAAAGGTTCATAGCCTAAACTAACAATTGACCCCAGCCTAGCTTCTTGCCTAATTTTACAGTAAAAAAAACTTTTTTTAAGCTAACTATATAAAAAATACAAACATACTTACCGCAAGAACACTTCACACTTTGGTCATAACAATCCATAGTTGGTTTAAAAAATGGCTTTTTACTTTCCTTTTTAGTATAACAACAGTCCAATCACCAAGAGTATTTTAGAATATTAATATTATATAAAGCAGTAAGTCCGATGCACTTCTGAAGCTCAAACCGATAAAAACAATAAAAATTTGAATAACTTTGTCAAACCGGTAGATTAGGGTATCTTCTCACAAAAGTCAATCGAAAAACTAATAAAAATCGGGAATTCCCTTCTTTTATACCCCACCACGCCCTTATCAGTATGTACCACAAACGGAAAACCCCCGGGTTTCCTGGCAGAACCCGTGAGTTTATAAAATACTGATAACAAGATAACAATACGTAAAATGAGGTACTATCAATTAGAGGACGTGAGAAAAGAGAACAGATTGACAATAAATAAAAAAAATTGATAAAAAGAAAAAAGATAATTTTTAAAAAAAACTGATTACACGATGAGAAAACGAAGACTTTAAAATTTGAACCCTCACAATTGTCAAAATAATATGTTTTTTAAATTTAGTGATAAAAGAATACATTTTCTTCGATTTTTCTTTGATTAGACTTATCAAAAGGTTGAACGAACTAATTATTTAATGTTATTAGTGGGATAGCACAAGACATTTACAGTAAGATTTGTGTTCTTCAGTAGACCTTTATCCAACTTTATGAACTGGGATGGGGCAGTGCACTGCAGTGTAGGTAAGGTTAGGTAAGACAAATGGTTCAGTAGCGCAGTTAAGCTAAAGTACCCTACCTGACCTGCTCAGAATCAGCTCAAATATTTTATATGAATTCTTTGTACTACCAATAGTACCAATAAAAAACTTCAGCTTGCGTTTTTGAAATTTAAATTTTGAATTTGAATTATTTTAGTTTTCCGCCAATTTGGCAAATTTGGCATCGTGTTTCAAGATTTTTTTGACTTTTCAAGCAAGCTGCGCTTACAAATTTAAAAAAGTAGGTTAATTTAAAGGTATTCTACTAGTATATCAAAGAAAAATTTCTAAAAGTCAAAAATGGCAAATTTATAAGCTTGAAACACAATGCCAATTTGGCAGTAAATTCAAAATGTAATTTTTTAATCTCGATTTTCTAGAGATTGATTAAAGCGCAATTTAGTACTTTGCTGAAGGCCTTATATTTACATGATCTTCCATTATAAAAAGTTTAAAGTCAATCAGAGTGGGGCAGGTACTTTCCTTGTTAATTCTCTTTCATTGATTGGTGCTTTAGCTTATTGGTTTTACACCAGATGAATAAGAAGGGCTTTATAAAACACTTTATATCAATTTTTTGGCTGTTAATATCTCACTAGCTAAGACAATTTGACCGTTTTCTAAGTAACTTTTTATGTTTTGCCATATTATATAGGTTTCGTTTTAAAACTTGTAAGATGTTTTAGTGCATCTCGCTGGTAAAGGCACTCACTTGGTTTAGCTAATAGAATGTGTGTTTGTAAAGATCATACGGCAATTTTTAATAGTTTATCAGCTTGTCGCAACTATTTAATTTTTTGTTTCTGTCATCACATGGTTTTTCAAACTGTACTTTAAAAGTTATGACAAACAAGACAAGACGCACTTTTAAAAAATATTTTAAAACGTTCTGTACTTAAAAATAAACGTTAGAGCTGTGAAATGTCATTTTTTAGCTGAAATAGTAGTGTCAGGTTTACAATCTTACTATTGTTATCTAATTTTAAAATTAAAAGTTTTGCCAAAAGTCTTCGTTTCTTCTTTTAAAAATGCGGATTGTTTACTTCGAAATTCGGTGATAAGAGCACTATAATGCGCATTTCAAAAGTGACTCACAAGATAACAGAAGGCTATGTACACAAAGAAAGCATGGGTTTTTACGAATTATGCGTGATTTTTAAAATGTGTAAAGGTAGCATATAGAATGGCGAGAGTAGCACTAGGGTAGGGTAGAGTAGGGAAAAGTAGGCTAGGCTAGAGTAGGGTAAGGTAGGGTAAGGTAGGGTAAGGTAGTTACGGTAGAGTACAGCAGGATACAGTAGAGTACAGTACGGTACGGTGGAGTACGGTAGTGTAGTACAACGTAAAATATACCTCTCAAGTTGAGCAAAACTTTATTATTTATCAATAATACACACATTTAAAATTTTACAAAAATTACAACAGCAGGTTATCTAACGTTATACCATAACACGTAGAACTAGTTATCATAGGCCGCACATTCATACTTAGCAGTTTGTTCACTCGATCGTATTGAAATCTCCACAGTAAATCAATAACATTACTCTTACTAGAATCTTTTTTGTAAAGACAAGAACGTTTACCAACGTTAATATTAGTGTAGTTTCCTTCCAATTTTGATAAAACGTCAATTTCAATTATTTCAATGTAGGTATTGACTACCTGAGGTGTGTTCTTCTTTCGATAATTCCAAATTGCCATAGAACGAGGACCTGATCGTATTATAGGGTTGATACTGTGAACTGATGTGAGATTGTGAGGTAATTTTATTGATATTCCGTTGGACAGTAGAGTTTTGTAAACATTGTGATTTTGAACATATGAGTAGATTTGTTTGGTTATATTGACCTAGAAAATAATAAATTTAGAAAGTATGGATCGCGCAGCGTATTTTACAAAATGCCAGTTTTTTAGTGATCGAATTGTAGCATAGAAGCCAGTTTTTTGTAAAACCTATATCTCTTGTTGTGGGGGGACATACAGTGTTTTGCCTGGACCGTCCAGTCCGGACGAAACGATTTGAAAAAAAATTACGGACCGGACCTAAAACATAGCCGCCGGACGGTCCAGGCAAAACACTGGGACATATTATTCTTGGAGAGGGCAGGGGAGAATCTAGGAGAGGGGATCCATTCTTCTCCTAAAGAGGAAAGAGGAAGGGGGGGGAGGGGGAGGGGGGAGGAAGAACATTTTTTGTTTTCTTAGAGAGGGGGGAGGTCTATTCTTCTGAAAAAGCAGGTCCTATTATCCTGGGGAGCTGGTACAGGCTCTGGGCTAAGGCTCTGGACTAGGGCGCTGGGCTAGGGCTCTGGGCTAGGGCTCTGGGCTAGGTCTGATCTACGCTTTTAAAAGAACTGTGGAGAATAGGAGAGAGGAGGGGAGGTATCTCTTCTCTTTGACTATTGGAGATGGGGTGCGGACCTATAGTACCCTTTGTGTTTGTAAAATACGTGCTTCAGTTCCAAAAGTAATTTTTAAAATTCATACCTGAACTCCTTTCCAATCAACATCATCAAAATCACCAATATCTTTCTTGACTTGACATACACAAAAATTGTTCGGAATTTTGGCTTCATAACAACTTCGATTAGCAAGTATAGGCTTAAACAAGCTGGTACCAATACGTCTTACATTATCATTATTAGACTTTTGGTAGTTTTTAAAATTGCTAGCGATATCAGTTAATGTTTCATGTAAATCAAATGTTGATGTCAAGCGATTTTTGTTAGTTTTCAAGGCTTTGAAAAGCTTTAGGTGCTGTTTTTTTGAACTTTTTTTGGTACGTAGATTGAAGCTAATGGCATTCTTTCTTCGATGCGGCCATAGTAAGTTTCTCGGATGGGATGCTAAAACCATAGCATGATAAAAAATTTAGGGTAGGGCAAGCTGAGGCAAGATAGAGTAAGGAAAGACAAAATATATTGAGGTTGAGCAGGTTAAGATATTGTAAAGCAAGATAGGGTAAGATAGAACAAGACAGAGCAAAGGCAAAGGCAAAGGCAAAGGCAGGGCAAGGCAAGGCAACACAGTTAAAAACGTCTTACAATTCTCTGTCCATGGTCTCCAAGAATGACAAAAAATGTGTTTTCAAATACTTTTTTCGATTGTAATTCAGTTAGGGTTTTTAATAACAAATCGTCGTATAATTGCAAGTTGCTACTGTCATCATGGGTAAAATATGAAAAATGGTTGAACGAGAAATGGCAGTAGTTTTTGTAGGTTAACAAGTAGCTAAAATGAAGAATTTAAATAATTTTTTAAGTTTTTTTTTATTTTTATACTTTTGGCTTACTTTTTTTCCAATTTTTCAGCCAAGAATAGACTAGCAAATTTCTATTTGAACAACTCGATTTTGCATTTAGATTTTGGTAAATATATTCGTAGTAAGGTCTGAAATTGTCTTAGTTAAGGTTTTTTGGGCATAAACTTAATTTTTAGGTATAAACATAAATTTTAGGCTTAAAACTGAATTTTAATTTTTAAAGTAAATTTTAAGCTTAAAAAAAATAAATTTTAGGATTAAGACTGAATTTTAGGCTTAGAATCTGAATTTTAGGCTTAAAAATGAATTTTAGGCTTAAAAATGAATTTTAGGCTTAAAATACTTAATTATGCACCTTCATTCTAATTTTTTACTACTGTATATTTTTTGCCTTTATTATTATATTATACTATGTTCTTCCTCCGTTACCTGAAATAAAAGTCAGTTGGCGGTCTTCTGAATCCGTTGAAGGCTTGATAATGAAATAATCCCTTCCGAGTGTCGCCAATGTCATCATTGAAGAATGTGACGCATCCCAATTCTGTAAATTGTTTTTGAGTTCTATCGTCTAGAATCGACGAACATGTACTATAACATGTGACGATGTTCAAAACAATTTTCGTTTTAAAAGTTTTTTTGTTTAAGACTTGTTTTTTGGTTAGTTTCAAAATTGTTCTACTAAAGATTTTAAAATTTGGTGCTTAAGGTTTTACAACTTTTTAAAAAAAATAATTTAAGATAACGTAGAGCTATTCTAAAGTAAGACGAAGGAAGCGCTGGGGCAAAGAAAGAGTAAGGCCGTGATAATGGTAGAGTCAGGGCTAAGCTAGAGCTAGAGAAGAGCTAGAATAGGGCTAAGAGTAAAGCTACAATAAGGTTTTGATAGGGCTAGAACTAAATCTTTGGGTTAGAACTATGGGCTAGGGCAAGACAAGAGTAAGGTTAAGGTAGCGTTAGGGCTTTGGACTAACTCTCAGTGCTGCTGAGGTTTTGGGCTAAGGGTCTGGGCTAAAGCTCTGCGCTAGGGCCCTAAGCTAGGGCTCTAGGCGAGGGCTCTGGGCTCGGGCTTGGGCTTTGAGCTAGGGCTAAAGCTTTGAACTAGGGTTCTAGGCCAGGGCTCTGGGCTAGGACTTTGGGCTGGGGTTTTGGGCCGGGAATTGGAATATGGCTTTGGGCTAAAGCTCTGTGTCGGGCTCTGGGCTAGACTTACTTTTCATTTTGTCAAAAACAAAAGGTACCAATTTCTGAAAATTGCCTAAACTTTCATTTTGGTCCAAAAAGTCTTGTCGTTTTACATATTTTGTTAAATTTCTGACACTTGGTTCAAACACTTTTCCACTTAACATAGCCAAGGTGTTTATAGCTGAATTGTCACCTATTTTCGTATATCCTTGTAAAATTTGAAAGTCATTTTCTAACATAAAATTTAAGGTTTTTAGACAATGTCTGTAGAAGCTGCTACGTGAAGTTGAATCAATTTGTAAAATTGCTACATTATATCGTCCTGGCTGGGGTTTTACTTTAAGCTTTGGATTGTATGGAGCTTGGTAGTAGGCGTTGTGGTAGGCTGAAAGAGGGTTTATTGAACGATAGTTTATAGAATAGTGTTATGGTTAGATTATGTTGATAGTTAAGGGCAATGCGGGGGTAAAGTATTGAATACTACAAATTAGAAGAGATGAGGTGAATTAACTTGTAAACAATTTGGTAAAAAATAACATACATATATAGTTAATAGTATGAGGCAAATTATAGTGCAGATAATAGAGAAAGGCATAGAATACAGTACGTTAGGGCTCTAAATAATAAGGCAGCGGTAAAAAGAAGGTAAGATAAAGCTTGGGTACAGAACGTAGGATAAGGTAAGGAAGAGTAGGTAGAGATGATAGAGTGAGGTAGAGTAGGGTAGGGTAGGGTAGGGTAGGGTAGGGTAGGGTAGGGTAGGGTAGGGTAGGGTAGGGTAGGGTAGTATTAAAAAAGTAAAGCTTAACTAAGTCATGCGTCTTCTTCTCCCAACACTTGATGACAAAGCAAGTAACATCAACTCTAAACTGTTGTTCTATAGGTAACCTTTTCCACAATCCTTTAAACCTCCAAACATCAATAGTTGGCCATAACGTTCCAATAAGTTCTCGGTAATAGCAAACTATCGTACTTTTGGATACTGTAATTGTAGACCCAAACGGTTCACTGATATAAAATGATCCATCATTAAGCTCAGTAACAATATTATTGTAGGCAGTTTTTGGACATTGAAAACTATGTCTGTGATGATGAAAGTCGTCTATTGTAATGTGTTCTGGCTGTAGCATAGGAAAGTTACATGTGTTTTCTAAGATATAAGAGCTGTTGTAGTCAATAAGGTCTGAGATGGATAGTTTGTTAGGTTGTTTAATATAGTAATCAGTTACAAGATCAATTTGGTCCACTTGGTAGTCGAAAAAATCGTTCATACGATAAACTACTGCTATTATGTTCAGTAAAATCAAAAATAGTATTAAAAACAAACAAGAATTTACGTGGGATATCATTATTATTTTTGTAATAGAGCTTGAGGCTAGCGCTAGTTCTAGCGTTAGTCAGGGTGGTGAAAATGATAATATAGTTAAGACTTAATAAGAAACAATGTCATTTGTATTTATAATAAATAGAATAAGGAAACTCTTTTCAAATAACATAGGTTTTTTTAATTTGATTATTGGAATAAAAGTAACTACACAAAATAGATCAAAATCAATGTTTTACAAGGGTATACCGTCGATACCCTTGGGAAATGGCCTAGTTCGTATGCGCTACCGTTTGAAAACACGCAATCAAGGCTAATGTGAAAAGAAGCTAAGGTAAAGCTTTCGTATAGTTAAAGACAAAGCTATAAGTTAAATAAAGGTTACGTTAAAACAAGTCGAAGCTTGGTTGAGGCTATCGGGAATAAGACTAGGGCTAAGCTAAGGTTAGGTGGGCTATTCCAGAGCCAGGGGAGTGTTAAATAGGCTGTTTGAAGACTATGGCTTAGCTGAGGCAGGGTTAGGTAAGCTATTAAAAGGCTAGAGTAGGGCTAAGGCTAAAAGCTAAATTAAGATTGGGTAGGCTATTTTAAAGCTGACGTAAGGCTAGGGCTAAACTGGAGTAAGGTTGAGTAAGCCAATGGAAGGCTAGAGTAGGGGCAAGGCTTGTGCAAGTCTAGAGCAAGGCTAGTTTAATATTTACAGTCTAGACTGCTTGAATCAAATAAGAAACTCGTATTTTAAAACCTTTACTGACCATAACTTACAACATGTGAAAAAGTATAAATAAGTTAAGAAAAAAGAATTTATATCCGATAAACATTAGGAACATTGGAAAAGCGTGTTTTGTCGACGTCTGGTTTCATTGCACGTCACGAAAAGTTTGAGTCGGTGTTTCGAGTTGTGGTTGGTTGTGTTACTTTCGTCCAAATCTGTAAAAATTGTTTTTTAGGCTTAAAAATGAAGGTTAGGCTAAAAATGGAAATTTAGACCTAAGGATGTATTTTAAGCTTAAAACTAAAAGTTAAAGCTTAAAAATGAATTTTTAGGTTTAAAAATGAATTTTGGGCTAAGAAATGATTTTTAGACCTAAAAAGTAGTTTAGCTTCAAATTTTGGTTACTGTATTGATTTTTAGTCCACTTGAACTTTTTTTTTGACAAACACTATAAATTTCAAGCAATATGAGTTGACCCGGAAGATAAATATCAAAGAGACATAAAGAATTGAAACAGATAAACAGATAAACTTCCGAAAGAGGGGCTTCTTCCGAGTTGAAAACAAAGAAGTTAATAAATATTTTAGTATAACCTTTCTGGTCTTTGAAACCTTTTTTTAGTACAGTGAAACTCCTATATAACAAATTTTCATAAAATTTTAAATTTATTTATAAAATTTTGTTACACTGCTTTACATACTAGAATAATATATTTTTTTCAATTTTGAAACTTTTCTACGCAAACTAGGAAAAAGCCGGTTATTGGCCTGGGAATGTAATCCAATATGGATTTGTTTTGAATGGAAACAATAAACCTTTTCGCCGGAACAAACTTTTGCCACGTTCACAACGGGTCTCACACCTCCTTTAATCGACCAAATTGTTTTTGCTGAATACTTTATACGTAACTGGAATAGTCGAAACTACAGGTTGGCATTCAAAAAAGTGTATCTTTTTTATCAAAAATAGTATATTCTTGCCTAAAAAAATGGTTAATAATATTGAAAAAACTAGGATAATGTAGGGTAGAGTAATGTAAGGAAGGGTAGAGTAAGGTAGAGTAATATAGGAAAGAGCAAGGAAAAGTAAGGAAACGGAGAGTGGGTAAGGTAGAGTAATATAGGGAAGCATAAGGCAAAGTAAGGCAAAGTAAAGTATGAATAAGGTAGGGTAGGATAGGGTAGGCTTGATAAGCTTGACGAAAAAGTGTAGGATAGCATAGGCCGTTGAAAAAAGTGGATCACGGTAAAAACACCGTAACTTTTAACATTTTGAGATTTTGGAAACTATCTCCACCTATTAGTTAGTAAACATAATGGACAATAATTAGCCACAGCTTAAACATTGTAACTAAGTTTTTTTTCAAAAGTTATGGCTAAAAGACTAATTTACTACACCTACTTGTTGCCTCTTGCCTTTCCTTCAAATTTCCATACAATTTTTTACCGTAGTTTTTTTTCAAATTTCGAAAAAATACCTAAAATTAGAAAACAGCTCATCTCTTTTTATCAAAATATCAAAAAATAATTAAAAATTAATGAATAATTTAACAAAAATTTTGTCCAAATCCCACGCGTATTTTTGCTACGCAACTGGGAGGAATTTCAATAATTTATACGAAAAAGACTTGAAAATTGTGCGAGTTTAAAGGGCAACCGGATAATGATGTAGTTGTGGGAGTATAGAAAACGTATCGTACAAAAGAATTTTAATTTTGAAAAAAATTTTGTTTTTAAAAATTTGTTGAAAAAATCAACAGGGAGGACCCTGTTAAACTTTTTCAAAATTTTTAAAAATTTTAAAAATTGAAAATTAAAAAAATATGCTTTTTCTAATCATACTTAAGCTCAAATTAATAAAATTTCAATAAAAAACCTTACCGTAGCCTTTCAGCGCCATTCAGCGTATCAATTAGTTCGGGCAAGTTTTGAGCCATCCTTTTGTACACGGGCCTGAAACTGCTGTATATTTGATTAGTAAGTTCAGTGTAGTATAAAAAATGATTTTTTATAGAATGACAATACTAATATTAGTTAATTTGTCGTTTTTTTAAAACTAAAATTTAAAAAAATTTTGTTTTTGAAAAAATGAAAAAATTGAACTTGGTCTCCCTGTTGATTTATTTTTTAAATTGTTAAAAATATTGATATGACAAGTGTTAAAAAATGTATTTCTATAGAATGACAGTAATAATAGCGATCATTTTGTCATTTTTTAAATTTAACAAATAAAAAAAAAAATTTTGAAAAATGAAAAAATTGAACTTGTTCCCCCCTGTTGACGTTTTTCCAAACATTTTTAAATTTAAAAAAAAAATGAATAGTGAGAATGTCATAAAAACACGTGCATTCCATAGCTTGTTTTGCTGTTTTACATAATGACATAAAGCTATTAAAATTATTATTATGTTCACCATATAATCCCGAAAGAAATTTTCTCACATTCTTTAGAAGATTTGCGAAAGAATTTGCATTTTCCTTTTGAATTCGAGGTAATAACAGGATAATCTATTTTCGGTTAAACATAACGCAAAATAAGTGATAGAAATGTTAATCTGGAAGGGTTAACTATGTCATATTTAACTGTACTGTCATTTATCTTTAACTCGATATTGAGTCGAGTAAAGTGATGTTAAAAATCAATATTAACACTTTATCAAATTTTTTTAAAATAAAAATAAGCAAGTAATATCGTTAGTAAACTAAATATAAAAATCAAATTTTTTAGACAACGGAATGTAAAAATCAATATTGTTAATCAACGAAATGTCAAAAAAATCAATATTGACATTTCGTCATAAATTTTCGTGGCTATACGTCAGTTGTAAGGTACACTATTTGTCAAAATACATTAAAACTTACCGTTGCGGAACATAGTATGTAGGTGTATCCTCATCTACAGCGTATCTTAGCGAGCGTTTGCCGTACCGTAGTCGGCCGGCGCCTTTCATTGCGGACATAAATTCATTTAGGTTTGATTTCTTTTCCAAACTAAAAATCAAAATTATTTTAGTTTATAGTACTATTATTGCACTTTTAGTACCACAAGGGCATTTCTAACTCAAAAGGCAAGACAAGGCAAGGCAAGGCAAGGCAAGGCAAGGCAAGGCAAGGCAAGGCAGAACGTTAAACTTACTCCCTATCCTCTTCAAGTAGTGGAAGCGCAGTGGTGGTAATCATGATGACACAAGCAAAAATGATACATAAGACTTGTGTGTTGGTGATTGTTACACGCATCGTCGCTAATCTATGCCCGAAATGCAGTGACAGTGAAAACCCTAAAAAACATTATAATTTGAAAAAAAAATTTTTTTTTTAAAAAAAGTTAAAAATTACAAAATTATAAAAACCCGGTAATAAAATTTGATAACAATTCTCCAAATTGACAATAAGTTACACTGTGTGTAATTAACATCTTAGAACGTTGGCTTCAATATGAAGCCATCCTGAAACACGCAATTTTTTGAGTCACGAAATGTTTTTCTACGTTACATTCAAAAGGTTGAAATCTTCAAAAAAAGCCTTTATAAAAAGCTGATAAAATTTGTAGACAAATTAATATCACTAACACCTAATTAGTAATATAAAATTATCTTAAACCTAAATTGACTTTTTAAGCCTAAACGGTCTATTTAAGCCTAAGATTCCATCTTTATGTTTAAAATATAATTATAAGCCTAAAACTCATTTTTAAGCTTAAACGTTCATTTTTAAACTTAAAATTTAATATTTAGGCTTAAAGTTTCATTTGTAACCATAAAATCCATTTTTAAGCCTTAAATAATATTTTTAAACCTAAAATTACATTTTTAAGCCTAAAATTCATTTTTAAGCCTAAGATCCGTTTTTAGGTTTAAAATTCATTTTTAAGCCTAAAATGTCATTTTTAAACAAAACCTGTATTTTTAGTTATAAAATGAACCTTTTCAAGCCTAAAATTTACGTATTCTTCATGTTATGTACAATACTCCTTCCTAGAACCCCACGCTTAAAAACCTATTGTCAACACACAACAAGATTACTAAGAACATCTCATAGTCCAACCCACGTAGACAGCCAAGCTAAATCATGCATAAGCCGTAGGTTTTGTATGGTTTGGACAATTGAGCTTAAATAACCTGCGCAAAAACAAAGTTTTCATAGACAATGCCAAACTCGGTTAACGACGCAAACCCAATTGTCATGATGATATGTGTTTTGTGTAAACAAATGATTTAAAAATGTCACTTTGCTTGGTTTTGTACAAAACGTTTAAGAAAGTACGTCATGGGTTTTAAATTGATAGGTTTGGAGAGAATGTAAATTTTTTACTTCCGGTAGGGGACAAATTGAAAAAATCTCATAATTAATTTTTTTGGAAAAATATCAAAATAAAATTAAAAAAATTACAAAAAATAGAACTGATGTAGAGCTAGGCTAAAATAAGATTAAGTAAGTTAGGACAAGGCAAGAGTAAGGCTAAGGTACGGTTAGGTCTACGGCTAGAATATGGCTAGGGCAGAGCTAGAGTACGGCCAGGGTAGGATAAAGAAAAGCTAAGGTAAAGTCAAGATGTGTCTTTCCTCCCATCGCTTCTCCGTCGACATACTTCTAAAAATGACTTTTCAAACAAGCTCAAAAGGCCTGGAATACAAATCCTACACCTACGTGACATGCTGCATAGTTGTTAACTACAAAAAAAGTTTACAATTAACTTGTAGACCGAAGAAAAACAAATAACAAAAAGGTACAGTATGTTATTATTTGCAAAACTGCCGATTTTAACAATTATAAATACTGTGATAACATAGAAAGCGTCTGACCTTTTTGAACAAAATACCATTTTAAGCTTACTTGTGAGACTTAAAAACATAAATTACAAAAAAAGTTAGAGAGAAAGTTAGTCTTAACCTACTTTCATATTATGGTACCATTCTTTGGCTAACATAAGTAAAAAAAAGTAGAATTTGTACTATAAATTTGTAATTTAACTCAAAATGTCATCCCTCCCTCTTTACCATCTCTTCGCTCTCCTAAAGTTTGATCATATGTCCTGCTTTGCCTTGGCTCTAAGTTATAAAACAATATAGTACTGTATAGTACGTGCTAATAAAATAATATAAAACGCACTGTAAAGTATCAAACAAACAATAACACATAAGAAAACGCACAATTTAACATGTACTACATAGTAAATTAAACACGTACTATATAGTACAAGACAAAATATACACAAAACAACAGTATAAAAAATATTTAGCTTATAAAGGTACATTATCATCTTAACCACCTCAGCGTAAAAAGACACTTTACTATGTACAACCTGATATTCCTACCAGCAGTCACAGCCCTACCACACCGTCATCCCACTCAAAATATTGTCATCAAATCTTGAGCCATAGTCATTTAATAACGTTTGTAATTGAACAAAAAATAAATTAGAATGGGCACGCCCCCTTTCGTCGTCCTCTATTTGAGTGCATATGAGCACGAAATTCCGATGGGCGGAGTACGTTCTCAATATGAAAAAACAACCGCCGTTACGGTATGTTTTTTTCGAAAAAATTAGGAAATGATTAATGCACAAACTGAAACCCTGTCTTACAGCATTGTAGATTAAAAACCAACTTTTTTAGGTGATATAGCAAAAAATATTGTGAAAAACTAGTGAACCATAGTGTTTTGGCTATGTATTGTTTAGAAAATAAGGAAAAACTTGAAAAATTTGCGTGATTTTAGATTGTTCAATTTTGGCAACAAACGCAAAAACAAAAACCTTTAAAATAATCAAAAATAACAATGTTAAACCATAGTTATTCTACCGTAGCTCTAGCCTAAAACAGTCTTATCCCAGCTCTAGGCTAAACTTAGTGTACTAAACCGAAGATTTCATTAACTCAAACGAAAGCTTAAACCCTAACATTAAAGCCAGAGCTAGAGTCTGAGATAAGCCCTGAGCCTGTGTTAAAGTCTAAGCCTAAGCTTGAGCCTAACTCTGAGCCTGAGCTTGCGATTGTGTCTCAAACTGCGTCTGATTCTAGGCCTGAGCCTCAAGCTGAGCCTGAGCCTGAACGTGAGCCTGAGCCTGAACGTGAGCCTGAGCCTAAGACTGAGCTTAAGCCGGAGCCCAAGCCTGGGCCTGGGCCTGGGCCTGGGCCTGGGCCTGGGCCTGAGCCTGAGCTTCAGACTGAGTCTGACTCTAGGCCTGTGTCAAAGCCTGAGCTTGAGCCTAAGCCTGAGCCTAAACATCAGACTAAGCCTGAACTTTAGCCTAAACCGTAACGTTAGCTTTAGCCTTAGGTTTGGTCTTTGCTTTAGCAATAGCCTAATTCTTTTTATCTAACCTTTTCTGTAGCATAGCTTCAAGCCTTTGCTTTTAACCTTGGCTTTAGCTTTATCTAGAGCCTTAGTCTTTCTTTTAGGCCTAGTATAGTCCCTGATTTAATCTATCGTTTAACTGGGGACAAATTCAGCCTTAGCATTAAAGTATTATTGTTATCCTGACAATTGTTACGTTCAGCTTTAGCCTTACCTTTAGCTCACTAGCTTTAGCCGAAACTCAACTTGAACCTATCTTGTACATTGTGACATAATGTGTCATATAGTACTTCACACGTATACTTTATAAACTAATTGTGCTCACAAAACAAATTATCAAAAAGAAACACTCGTAGCTGCCAAGGAAGCTCCTGAAGCACGTTTAGCGACTAATATTGCATTAGACATCATATTCCCCGAATTTTTTTAATTGTAAGGCATCTTGGTCGTTAAAACTTCCTCATTCACGGATATGTGGGATGTTTGGTGCGTTTTGTACGGTTATTTTGAAATCAATTGTAAATTTAGAAATTGTGTTACAGAAGGTATAAGAAAATATGTTTAAGTACGTCAAGTAAAGTTCAACTTTGAAGTAAATAAACAAAATTTAAAAAAAGCATGTAATTTTAAAAAATGTTGTTAGTAGTGCTTAAAACTAATTAATCACAAAATATTTTAGGCTTAACAAACTAACAACGTTAAAAAGTAAATTTTAGGCTTAATAATGATCAAAAATAAATTTTAGGTTTAATATTAAAAATCCAAGTTTAAAAATAAATAATAGGCTTATAAATTAGTTTTAAGCGTAAAAATGAAGTTTTAGGTATAAAAATGAAATTTTAGCTTAACAATAAAACCTTAACTTTAAAAATAAAATTTTAGGCTTCAATGTGGAAGTTTAGGCTTTTAGGCTTAAAAATAAAGTCTTAGGTCAAAAAATAAAATTTTAGGCGTAAAAATGGATTTTACATTTAAAAATCATATTCTAGGCTTAAAAATGAAATTTCAAACTCAACCAAAGAAGTCAGTATAGGGAGTGAGAGTGAACGGCAGGTTTACGTTCTCTTACGCCGCTCGCCCCACTTATTTTTCAAAAATGGCTACACAGATAAATGCAAACTTAAAAAAAAATTATTTTGACTAGCACCCTCCCCACAACCCCTCCCCACTATTTTTCAGAAAAAAAACTGTAGCGACATCTCTGAACCCAACAATAAACGTATTTTCTGGCCAACACCCAAGTTCAAAAATCATTTCTGATCCGAAACCCAAGTTTTTCCTCCGAAATGCATAGTAAAACTCTCTGTCATCCTATCCCACACCCACATCTTCTGTAATAGTTATTTGTTTTGCATTAATATTTAAAATTTTCGTCGCCTAATTCGCCTTGTTTTTGCTGTGTTAGGGCATCAAAATTGTGCGTCTACAATTAAATTCGTACACATTGGCGACGATATAGGATGAATTATTTAGTTTTTAATTTTTCGGATAATTTTGCGGAGCTAATTTAATGGAAAAAGTTTCATAAAGTAGGCTAATTTTGAGCTGATATTACATAAAATATTATTATAGCTTTGTACAAGGAGGTCATTACTCTAAAGTTTGTCGAATACAGAGTATTTTGAACGCGAAATTTAATTTTAACTCCTGACGTTTATTTTTAAACCTAAACTTACATTTCAAACATAAAATTTCATTTTTAAACCTAAAATTTTATTTTTAAGCCTTAAATTTTGTTTGTGAGTTTAAAACTTTATTTTTAAGCCTAAAATTTTATTTTTAAGCCTGAAATTTTATTTTTAAGCCTAAATTTTCATTTTAATCCTAACATTTAATTTTTTAAGCCTAAATTTTAGTTTTAACTCTCAAATTCATTTTTAAGCCTAAAATTTTATTTTTAAGCTTGCTTTTTCATTTTTAAGCCTAACGTTTCACATTTAAGCTTAAACTTTTATTTTTAAGCCTAAATTTTCATTTTAAACCAAAAATTTTATTTTTTAATTAAAAAAATGAAATTAAAAATTAGTACACCTGATTTTTTTTAATCATCACTAGTAAAGTTATCGAAAAATATGCAAAATGTTCGTAATAAAAGTAAAGTTGAAGCCTTACATGCATAATAAACGAATATTATGTGATTTCCGAAATTTGTAACATCAAAGCCATGCAATTTCGTAAAGAATCTGTACATAGCCATAGTAATTCTATCGTATACGTTTTTTACTGCCGAGTTGAAAATTTATAAACTTTTGCTTGGTAGTGATTCTAAAGCCTAAAAATAAAATTATAGGCTTAAATTGAACTTTGGAGCTCATAAGTGAATTTTACTTAAATTAAATTTCAAGCTTAAAAATAAAAGTTTAGGCTTGGAAACAAAATTTTATGCTTAAAAATGAAAATTTAAACCTACAGTGCAATTTTAAGCTTTAAAAAAAATAAAATTGTGGGTTTTAAAAGGAAAATAGAAATGTAAATATGCCCGGCCGGTCCCAACTTTTAGCTCGAGTCCACAGGCCGGGCCTTGGTTTGGACCCCCGCTTTTGGACCCACATGTGCTGGCACACCCCCTTTCAAAGTTGCTTAAGCCCATTTTAGTAGACCTCTTTTCAGGCCTGGGCTAAAATTTTTACTTTTATAAATTTTACCCATTTTTGCTACGCATACAAACCCCAAAAGTTTTATAGTGGAATAGTCCCGTTAAACTGTTGTTTTTTAAGTGCAGTAATCGTAAAGTGGGATAAAGTAAAACTGAAATTACGTTTTAATCGACTAAAATAAAAATTGAAACTGCAAAACCTCACATTTATCAAAAAAACGATGATACTGATGAAACACAGTGCAAATCATGTGTAGCAAACTCCTTTATGTCAAAAATTTTATCATATAACGATCAAATCTTAATAGACCACACATAGAAGTGCCACTATGTTTACTATGACCCTACGCTAGTCGTACCCTAAACGGGGATTTAAAGAGTCACAAAATATCCTTACAAAAAGTAGGCGTTTTGTGTCAAAAATCAGGCAATTTCGATATTTATTTTTTAAACCTGAGCAAGTCTTCCCAAATTGGAAAATTAATTGATAAATCTAAATTAAGGCCTGCCCACTCACAGTTTTTCGAAAAATAATTTTAATTGAAATTACCTGATTTTCGGGGCTTTTTGCGACGAAACATGAACGACTTGCGGGCACGTTCGGTGGTTCTTTAAAGCTCCGGCTAGTGTTAGACTAGAGTAGGAGTGAAGTAAATACTAGACATGAGAAACGGGTCTGAAAAACGGTCCCGGCACACGTTTTTTTTACGTAGAAACGGGCCGGGCCTTGACTACAAGCCCGACCCAATCTAAATTTTGCTCAAGGCCGGCCCGTTTCTCATGGGTAGGGTTAAAGTAGATACAGTGTAAATCCGGTATAACAAGCATAAAAAACCCGTGCAAACATTATATTTGTTACCTAAAAACCAAAAAAAAATGAAAAAATGTTACCTAAAAATAATTTTCTTCCGTCTACAATCTTACATATTACAACAAGAATCTGTCATTTTTGTACAAAAACACACGTAATTTATAATACAAAAAGACAATTGTCTAAATTTAAAACGGAAAAAGTGTAAATAACTAAATTTTATATGAATCAATTATTGGTGGATTAATTAAAAAGTACATAATAAATAAACAGTGACCTAATTAACGAAACACGGAATTGATATGATGATTTTGAGGAACATCGAAGAGAAGTTGCAATATGGAATGACAGTGGTAGAGAAAATAAAAAAAATCTTGGAAGTTGGAATTATTGGTCTCAACAAGTCTATTAAGCCTAAGATTTTTAAGCCTAACCAAAAGAAAACTTAAACTTACAAGGAAAGTACCCTACCTGCCCCGCTCAGAATCAGCTCAAAATTTTTATATGAATCCTTTGTACCACCAATAGTATCCATAAAAAATTTTAGCTCGCGTTCTTCAGTTTTAAATTTAAATTATTTGGGTTTCCCGCTAAATTGGCAAATTTGGCATTGTGTTTCAAGCGCTTTTTTCGGCTTTCCAGACAAGATACGCTTATAAATTTAAAAATGCAGGTTCATTTAAAGGTGTTCTACTAGTATATCAAAGAAAAATTATTAAAAGTCAAAAAATGACAAAGTTACAAGCTTGAAACACAATGCCATGTTGGCGGGAAAATATGCATTGCAACTTCATTGCAACTTCTGAATACCAATCCTTCTCCCCCATATTCTTTTATTAATATTCAATTTAAAAACATTTGGATTTCTATGTATGATGCTATGTGACAAGCACAAGTTTCAATAAAAGTGTAAAAAACATTAGTCATAAAACTAGCTTAAAAAAGGTTAAGCATAAAAATAAAATCCAAGCTTAAAAATGAATTTTAGGCTTAGAAAATAATTTTAGGCTTAAAAATGAATTTTAAACTTAAAAATGAAATGTTTGGCATAAAAACGGAATTTTAGGCTTAAAATGAATTTTTTAGACTTTGAAATGAATTTTAGTTTTAAAAATGAATTTTTAGGCTTAAAAATGCACATTAGGCTTAAAAATGAATTTTAGGCTTCGGAATGAAATATTAGGCTTAAAAATGAATTTTAAGCTTAAAAAAAAATTTTTAAGCTTGAAAATGAATTTTTAGGCTTAAAAATGAATTTCTAAGCTTAAAATGAATTTTAGGCTTAAAAACCAAAATTTAGACTGAAAACTTTAACCCTCGGCCGTTAAAAACGTTTTTTTAGATAAATGTTATGCAAATTCGCAACAAGTAAAGTCATACGTTTTCAGCAGATTAACATCATTTGGCAGCTTATATCTTTAATATGTCATGTTTTTGTTGCATTTAAAGAAGCGTGAGGTATATTAACTACTTTACAACAGTAATCCGCATCCTTTGAAACGTTAAAACAAAAACAATGTGATGAAGCAAGGAATATACGGTACTGAAGTAAAGTAAAGAAGACACCGAAAACGGAAAAAGAAGTAACAAAAAAAAACTCCAAGAAGTACCAAACCTGACGTAAAAAGTACCAAAATTGTAAAAAAATACTTAAGCTGCCCCCTCTCAACGTAACTAAAACAAAACTTTGTTACCTAAAAAGTAGGACAAAAACGTTTTTTACTTGAAAGTCCCCCTTCAATAACTTATGATAATGCTTCTTTTTTAACAATAAGATTTTCGAATAATTCCGCGCACACATTGTTTAATGGACTGGAAGGTTGGTCAAAAGAAGAAGAGATAACAATGTAAACTTATAAAAAATATCTTTTTTACGATTATAGAGTTACTCATACGAAAAAAACATACAAAATAACTTTAAAAGATTAAAAAAACGTTATGAACCATTGGTGCATTTTTTAAAATGGTAAAAATAAAAAAAGAAAAAAAGTAAGTTAAGATAAGATATAGTAGAGCAGCTTAGGGTAGAGTCTAGAAAGGTAGGGTAAGAATGTAGTAGAGCAAAGTAGAGAAGGGTAGAGAACATTAAGGTAGAGTAGAGTACAGTAGAGGAAAGTAGGGTCGGATAATGTAAGGTCAGGTAGGGTAAAGTAGGGCATGTTAAGATAAAGTACATAGTAGAAAAGGGTAAGAAATGATAGAGTAAAGTAAGCTAAAATAAGGAAAGGTAAGACAGAATAAAGTGAATAAGATAAATTAAATCATTAATTTTTTTTCAAAAACTAAAAAAAAGTAGAAAATTATTTTTTAACTCCCCCCCCTCTAACCCTTCCCAACCTTAGTTTAAAATCACCCGCCTTGCCATAACATCCAATGAGACAATATAAAAACTAAAAATAAAACTTGGAAAAAATCTGTATTTATCCAAGTTGGAACGCAACAAACCGTTACGAACTTCTTGGTCAATTTCTGTTTTTAGAAACTTTGTTTACAAAAAACAAGATAATTAAATTCGAGTTAGATCCTTCAGATTTGAACCACACATGGACTTGTTGAACTTAATGAAGAAGGTTTAACAAATAAAAAAAATTTTGAAAATCTTAAAATTTTAAAATGGCATTAAAAAAGTCTTGTCGCTTTTTGAACTGCAACGCAACACAAATTAAGGGCAAAACTTTTGTAGGGTACAGTAGGGTAGGGTTGGGTAGGGTTGGGTAGGGTTGGGTAGGGTAGGGTAGGGTAGGGTTGGGTAGAATATGGTAGACAAAGAAACGGTACGAAACAATAAGGAAGGATAGTGAAAGATAGGTTAGTAACACCCTAATATGATATATTATCTCTACCATAAGTATCATTATGTTACATGCACTTTATACAGCATCTTCCTTCAAGTATATGTATAGTAACTTCATTACCATACAAATTTGAAACACCATTTTGAAAAAAGTCAATTTGACGTTTGCATCTGTCAATATGATATGACACTTTTCATAAACGTCTCTGGGTTTTAAATTGAATAATTCTAGGTAAAGCACTTTGCACAAATTTACTGGAAAACGCTCTCAATGTACACCATAACCTCACTAGACCAAAATTATATCAAATTTGTGAAAAAAGGTACCAAACTGTAAAAAAAGGTACCAAGAACAGAGAGAAAAAGCATCGAAACTAAAAAATGTACAGTAAAAAGCTAAAAAAAAATTCTTGTCGTTTTTAACCTCGCAAAACCATGCAAATTGACTACAAGACTTTTTTAACCCTTAATAAAATGCATTTTTAATACTTTTTTCAAAACTACTTGATGAATCATATTTAAAACATGCAAGTTACATCACAAACTTCCTTTTACTATGTTAACCTTTTGAAATATTGACCTTTCAATCTGTCTGCTGACCAAATAACCTGCTATTTGGTCTATACCTTTGTATTTTATGTTTTTCTTGTGATTTTTTTATAAGTGATCACTAATTTTTATAAAAAATGTATTTTTAATTGTTTTTCTATAATTTTATTGTAAAATCAGATAAAACAACATTCATTTTTGTGGGTAAACAATGATTAATACTTTCAAATGAGTAATTCTCTTGACTTTTTTAAGATTTTTAAACTTTTTCCTCAAAAATCTTACCTTTATCTTGTAGCAAAACAATTTTTTATGTATTCATGCATGAGAACACCTGTTTTCTATCCAAATTTCCTTCTATTTCATGTCCAATACCTTGTTTTCCATAAACCTTCAAAAAACGTCTTTTTCTCTTGAAAAAAGCCACACTAGACGCGAAATTCGCGAAACTTGACGCAAAATAATTATTTTTGGAAAATAAAATATTTTCTCAAATTTCCAAATTGATTTTGTAAATAGTATGAGGTACGAATGGACTGACGATAAAGACGACGTGCACATACTATCCGATCAAGAAATAAGTTTGGAAGCGGCTACCTATTGGAATGACAGCTTTTACGTGATTCGAAATGGAGTTTTGGTAAAGGAATTATATTGTTTTAGATGTTTTGATCAGTAAAGCGTCTTGCAGACAGTTGAAAGTTATTGTAGAAGCTTTAAAAGGGTTTGTTTTAACTTTTTATTGTTTTGTTTTTAGAGTAAATGTCTGGACAATGGAGATCTGGAGCAAATCGACACTCCAGCCAGCTTCAAAAGGCTCTATGCTGGAAGTTCGCATTTCTTAGCTGTGTCTAAGGATGGAGAATTATATTATCATGACAAAAACATTGATGGGTTTGTGTTACAAAAGGTTGTGTACAGTGGACAGCGTCAAACGTGCGAACATGGCGTTCAGGGCGTTCCAAGGCATGTTATTCATGAGGATTTTGGTGTTTAAAAGACACAAACATTTGCAAAAATACATTTTCTGAGGTTTCTAGATAGCTGAGGGTCTATACTACGTTAATTTAATTGGTTCGTTAATATAAAATGGCACATCTTACTGAAAACTTAAATTATATTGTTTTAGATCACTAAAACTCAAGTCAATATGTTTGACCGAGACTTCGGCTGTGTTTGTATGTCAAGATGGGCAATTGTGGTCTTTCAGCAATGCTGTTTTTGATAACAAAACAGAAGTTGTTTATGCTACGAAGATTGAATTGAACAAATGTGCTTATAAGATACGACAACTTGTGGCTGGAAGGTAGGTACTCGCATCGAAATTTGATGTTTTTAAAAGGTTTTTGGCTTGTTTTTTGAACTTTTAGGTAATATTAATATATTTTTTTACTTTATGGCATAAAAATGTTATTGTATATACATTTTTGTGGGTAAAACTAGTGTTTGATGTTATTTTAGGTATCAACAATCTTTTTTTTATTATAAAATAATTTTTTTTTAGAAAACACTGTGTAGCTTTGGTCGATTTTGCTAGCGGAAGTAATCAAAATAAGTCTGAACGAGAAGTTGTGACCGAATGTACAAAGTGTAGAGATTTTGAAAGGTTAAGGCTATCAACTTTGATGGAAGCGGCTGATGAGAAATATGCGACTAAAGAGGAAAATGTAAGTTTTTTTTGACTTTAATGTAACACAATTGTCAAAAATGGCCGGAGAGTCATATCGTTACAAAATTTTAGGTTAAAGAAATCTAAAACAATATAATTTCAGAACGACGAAGTGCTGACCGAAACATCAACGCCAAAACCAGGGCTAGACCGCTTTTTCTCAAGTTTTCGAAATCCTTTTTTCAAGAAGTTGAGTGTACGATCAAGGCCATCACAGTCAAGATGGTATGCTATGCCTACGGGAAGTTCGAGAACGTTCTCTGATACCGACAATAGTTCTGAGAATGGTTTGAATGGAATTGAACTGTCGACTTGGCATTCTTCTCATCCGGCCAATTCGAATTCGCTTGGACTGAATGGAAGTGTGGCTTTTAGTTTTGTTAGTCTGGATAACCTGGTTTCTTCTTCTGGTAAGTGGGATGCTGTAGACTTGGGTACGGCAGAGTGGGTTAGGGCACAAAGTGGGGTAAGGTAGGGAAAAGGAGAGTAGGGTTGGATAGGGTAGGTATGCCCGGATAGGGTAAGGTATGCTAACGTAGTGTAGGTTAGGATAAGGCGTAGTATGTTAGGGTAGAAAAATCAAGTAAAAAGATCAAGATGAATATCGTAATCTAAAATTATGTTATTTTAGATGACAGTTCAATAGGCCATGCTGAAACAGACCTTTCAACTTTGGATCAGTCTCTACTTTCAAACAATTTTCATTCTTTTGTATCGCCACAAGTGGCCAACACATTCTGTGAAGTTTGGGCGTGGGGAGCTAACGATCTGGGCCAACTTGGAGCTGGCAATGCTGTTCCTACGTAAGAATTTTAAAAATTAAGTTAATAAAAAAATATTGTTATAGCCGAGTACCAAAGCGAGTCAAGATTCCTCAAGGGCCGATTATCAAAATTAGTGCTGGATCTGATCATACTTTGGCACTATTGAGCACAGGAGAGGTTTATGGATGGGGGTCGAACAAAAATGGTCAATTGAAGATTGACAGTGCGGAATTCATCCCAGAGCCAATATTACTGAAGGTAAAGACATTGAATAGCATTTTTTTAAAAATGGTTTTTAAAATTGACTTTGTGTTTGAAGTTGGGGTATTTTTTTAATTCTGAATTGAAGGCATGGCTAAAAATGGCATTATAGACCTTAAATTTAATTTTTAATATTTTTTTACAATTTCAACGTGTTATTATTAAAAATTATTTTAAATTTCAATTTTTAATCATTTTCCACTTTCAGCTAGGCTCAAAAGTCTGTGTAATCGACGCCACAGCCGGTGGCAACGTCTCAACAGTCATATGCACGTCCGGTGACAATTCCAATGTCGTAGCCTGTCGCTTCTCGAAAGCCCATTCCTCATCGGCCAATGGGGTAACATCGCGATTGGATTGCCTAGAAAAACTGGGATGCCCATTGAATATAACAGCATTCGATGGTGGTAACAAGTTACTGGTCGGATATTTAAAGTCAGATTGTAACAAGGTTGAAAATGCAGTTCAGACATTGAGTAAAGTGTTGTTATCAGTGAGGTCGAGTTGTCAGTTGTCTCAATTGGCTCAGAATATTAAGGAAAAAGGTTGGTTTTGGGGCTTTTTTGCTGTTTTGGGCCTGAAATTAGGGTTTTTAGGCATGTTTGAGATTTTTTAGGCTTAAAAAAGTTGTTTTTGGTATGTGGAAGGTAATTTAATACCTAAAATGAAATTTTTTTGAACTTTTTTAAAATTAAAAATTAAAAAAATTTGAAATTGAAACAAAAATTTCAGCCGAGAGAGAACCCCTGAACAATGTCAGTGGTACCCTGTGGCACTGGAGTGCGGTTTTGTCGAGAATCGCGGAGCTATTACTATTTTCCGTGACAGTAAATGGATCAGTAGACTTGGTACCATCTTCCACTTGCGATTTGACTTTTGATGTGACCGTAAAAGCCATGTTGAAGATGCATTTTGCTAGAATCGATGCCATCGCTCAGGGATGCTTCCACGATCTGAATTTGCGGTGGGTTTTTAGAGTTTTGTTTTGGTTGAAGGGTACACCTACCCTCAAAGAGGTCGTTAGGGGTGGGGGGGGAAGAATGGGGGTAGATATACCTCCCCTTTGCTCAGAAAAAACCTGTACGGACTTCTCTGCTTACTCTTCCTTTGGGTCCTATTTCAACCTATACCCTTCAAAATGGGGTTGACGGCCTATGCTGGCTGTTCCATTCCTAATACTGTATCTTACATTACTCTTCATATAGTAAAAGTAATATTTTAGTGATGAAATTAAGAAACAAGTTGATCAGCTTTCATTAGAACATGAAACAGAAAGCACCAAAGATTTCAAACGGTTAATTGGACTGTTTGCCGTTCCCCAAAAGCACTTTTTGGCTCTACATGGTGTTATCAATGCTCTTTTGGTACGTTTTTTAAGTACTATTACTGTGTTTTGATGCAAAAAGAATGGCATATCTTCATTTTCAACTTTTATACCTATTTGTCTCTGATCAAACAGAAACGTTTGTCGAATGTCTTAATGTGATGGAAACTTTACACAGAAACGCTTTTACAATCCTAACCTTTAAGTGTAAAATTAACTGTTTTCGTTAAAGACAGAGGAGAAAAAACGATATTTGATGGGGGCAATTACGCGCTGCGTTTTTTTAATAGTAACTTTAAACTAGATTGATATGAGAAGAGTAGAACGGCGCCAAATTAATCGAATCATCTCAAAAATTGATTGAAAATGGATTCACAACTATTTTAAATATTTGTTTTTCGTTGTTTTACCTGTTTAGGGGGTGTTTTTGGCTTTTAAAGTTGATGCTTGGGGAGAAAAAATTAAGAAATGGCAGTTTTTGTTTCAAAAAATGAAAGTTTGCTACTATAATGTAATGATACTATAAAGTATAGTAATGTTTGAGCTTACAACGTTGTACATTACACTAAAATAAATGAAACATTGTCAATTACTCGTCAATTAAACACAAATTAGCTAAATTTCAACAATTAAAACATCAATTCAAAAAAAGAAAATCTATTCAAAACAAAAATCAAGCAAGTAGAGTCCGTACAAGACTAAAATCATTCAAATCCTATGCTACTTCAAACAAAAATCTAATGACAATACAAACAAAAAACCAAATCCAATACCAATTCAAGTTCAATTCGTTTTATTAATTATTGCGTTCGAAAAGAATTACCGGGCAAGCATATATACAATTATCATACAAGGTTATTTACAACTTTACACATTGTTTGTACATGATATTTTTGGGTTTTTTCTGTAATATAAAGCGATTTCTTTAAGACAAGGCTATGTACAATATCTTTGGAAACGAGAAAATTCGAAAAAAAAGGCTGAGACCGTGAAAACAACAACGAAAAAGAAGTAAAAAGGTATTAAAAATGGTGAAAAAAGGGCTAGAAATATAAAAAACAATCAAAATTTAGAAAAAAAATGAAATTTGAGCCACAAAATGACTATATCATAAAGAAAAGTAAATAAAACATTACTGTACACAAGAAAACAACACAATTAATTGTGTAAAAACACAAGATTTTACCTAAATTTAGTTAAGATCAGCGCGGAAACCATCTTTGAAACCGCGTGATTTGCTGAGCTCAAGCTTCAACGAAGCACTGCAATCACAGCAGATGGTGCAAACCATACCAACTGGGTACCCTTTACCATCCACGCAACCATTTAAAGGCACAAAAGTCTTGTGGCATTGCGAATCAGGACCATTCAAGTCCTTTTTCAGCACCAAATTCATATCTTCATCGTTGGCAATTGGTCCATCACAACCCAACATTTGGCACTTGGGCTTCTGAACCTTGTCCAAGTCGGCGCCTTCCATGAAGAAAGCCGCAGGGTTGGTGATGGCGCCCTTTTCGCCGTCAAATTGCTTAACAGTCTCGCTGAGAGGCGTCCGGAACCCGCCGGTGAAGGTTGGCGCGACGCCAATCTGACCAGGCGCTTTGTATTCGCTGGGTTGAACGTTGAACTGAACTTGAGGAGGGGAAGCGATCAAAAAAGCGTCCGAGCTCTTTGGGATCTCAGCTTCAGTAGCCATCGGTTCTCCATAGCCGGACAATGCACTCAAGTCGTCGTCGGCTTCGTCGCTGGCGGTTACGGCGCCTTGAGCACGTGGTCGAAAGTCGATTTCTTCACTGTTGGTGATAGCGTCTTGCGCACTTGCTGTTGGAGCGCTTTGTGCTCGCACGATAGGTAGATTGAAGAAAGAGATTATTTGATAAGCTGGCTTTGAGTCTTGTGGTTGTGGTAGAGAAGGCATAGCACAGGCTAATGCCGTTAGTGCGAAAAATACTGCGAATTTCATGTTTTGAAAGTTCTGAAAATGTTAAAGTAAAGTAAGGGAAAGATAGATATATTAGTCTTTTAATTTTAAGTAAATCACGTACTGCAAAATGCGCGATTTGCAAAAAAATTACGTTAAACTCATGTTATCATGCATTTGAATTAACAAAAGATTAAAAGTTAACAAAAAACCGACTCAACATTCCTAACAAGAAAGCTGTAGAATGAAAACGATGTAAAATATCAAAACAAAAACCTTCCGATCATCTAACCCTTCACTAAAAACCAATTCTCTTCCCTATCACGAACATCTACCCTCCAGCATTCCCTTCTCACCCCAAACACGACACGTTTGGAAGCCGTGGAATGTTGGAATGGTCAAGTTTGGCGTTCCAATCGCTCCGCCAATCGACTTTTATATTTGGGGTTCGGGAGTGTGTGTTTTTTTCTCGCGCCTTACACTGCCCACTCTTACCTTTTTTTTGGGGTGGGTCGAAAGTTTTAGCACATTGCGACAAAAACACAAGACAACCCGCCGATGAAAAAAAAGAGGAGTAAACGGTTTCAAGGCAATTCCAATGATTGTAGAGAGGAATGTGTTTATTGTAAGGCATTCGAGAGATTGGTAGGTATTCGGGAGATTCTTGAGGGAGCTTTGTCATTTTTGAACATAATAAGCCTTGCTCTATATTGCTTTTACTATGATTCTCTTGACCACTAGAATCTGATGCCACAGGCTTAAACCTACTATAAGATCTTGAATACCACAAAAACAAAAAATCGATTACAAAAACCAGATACAGGTTTCAATAAACAACTTTAAACACTGAACGTATTTTCGGTCAAAAACAACTCGTCCATCATTATTGGAACGGTGCGGTCGGAATTCGCGGTATTTTGAAGATGCCTTCAAGTAGAACAGTGACGTTCGGACGCCCGGTTTGATAATTGCCGATTCATGAATGATCCATCACAAAGTTTATCTTTATGACGGACATAATACCATGTTTTTTCTTCGGCGACAAGATCAAATAAGATCAGCTATGGCGTACGAGAATGTACTTGCACTTTAGGCTTGAAAATTCTTTCGTGGATTAAATTTGATAAAAGGTTTTGAAGCTGCATATCTTTGTTCTGTGTTACGTATTTGGTACGTTTGATGTAAGTACGTTGTTCTTAGTTAAATTACTGATAAGGCATGTTATGGTGAGCTTGATCAGAATGTATCAATTTCATTTTTAGTACTCATAGCTAGTTAAATATACATGCTATTCTTCGATGTAAGAGCCAGTCAAAACATGTCGTAAATCGACAAACAGATAGTTTTGATTCCAAAGAATGTTAACAGCTTTTACCCAAGCTAAAGAGACCTTCAAAGTACAAGTGAAATTTACAGTTTAACAAGTAATATCTCTAGTTGTTATTCTCGAATTTTTGTTACAACAAAAGGTCAATAGCGCCATTCTTTTTACTTTTTGAAGCTAATCTGCTTGGGCATTTGAAGTTGAACTGTTGCCAACCGGAATTGACGTGCTTTTTTGAAACTTTGAGGAATGAAGTGTGTGTCAAATGGTCACAATTTTGTGTAGACATATTTATTATATTGTCACAGTGTTTGGGCTGTTTGTATGTATGATACTGTCACCATGCTTTGGAGACTACAAAGTTATAGATCCTAACATGTTATGTACAGAAGTATATAAAAGAAAAAACCAGATTAACTTTAAAAAACCTTTATTAACTATGGACTTTTAACTTTTTACGACAAAACATAGCTTTAAAACAAAGTTACAACTATTTCTACGAAAAAACAACCAAAAGAATTCAGCGAAAATTGGGCGTTGTCTCGACTACACTATCATATCAAGACAAACAACTAAAATTAGATCGATCAGTTTAAACCAATGACGCAGACAATGAACTCATCTCTCATTGGTCAGCGCCGAAACGGACTTTTGTTTTTCTAGCGATACCGTGATCTTCATTGAAATGGAAGACCGATTGTTTTTAGACTTTGAAGTGGAATATGAACTTAAATTTTGTTCCTGTTTAGTAAGGTGTGGACTTTTTGAGGGTTATCGTTAGGGTTTAGGCTTGAGTTATAGTCGTTTTTATCATGCTTTAATCTTTGGTTGTATAAGCAAAGCTTTATTGCTATCTTTGGGCTGTAGAACCCTTTATGTAAAAAGCCTAAGGCTAAGAGAATCTTAAGGACGACGGAAGCCTAAGGCAGGGCTGAAGCGCAAGCCCAAGGCTACGGCAAGTCTAAGACGAAGGCAAGTCCAAGGTTAAGGAAAGCCAAGGCTAATGCAAGCCCAAGGTTAAGGGAAGCTTAATGCTAAGAGAAGCCTAAGGCTAAGAAAATCTCAAGGCTAAAGGATGCCAAGCGAAGACAAGGTCAAGAATAAGGAAAGCTTAAGGCAAGCCTAAGGTTAAAGCAAACCTAATTATATATAAGGTGTTTTCTATTCAACATCTTTCAATTCAAACAAAGTTTCTCGTCAAAATACCGCTTCAACGAAATCGAACCAAATCGGTTTAAAACCAAAAATAACCAGTGACTAAGAAAACAAAAATGAAATTGATCGAATTACGCGTTTCGATACAATCTTGACCTTCAAATATTGTAATACAATTTTATGGCTATATTGTTTCACCCTTGAAGTTTACACGATTCACTTTATTTACCGAGAAATTTACAACAGCCTTTATAGTTTCTTAAAAAGTTACAACTTTAGTACAATATATGGTTTCAAAGGCTTGTAAAATGTTTCGTTATTCACCAATAAAACTACAAATGACATTTTACGACGTTTCTAATTTGATTAGGCTGTTATTTTGTACTATTACAATTCAATCGTTAAACTTTGAAAGGGTTAATTGTTGATTTTTATGGCATTGCTTCTAGTTTTTTTTGCTTGGCATGGTAGATTAGAGATCAGGTTTTTAATACATTTTGTGTAGTAGGTGCATTTTAGGTATGAAGGGCAGGTCCTTGAGAGTAGAATAAAGTAGAGTTGATTAGTGTGAGGTAAGAGAAGACTAAAGCTAGGCTATGGTAAACATGTGGCTAATGTGAGCGTAAGGCAAATATAAGGCTCAGGGAAGCCCAAGGCTAAAGAAAGCCAAGGGCTAACGCTAAAGCAAGCCTAAGGCAAAGGCAGGTCTAAGGCTAAGGAAAGCCTAATGTTAAGGAAAGCCAAAGGCGAAGAAAAGCCAAAGACTAAAACAAGGTTAAGTAAAGCTAGGATAAGGAAATGCTAAATCAAGGTGGTCTAGGATGTCTTTTTGTTACTCTTGAATGCCACGAACTATTAGACTTTCATATTGAACTTGAAAGGTTTTATTCTGCTTCTTCAGGCAATTTATCGAAGCTAACATGATCATCGTTAACAAAAACACAGACAAAAAACTAAAAAATAAATGTAAAATCAAGCAATGATCGAACGCACTGTTATTCCCAATGTTTACACTCGCAAACCCAAGCCGTAATCAACCACAATTTTTCATCAACAAGAAAGACATGAAAAGTTGTTTTTGGGTTCGAAATGTAAAGTGTAATACCGCCGTTCTCACTGGCGCTTTGGCGCATTTCAACGACGGTCCACTCGGTTTGACCAATCGATTGTAATTATCGCTTTAAAGCACTCACGAAATGATATGATAAATGAGTGTGAGAGAGAACTGAATTTAGAACGGCGAATTCGAAATTGTTTAAAGGAATTTAATAATTTATGGCTTTATTGAGTGGATTCTGTGGAATTTCAGAGATTTTGACATGTTTTGAAGGTGCTATTGGTTTTTGTTGTCGTAGTTCGTTATAAGGCATGTTGGAGTTGATGTAAGGTTATAAGTGAGGCCTAAAGTATATTGTTAAGGTCCAAATTTATTTTTTGGAAAAAACTTTTTTAGGCTGTAAATTTAATTTTAGGTTTATGAATTAGGCGCTTATGTAGATCAGCCCCCCGCTTTGTGAAGTATAGCCCCCCAACCATTATAGATACTTCAGCCCCCCCCCCATAACGAAAAATGAAAATAAATTATTTTATGTTTTGAAGTTGTTAATGCCGGGTTGTTTTTATTTGTGTCCATGTAAAATGGAAAATTTGACCATCGAGCGGATGGATATCCATGATGGAAGCCGATGGTACTATAGTTTTTTTTCTTCAAGAACACGGACTTCTTCGTACTAAAGCTTTTTGCCGCAAGTGTTCTAACGTCATGACTATTCGACGTCGCTCAAAAGTTGGGGGGGGGGGCTGATGTTTACAGTTGGGGGGGGCTGATGTTAACAGTTGGGGGGGGATAATGTTAACAGCTGGGGGGGGCTGATTTTAACAGTTGGGGGCTGATCTTAACAGTTGGGGGGATAATGTTAACAGCTGGGGGGGGCTGATTTTAACAGTTGGGGGGGGCTGATGTTAACAGTTGGGGGGATAATGTTAGCAGCTGGGGGGCTGATTTTAACAGTTGGGGGGCTGATGTTAACAGTTGGGGGGGGATAATGTTAGCAGCTGGGGGGGGCTGATTTTAACAGTTGGGGGGGGCTGATCTTAACAGTTGGGGGCTGATATTAACAGTTGGGGGGGGCTGATTTTAACAGTTGGGGGGGGCTGATTTTAACAGTTGGGGGGGGCTGATGTTAACAGTTGGGGGGCTGATGTTAACAGTTGGGTGATTGTTGTAAATAGAAAATAAAATTAAAATTGCACTTTTTAGTTGTAATTTATGCAAATTTCACTTTTCGTGAACTTTCAATTTCTCACGCATGCGAAACCTATAAAAGCCGGTTGATGTTGCCAAAACCTTCATTCTGCCCCGCCATGCAACGCAGGTCGCGTTCCGCCTCCTATAATAGGTCCGGCCGCGCGACCCTGCCACCGATTCCAGCCACTTCGTCAGAATTCGACCTTTTGGACGTTGCATAGGACAGTTTAGGCCAGCTACCCGTTTGGGGGACTGTTCTAAACACTGGGGGGCTGAACTACATTAGCCCCATGAATTATATTTTTAAGCCTAAAATTTGTTAAAGCCTTAAATTCATTTTTACGTTTAAAAATTTATTTTTGAGCCTAAAATATTATTTTTAAACCTAAAATTCATTTTTACGCCTAAAATTCTTTTTCAAATCTAAATTCCAAAAAACCACGTTCCTCTTTGCTACCTTCATCTTTACTCGCCTTGGCTGAACACTCGTTAGCTGGACGTTCGCCTAATCGCGTCAGCGTTCGCGTATTTTGCGAAAACGAACGAAAATGGCAAAATTCCACTGGTGCAAAGCAGCGTGAACAAAGATTCTTGAACCTTAAAGTTGAGAAAACAGAAGAAAGCCCGCTAAGCCTGTTAACATTCCAGCGGCAGCTTTTCGGCACGAAAATAATGAATCGAAATGATTTGTTTGATTAACTTTGAAAAAAAATAGTTTTTTGTAACGTTTTTTAAAAAAATTAGCCTAAAACGATTTTTTTTGCTAAGGCTTAGTCGACAAAAAAACTTAAGTAATGATTTAAGTTCTGTTGATGCCTATAGGCTTATTTAAGTTTGGTTGCTGACTACCGACTAAGAAAGTTAAAAAAAAGTCAATTTGGTAAACCCTGCTCAAAAAACTATGATTAAATTTGGAAAAGAATGTCTGTGTGGTGTTTGCATTCCATTCTGTCAGGAACTAATTTAAGGAAGGATTAAGAAACGACTACTGTGGTCTGTAACTTTCGAGGTATTCTTAAGGGTTAGTAAGTACAAGGAGAGTAAAGTACCTGGATGGCCATGAAGGATTTGGTGTAGATTAGATCTTTAAAGGGGCTTAAGTTTTTGGCCTTGACCATTTTGGTTTGGGTCCCGGTTCTCGGGTCCTCGTGTGATGTAGAGTTAATAGTGCCGTATAGACCAGCCCGTTTCAAATTTTCTTTGGCCCGTTACAGCTTAAAACCGAGCCTAGTGGGCTTTCTTTTAGGTCTAGTGTAGAAGTACTTAAAAAACGTTGGTAACACATTGCGATCTTCAATATTGAAAACTATATGACACTTTTTTCACATGGCCAATATAGCCAATACTCATCTTTAGGCAATGAGCTAGATGTTACACTTACACTCTTTATTTTGTAAACTAGATGATTTTAAAGATCTAAAAATAATGATGCAGGTATTGTTCCTACAGTTACCAGGAACTATTAAAAGATTTATTAGCTATCTAATATAGCTTACAGTTACCAGGAACTAACAAATGATTTATTAGCTTTAAAGCGTAGAGATAGTTTCTGAATGAAAAACGTACAACACAAAACACGTTACACACAGTTTAACGAACTTGACCTGTTGGCAATAAAAAAACCAAAAATAAATTTGGACAGTAAAAACAAAAATAAAAAATTGCAAAATTGAACATAATGGAAAATGGTAAAGAAGTCTAAATTTTAAAAATAATAACACTTTCATAACAAATTCAAAAATGCTTGTTGTACATAAATTATGTCATAGAGGAGTTTGTTATACAGAGGTTTTATTGTACCTTTTTCTCTAACGCTAGTTACTGATGTTAGTTCCTACCCTTACTTTACCAAAAGAACTATGATTTTTTTCAAGTTGATCGCTTTCTGTTGCTTCAGTGCGGTTACATTCAATACTTTAAACGTATTGTCTCATTTCAATGTAATTCACGTAGAATTGTTTTTGTCCGACACACTTTAAGCTTCCTACTTCCAAATCGACGTTAAAAATAAATGAAAAACACACGTAAAGTAGTCTTAAATTCAAGGTCATTTTGATTGTTTATGGTCAATTTTGCGTCCAACCAGGTTTGCTTCGGCTAAACGGGTTTTTGGTGACAAATAAACGAAACATGGGCTTAAAATTTGTTCTCAATTATGTTTCAATAATATTTTGTTATTACTAAACAGTTCATGGTGATAACACTCTTAGGCTAGGTCAATTATTAACTGGTGTATAACGAATTGCTCGGCGACTTGAAATTTGTTCGTTATATAGTATTATTGTTATAGAGAAGTTCGTTATACAGGTGTTTTACTACTGTAATTGAAAAAATCAAAATTTGGCGGCAACAAGGAAGTTCTCTTTACTGACGCTTCTTGCCCTAGTTTTGAATACTGTGAACGTTTGTCTAGGTAAATTTTGAACATATTCAATTTATAAGCTATTAAAGCTTTAGATCGTAAGACATATATATAATACAGTACGGCTTTTGTATAACGGAGCCTTCTATACACAAACTTTCGTACTACGAACAAATTTAAAACCTCTGAACGATTTTTAATACAGGAGTTTAAGTAGATGCTGGAAGTTTTATTGGAACCTAAAATTAAAAAAAATGTAAAATTTTAACTGCACAATATAAAAATGGTATTCAGAAAAAACGAAGAATAATCTAAACCATGAATGATCATAAATTAAAAAATAAATCAATGATTAAAAAAACAAAAACAGCAAGGAATATTTGTTACAGTAAAAATGTTAATTATTGTTTTGTCAAAGCAAAAAATTGTAAATATTATTTATCGGTGTGTATGTGTATAAAGGAAGTTATTGCCATTTTTGTCTGTAAAGAAAGTTTTAGTCATTTTTTGCTTTGTAAAGAAAGTTTTGTCAACTACTGTTTTGTAATGAAAAATATGGCTGCTTTAAATATGTTGAAAATCTCAAAACATGACCATAAAATAAAAAGTAAAAAACTTATTTCTTTTAGAATGCCAACAAAACCCCGACGTTCTTCAAAAAGCTCGAAAATGATCTTGAACGTGCCGAAAAATGGGCACGGTTAACATGGCAAAACAATGAGCACTACCCTCGAGAGAACGGCGTACTATTGGCTGGTTTTACCGAAGAGCCGGTTTGTAAAATAAAAAACAAAAATATGGGCTCACCATTGGCAATTCGACAATTTTTGGGACGACAAAGAACATTGTTAATGGTGTGGAGTGATGCTGTCGATGTGATTCAGCACGATATGATTGTGAGATTGGCATATCCGTTGTTGAAGATTGAAAGATCGACTGAGAATTCGGTGACAATATCGTTGCGAGACCCGGAAAACTTCTTTGAAGTCGAGTTTCAGAGTCAGGAGGCTGCCGTGAGTTTTAAGCATAAAGTTTTGTACTTTAGGGCGATTTTCAAGCCTTAAAATGAACTTAAAACCTAATATTTGATTTTTAAGCCTAAAATTTGTTTTTAAGCTTAACATTTGATTTTTAAGCTTATATTGGTATTTTTATGTCTAAAATTTATTTTTAAACTGAAAATTTTATTTTTAAGCCTAAACTTTTACTTTAGGCCTAAAAACCTACAGTAGTGCTATTATTTTCAGTCCGAATTCTTGGAAATGACAGCTCAAGCTTGTGAGTACGCTCGACTTCGAAGTTCGTACACTCACGGTCAGCTACAGTTCCCACAACAGCGATTGACATTCGAAACAAGAGTTAGACATGCTAGATATCACTTTTCTCCAATGCATTCCAGATTTCCAGATTGTGATTACGATGGGGATTGGCTGGATGGACAGCCTCATGGAAAGTAAGTTTCGGCAAATTTGGCTTGTATATGACGCTTTTGCTATTATATGACTGAGAAAAAAAAGTTGGTAGAACTTGTCATAGTCTATTTGGTCGAAATGGGTATTTCTGGTTTAAATTAACATTGAAAAAAAAGTCTTTTGTTCTCTAGTATGCAAAGCAGTGCAAAATGACGACAAGACTTTTTTTCAAATTTTAGCTATAAATATTATATAAGCTAGTATAAGCCTACTTTCAGAGGCCAACTAAAATTCCCGGACGAGAGAAAGTACAAAGGTCGATTTGCCTTTGGGCAAATTGATGGAATGGGCGAGTTCTTCAACAACAAACCTCAATTCAGCGACAATACGACCGGCTCAGCGACGCCTTCGGCACAACAATCCTCGTTGATGAACAGCTTTTTCTATACTCAACCTAAATGTGTATTGGATTCAGTGAGATGGGTGAAAGGAAGATTTAAGGATGGACTACTTCATGGGCTTGGATCGGCTACGTAAGGGGTTTTAAATGAGGTTTTTTTGAATTTTAGGTAACAGAATTGAGTTTTTTGTTATATCAGTAGTTCTTGCTTGCTCTACCCTACCTTATCTTAATATATTCTGCTTTACTCTATTCTGCCTTAACCTATCCTATGTAACTTAAACTTTTTTTTTAGTTTTGCCACTGGCGATACATACGAAGGCTACTGGGCAAACGGTCAAATGCATGGTCACGGAGTGTTCAAAGCGATGGGCGAAGACAACATCATAGTTTACGTTGGTGGATGGCAAAACGGCCAAAAACATGGCTACGGAGTTCAATCAACAAACAAAGAACGCTACCTAGGCCAATGGAACGAAAGTCGAAGACATGGAAATGGCAGTTTAGTGACGATCGATGGCGTCTTTCATGAAGGTCTTTTTGAAAATGACAAATTTGTTAACGGCAGAGTAGTGTACGAAGCCTCGAACGCTTCGTGGGATCCGGATACTGTAGTTGTGTTTGAAGGAAAATTTGAAGATTTAAACGTGGCTGCTGGAAAAGGTACACTGACGTTGAGTAGAAACAATCAAATTGTTGGTACTATGCATGGAAAGATACTGGGCAATGAATTGTCAATTGCTAACGCTACCTACAAACATTTGACTGAAGGGTTTGAAGCTGATGAGTGGGTTTTTTATTTTTTTTTTTGATTTTTTTTATTTTTAGGTATGAATTTTGCAAAAAGTTATTTTTAAATATCAGAGACTTCATTATGGCCGACGGCGCGAAACGAGGTAAATACGCAGTTCATGAAGATGAAAAATGGCTAGAACTATTTCAACACTTCCTCGATGACGAGCTCAAAGTCACCAATGAAGAGTTCTTGTCAGCACTAAACGAAGACATTCCAGTACCATCCTCAGTAGCCGAAAAGGCTTGGAATTCTTTGGCCGCTTCTTTGGCCAAACTAAAACAGCAAAAGAAAGTGACAGTACCGGACAGGCTGGAGCGAATCCCGGACTACAACATGGAATGGAGCAGTAGCTATTACGCGATGGTATCCGAATACTGGAATTTGTGCGTGCACAACGATTTTCATCCATTAAACCGCTTAATGAGAGGTATCATTGAGCTGTTTAGCTGCAGTTACAGTAGTGTTGGCACACACGTCATGTACGACACGGCGGTGCTAGAGTTCAAGACACTTATGTCAAGATGTTATGCTGTAACTAGACTTCTCTTTGTTAACCTACCGACGACAAAGTATATGTTCTCATCAGTACCAACTCTAGCCGATCTAAATCAAGATACCACACAGTCAACATCACCAGCATCAAGTATTCATACTCCAGAAACAATGTCAGTCGGATCATTGGAACAAATGGAAATGGCACAAGCTTTTGAAGATCCGGATCAACCAACCTCATCAAGGTACTACAATAATGACAGTAGTAATATGGAGGATATAACGTTACTAGAAACACCGTGCTGTGATTTCATTATCAATTACTTGTTCTCAGTGTGCTATGCTGATTTGTTTACGGTTTATTCTGAAAGATGTGAAGCTTTGGACAGAAGGTATTGGGAAAGGTTGCTGCATTTGAATGCTCACACTGATGCTCATTTGCTACGGTACTTTGATGTGAAGGGGTAAGGCTTAATGAAAATATGATTTTGTGTTAATAATGAGTTTTTAGGCTTAGAAATGCACTTCAGGCTTAAAAATTGATTTTAGGTTTAAAAATGAAATTCGGGCTTAAAAATGGTTTTTAGGCTTAAAAATGTAATATTGGGTAAAAAAAGGGATATTAGGTTTAAAAATGGGTTTTAGGCTTAAAAATGAAGTTTTATGTCAATAATTTTTAAAAAATTTACTTTTTTTTCAGAGAACTCTGGCCAACCGACAACGATAACATCAGTGTGTTGGATGCATTTTCCGTACGTTTTGTTTTTTTTTTGAAAAACTTGTGGCACTTTTTAAAATTTTAGTTTTTTGCGTATAAAAGAGTATGAACTGGAGTTTTATTTTAGGCTAGAGTAAGGGCCAGAAACAAGTTTTATGGGAGCGCGGTGACTCGACTTCAACAAATCAGCGGAGTTTTCAATCCCACCAGCAAGCTGGCTATTCTAGCTGAAGCATTTTCGGAAATCACTCAGGTTAGTTTGAATTTTGAAACAGAGGGTAGTACTTATATCATACTTAAAAGTAGGCTAGAGTTTATTAATGGTACAAAAACAGAGATTAGTACTGATTTTTTACAAGTTGAGTACTGGTACTCAAAAAAAGTTTAGTACTATAAAAATCAAAAATCTTTCTTTCAAATATTATTAACGTGATGTCTATGGCATTACGATATGTATAATAAGCATATAATGAAACGCCTACACATTGGTTGTTGTATTTGTGCATTAGCGTGTTGTACTCAGCGCGGAAATAATCAAAACCCAAGTGTTGTCATTGTAAATAATTACCGATAAAAGAACAGCTTATGTTCTGTTGCTGAATTTAATGGAGGCTAATTAGTTTGATAACATGATACATCTCTTGATGTGATAATATAATAACAATCTCATGAGTTATAAAACGTCCGCATAACGTACTGTTAAACTATTGTTGTTAGTACACATGTTAGTACAAAGGAAGTGTGAAAAGTATTGTAATTGAAAAATTTATTTGATGTGGAGGGGGGGGTAGAATACTCTGCTACTTTGCTATGATGTGTCTTGTCTCAATCTTGCCTGCTTTTTTAAAAAACTGGTCGATTATTTCACATAATTTGGACTCATTTACCGAATTTGTTTTTCACCTTACGGTAAGGAAATTGCCACTACGAAATGTAACACTTCTTTGTTTTTCACATGTGCTTTCTCAGCGCCAATGTAGCCTTTATTCTATACATAGACACAAATGTTGTTGTCTTCTTGTACAGTAAAAACACACGTAAACGTGGTTGTTTATACCGTGCTATTGTTATTTACGGCTTCTTTTCGTGAGACATTTTTTTTATTAGTAAAAAAATATATAATAATTGGGATATAAGCTCAGGACAAAATTATTGGGACAAAAGGATGAGACTTATGGTTTGGTCAAACTACACGAATTTTAGTCCTAAAAATTTTTAGACTTAAAGATATGTTTTAGATTCTAAAAATATGTAAGGTAATGTTAGGTTTTGAATGTGCAAAACTGGCTCTTACTCATAGTTCCTCATTGCATTTGATTTAGCACGAAAAACCCCGCTAATTCCAAACGTCATTTGAATTTATTTATTATGTGGGTATATATAATTTCAAAGTTGTGTGAAGGTTAATTTCGTTGCACGGGGAAGAGAACGCGGTAAACACCATGGTTAAACTTGATTAATTAGGCCCATGAACAGGCAGTGGGACAATGAAAAAAGACGTAGATACTACAGTCGAGCGGGTAGATGATTATCGTCATTAAGCGATTAATAACTGGTAACCATATAGGGAACAAAGTCATAATAAGAAAAGAGAGCGGGCAATTCATAATAAGCAAAGAGAACGGGCTTAAAATGGTACTATTGATGGTGGAGATACAATAAAAAGGGGTGGGTAAAGTAAGCGACAAAAATATTAAAAAGGGTTAAAAATGTGTGTGAAGGTACTATACAAATATAAAGAGAATTGGTTTTCAAAATAAATTTAAAAAAATTCAAAGTAAAATTTAACATGCTCTGGTACCTTGGGGTTCACTAAGGCGTAGTACAACTAGTTTACCAAGAGATACAATACTTTATGTGAGTTTTCAAACAACGTAAAACAAGTTTTGGAATGCATAGGGTACAATGACATTACAAAAGTGTGACTAAAAACTAATAATGACTAAAAATAAAAAAATGAGAGTTACCAAAAGTTTTGACCGGATTATGAGTATATATGGTTAAGTTAACTTTATATGGTTATAGCAATCATAGCGTTGGTTATATTAACCATACGTCTCATAAAATAAAAAAGTACTGATTTACAAGCAAAAACTATGGTTAAAGAACTTTACAGAGGCGTAGATGGTTGCATAATGAGTTTGACAGGTTTATTATAATAAATTCGGTTTGTACAATTAAAACTGTGTTGAGGACTATACTATAGCATTTTTAAACACATACAAGTTTTGCTAAGATCAGCCATAACTATGCTACTGCTTGAATAGAATATAAATATCTAAAATATTACCATAGCTATAACTAACACTTTTATAGATACAAAGCTTTAAGAGTACCCCAGGTACACAACTTTTAAAATACTTAAAGATCATCTAGAAAGCGAGACATTATTCAAGATTTTCCAAAAATCGAAAGTAATACAACGGTAACAGGATAAATACTTATGAGATAACGTAGAGACCAAATTAGTTTTTAGCAAACCACAATCCGTTTTCGTTAAAGTCTGGGCTTTGTTTCAGTACCATTTCCACAAAGTCGCGGCAAATGTCGGCGATTATCTCGGCATTTTTGCTTCGTTTTTGCTGAAAAAGGGGGGTAAAATTAGTATGGATAATGTAAATGAGTGCCTATGTAGTGATTAAGGATAGCTCTAGTTAAAAACATGGTTTAGAAAAGTAAGCAAAGATGGTAAAAACTTTAGTAAAAACCTTATGTAAAGGCATTTCTATAGTAAAACCAAAAACTTTAAAACCAAAATTACATTGATAGGATGATGCCGATAGGGCGAGTTGGGATCATTGGTGATGTACTTGGCGTTCTGAATTGGGTCGAAAGGATCGATTTTGCGTTTTGGTTTCTCATGGCCAACAATTCGTACTGGCAGAGTATGAGAACGTTCTCGCATTTGAGGTGGTGGCGATGGGCTGTTCTCGTTGTTCATGGGCTTCTTCGGTGGAGTAACATCCCCAGAACCATTTCCTCCACTACGCTTACGACAGTTGGTGGGGAGTTCGGTCGATGATGCGCGCTTTCCTTGGGCCTGAAAATAAGGTTTGGTTAGGCTTAGTCTGACTAGCTTGATTTCAAGGTTTTAGTCATCATTCTTTGATAACTTTTTTAAGCTTTGTGGTATGTATTAGGCTTAAAAAATTTTCAATTGGCAATAGGCTTAAAAACGTTTATTTTCTAATAAAATACTTACCGCTGGCTGAGGAATATGTTGCAACCCATTAGTAGCTGGAATCTGCGAAGGTCCAGCATTGTTCAGCTGTTGCATTTGCATCTGCAAGAACTGTTGGATATCGTTGACTGTAATCGTAGGGTTGGTGTTTTGATTAGCAAGCAATAGATTAAGCATCTCTTGTTGAGCTTGTTGTTGCTGTTGTTGTTGTAACAAATGATACAAAGTAACTTGAGGAGGAGTTACTGGCAACATTGCTTGAGGGGTTTGTTGGCTTTGAAGCGCCATAATAGTGGCCGCAATTTGACTTGGTTCCTGGAATAGCATTGTTTTTTTAACTTTGGTTTCGGTAGTTTGAATTAGTTTTAGTAGCAGAGCTAATGAATATATACTCAAGCAACAGTCGATGTAAAGTATAGTCAAGTGTAAATGTGAATATAAACTGAACACACGGCTCGGCCGTCCCACGTTTTATATTATTTTCCCCAAAGTTATTTACTCGTACTACAAGCGCCGCCCCCTTTTCTAACACAGACAACCCCGCGAAAGGGCATTTGCACTTTCGTATTTTTACATAGAAGTTTTTGCACTTTAGGAACGCTGTCGTATGTACAATCCTACGTGCACTTTCCTACACATTTCAATATTATCATGCACTTTCGATTCACAGAATCAATTTGAAAGTTGTTTTTGCGGAATGACGATTTTTTTGCTTGTCTAACTGGAACAGGCAATCCGTACCCGGGATTAAGCCTTTTTTACTATAGTCGTATGGGAAAGTGTGTTTAAAATTTATAGAAATGATTTTTTGTTGAGTAAAGCCAAGATCACGTATTATAACCTACCCTACTGGCTAAGCCTTGATCATAGTCCGCATTCACAACATTTGGTTGTTTGAAGGCCAAGTTCTCTAGACTGGCAGTCGTCGTAATCGTATTCAAAGCACCAAGAGGGTCTTGATTGACCAAGTTTGTCAATGATGGGTTAGTGACTTGATTCACATTGTTTAGCATTTGAAGCTGAGGTTGCTGTTGAAGAAGTTGTAGCCATTGCAAAGTGTCTGTAGGTTGAGCCATGGCAATCAAAGTTTAAGTTGTGAATTGATTTTGAATCAGAATTGGTATTATAGTTGTATAGTGAAATATAATGGGCTGTTTGTATCCTGGTAGGAAATTATATCCTGTACACTCAGATAAAATATGAGTTTTACCAGGACTTTAAAAGCTTCGAAAACTGATGTCTGTCGCAGAAGTTATAACAAATTATAATCGACCAGCAACCTAAAGAATCAATATTAAAAATTGCACTATAGCCAACCAAACACGATAATTTGTAAGATCACGCGACAGATTATGCCAAAAAACATTAACTATACTTATTAACAAGCGCAAAGACCTGTACTATTGATTGAAAATAAGCTTGCGAACTGAAAACTTTGAGCAATAAGGTCGAACAATGTTTTATATAAATTTTTTTTAATAAACGATCACGCCGCGCCAACAAACAATTATACGATATGATGTTTTAATAAGTCTCACAAATTAAAAAATTTATTCACGGTACTCAGAGATAGCGAGACAATCGTTGTTTATTGTGTCACACTGTAATTCTCACAAGCACGCCACATATGCAAAATAAACAAAAAAAGGGCATTAGTCATCATGGAAATCGGCTTTGATCTGATTTACAACAGCATTAGTACTCATCACAGACATTTCACGGCAGACGTTTAAGGGTTTTTACGACAGCACGCTAGGGGTTTTACAACATGACTATCAAATAAATTGTAACTTTGTAGCACGAAAGTCACGTAATTTGTACTAGAAAAAATTAAATTTACAAAAAGTGAAGCTGGCCTGTTTTAAACTAAATTTTAGCTAAAAACAGTCGTAAATCGGATCAGCGAGGTTGGGAAAACGTCGGGCTAATGGAGGTTCGTATATTTTGTAATTTTTTTGGCGAAACGTAAAATCCGATTTGGTGGAGATTGTATTTTATAAAAGTATTATTTCTCCAAAGTATTATTTTTTAAAGTATAAGCCGTGGTGAAATGTGACTGTGTTGACTGGACTTTACGTGTCTTGGTTTTTGTATTTCAATAACGGAAAACGAATTATTTGTTGCAAAATATATACCCGGAAATGAATGTGATCCTATTGAGACTTGCGTGTGTACAGAACGGCTTACTGATAATACTTAAGTTTGGTTGGTAATCATACACAATTATAAAGTGTAGCTGAAAGAGAGGCACGCATTAGCAACGTTACAAAAAGTATTAACAAATTTACAAAAAACAAGTTGGGGCTGAAGCTGGAGATAGGGCTAAGGCTGGGGATGGGGCTAGTGCTAGATCTAGGGCCAGAGTTAGAGCTAGTAATACAGCCAAAGCTAGAGCTAGAGCATGGTCAAGGCTAGGATTGCGGCTAAAGCTAAGGCTGCAACATTATTTTTGTTATTGAACAAACTTAAGTACCTTAATGAAAAGCTGTACTTCAACTGCAATGTTGATTGCTACGATACTGCACTAGTACTACAAACACAAAATATTATAATTAATAGAGTACCAAGAAACCAGCTCATATTACTAAGAAACAACCTCATAAAATAATACAAACTAACTCATTCATAGTAACTTTTTCAACTATTTGATAAAGCAATAAGTAGAACGCACTAACAGCAAGGGCTTGTTTGTCCTTAACCTCCCTTCACTGAAAAAATAACCCACTAGTGCTTAAGAACGACGAAAGGGGCGTTCCCATGTCATTACAAGCACTTTAGGTCCGCCGAAAACAACCGTCTGGCTTGGGCTGGAGGGTGATGGTGTTAGCGGTGTGTGCGTGCGCGCTCGCAACGTGAACTTTTATTTTACTGACCGCCAAAAGTGCAACAATGTAATTGAATAGGCGGCTAATAATTAATAGTAAAAACTGACTGATACAATGGTTATGCATTGGATAGGGGGATACTAGGAATTACTATGCTCGATTGTGTTTTTGTTGAAAAGTTTATTCCATGTTAGTGAGAGTTTGTTCTACGTTTGGGGAATAGGAAATGCGTACTGGTGTGGTCAAAATGTAAACAATCTGACGCTAACAAAACATTGAGGTTGGTATGATACTAAAAAAAGCATACTACAATGGAACTCCTGAATAACTAACACTTGTATGGCGAATAACTTTTAAATCCCTGGCTAACAATACACTGTGCATTGAAACTTGTACAAATTTGGTTGGTAATCATACAAAGCCTCACGCAATTGGTTATACAAAAGTCCTTTTGTATATGTTTTGTATTAGGTAAAAGTTCTACAGACATTCAAGTCAAGAAGGTACCGCTTATCGGCCGTTTTAATACTGGTCAAATTGATACTGAGAAAACATTGAAGTAAAACACTTAAATTACTTTATAATGTAGTACAGCTCAAAAGCAACGTAATGAATGCGTGATAATTGCCCAATTTGAATCCAATAGAAACAAGTTACAGAAGTATCATCGAGTTTACTTAGAGCTCTTGACATAAAAAACAGACGGCCAATAACAACCCTTGATAATATAAAGAGGTTTCATTGGGTTAAAAATAAAGGATACATGTAAAAACATTTTTTTATCTAAGCATGGCTTGCAAATGGTATGATAGGTCATGAATTTTGTAAAAAACCTTTGCTGTACTTTCGGCCATTTTACAAGCCTATACTGCAAGCCAAAATTTCTTTCGTGGCCTTAAACTCAGACCTGAAAGGTATAAACTACAAAACCTTTTCTTTTACTTAACTCACACTTTGGTGTACCGTAATTAATGTATTTTTAACCAAGTGCAATTCAATTTATTATAATACAATAAAAAATGTATTGTACTTTTTTACAATTGTACTTCGGCCAAGCGTGTATAAAATAATTAAAGATTTCTATAATTAAAAGCGAAACGTTTGAATTCCTAGCTTGTTCACAAAGTACAGATTTATCATAATGCACTTTGCACTCGGGTTTAGCATGAGCTGCTTAAGTGTTTTGGCTAAGTTTCCTTAACTGTGACCTGTTGAGAAGGTATCTAGGTCTAGAGAAAGATATAGCCTTAGGAGATATAGCCGTCCTAGAGAAAGATATAGCTTTTAGAGGTATAACAAAGTCTAGAGGAAGGTATAGCCAAGCATAGGGCAAGAAATTAGGAATGTTGTTCTCTATCTTGTACCTAGAAATGATCTTCCTTGTACAAGGTATAAAACACCCTACATTAGCTATCATAATGACACAGTAACAATACGTGTACAACTTCAATACAATGAATAATGGCTGTAACGTGCATCCCACGCTGCCTGAGGGAATCTTTTGACTCACATAATTATAACACTAGTACACTTCGTGCTACCTAGACCAAGATTATAGATTATTTTTTGTTTTGTCGTACTTATAATACAAAGAAAGTGGAAACGGGCAGTTTTGCAAGAAAAATACTTAAAAATTAGTGACGGCAGCAATTGCCAGTAAGACTGTAAAATTAATAAAGGAAGTACTTTGTCACTCAGCAAGTGATTGTCAATGTACAAAAAAAGAACTACTGATAAATAGGGGCGGAATGGCATCAAAGATGGTTGTAAAACAATGTGATACAGTTAAATTGATTGGAATGTAAAACAATGTATTACAGTTAAAATTGAATGTAAAGAAATGTAATACAACGAAACGGAAATATACTTCAATATATTACAGTTGAAAACAAAAATTATGTCGGACATTACACGTCGGCTCAATATTTTTAATAAAATTTGACTACTCAATATAATCTTATACAATCCAATATTGAACTCCTACAACAAAACTTAAAACCCCATAGGCCAAAGTTATGTGAAACTATTTAAACCAGCGTAAAGACCCATAGCGTGCCGGTGTTACGGTACGTTTTCCGTTTTAAAAAACATTTAGGCCAAATTATCAAAGTAATTTCATTCAAGCCCAACCGAAATTTGCATTACGTGCTTGAAATTTATACTCGCGTTTTCTCAAGGTACTCGTGAATTGTAACGTAAGCATGGTAATTAGAAAACGCAGAAATTGCAGGGTAGTAACATTTTGATCTAATGGTTTCTACAAAGTAATGACAGTGAGAAATAAGTGATAATTTGGAAAAGTGAGGATAGTTGAGGTTGGAAAAGTGATAATTTAAAAATGAGTGATTTTGTTAGATTGTTCAAAAAGTAATGAGCCTCTGAAATATTGGATGTATCAGAGTCGTGGCTCATTACTTTTTGAACAACTTAATATAATTTTTTTGAACGACCTAATATGAAAAAAACAACTGTAGTTTACAAGACATACAGCAATAAATGGTAAATTTTTACAGCGCTCAGCCGCTTGCAACCCCAGAACACTGATACGCTTCTCGCATTGATAAAATTTGATAGTAAAAGGTCAAAAAATAACAACCCAGGGTTCAGCCGTATCAATATTTGATCAAAGAAACGACTTTTTTTCTTCCGCGTTCTACAAACTTTCGAGCATATTTTGAAAACTATACTTGTGGAAAACAAAAATACATCGAAGGAGTTTGAAAAAAGTAAAAATCAAAGACATAGATAGCAATGACTTTAATGCCAGTAACGAAATAAGATACCTTTTTGGGTCAGTAAAACTAAAATGCCCTTTTTACCAATTGACTAATAAACAATTGCCCTTTCCGGCGAAGTGTTAGTTTACATGTATAATTATTGTTGCTTTTTTATGTAAATGATCAAGGAAATAAAACGATAATAAGGTGGTACGTCAGAAAGTGCAAACTAGTTGGACGTCATTAGTTTTTGGGGAAAATGACTTATAGAAGGTAACAAAGTAAAGAAAAATGGAGGTTAGTGGGTAATAAGTGGTGTTGAAGGTTCATGAGTAGAACCTTACTTTACTTTGTCATACCGTATTGTGCCTTAAGCTACTCTTTTAGTCTAACTCCTAAAAATAGTCATGTTGGTCCCAGGTTCAAGTGTCTAAGTTTAGCACGACTCTTTTTATAGAATTCACGCTACAAAAACTCTTTAATACCTAAATTAATTCACGGAAACCTAGGCATGAAACGGAAATAATGTGTCCT